ATAATAACACAAAAAAAAAGATGATCCCTAACTTACTTGATTAATACGATTCACTCCTATGGCCAATGTAGATAAATGTCCTGAATAGATTTGTTGACATCGCCCGTCCTTATGTGTCGAGAATTTACTTAATACGTGATTTATGTTTAATTTCTAGAATGCAAAAAAAAAAAATTGTGAACGTTATTTAAATAGTTATTTCCTCATTCTTAAACAATGTCATATGAAAAAGGGGGATTATTAGTGGCGAAGAGGATAAGTAAATGTAAGTAAAATATGGTGTGAATTAAGGATCGGTAGTTCTTAACTGTGAAGTGCCGCCGTGGTTGTGGCAAAGTGTACTGTAAAGTGTCGTACATGTAATAATAAAGTGTTCAGTACCGTAGGCGTAGTAAAGTGCTGTACGTGCAGTAAAGTGTAAAGTGCCGCAAGTGTAGTAGTGTAAAGTGTCATACATATAGTAAAGTGTTAAGTGCCATAGGTGTAGTAAGTGTAATGTCGAATATGCAGTAAAGTGTGAAGTGTCGCAGGTGTAGTAAAATGTAAAGTTTCGTTTGTGTAGTAAAATGTAAAGTGTCGTATGAGTAGTAAAGTGTAAAGTGCTGCGGGTGTAGTAAAGTACAAAGTGGAGTAGTGCATTAAAATATAGATACGGGGTTTTGATGCAGATAAAAAAGTTTTGTGGTATAATAAAAGCAGGATAACGAGAAACAATGAACAGTGAGTGATACTATAATAGGAGGAGAGGTCGCTACAAATATGCTAGCCCTGAATGTTTGCAAACAAATTGGTAAGCGTCAAGACGCCAGGGCAAATTTACAAGGAAAGTTAACATTTAAGAATTTTAATATAGGTACTACAGTATTAACACAATCAAATGTAGGTGATATTTATGAAAAACAAACCTTCAGAATAATTGTTATATGTAGTTCTCGGTAACTCTCGGTACCGGTTTGAGTTCTCTCTTCTCCCTGCCGCGGCCCAGCGGGTACTGATGGTGAGCGCGTTCACCTGTTGTATTATACTGTACTAGGAATGGCGACGTGCAGGACTCCGGGAATTGTTTACCTAGAGATCTACGTGACGTAAATTAAGAGATCTCTAAATTGTTTTTAACTTATATGGGAGAAGAGGATTGACGTAGATTATAGATAGTGTTGGCCAGGTACTTTAACTGTCATTTACAGGTACTTTAACGGGCATGTTCGGTGGATTTGGCATCCTGGATTTGGCACGACAGTGGGCTCGAAACAGTAACTCTCGTATTGCCCACCGTTTCTGTGTGGAAGTCGGTCACCCTGGAATAACCCGTTATAGTACATCCTTCTTTCCTCACGCAACCAAACTGTGGAATGCTCTGCCTTCTTCTGTGTTTCCATCCTCTTACAATCAATCTGTCTCACTTAAAAAAAGCTGGTTTTCCGGCATCTTCGTGGCGTAGATTAATATCATCGTTTTCTTTTCTATTTTTAATTTCGTTTTACTCTTATTTTTTCGCCCCCTAGGCCCCGTTGTGGGTCGATGACCTGTGCCCGGGTGGGCTATTCCCCGTAAAAAAAAAGATAATGGCCTACCGTGAAGAAGCGACCGTAGCTTTGTAGCAGATTCTTGCTGAATATTTAGTGAATAACTCAACAATTAAGTTTAGTTAGGACGTAGATAGCTTTCTAAGCTCACAAGAATGTATCACTTAGTGATCGTCAAATAAAGGAGCACACAAGTATGAACACTCTACTGAACAATGTTCTCTGAGGTATTTATAAACTACTTTTGTCGAGTCAAACCCTTGCCCGCCTATAGTATAAGCTAGGCAACTGCAGGCGTTCTTATCTCTCAGTCTAATTGAGGTTCCGTAGTGAAGGCACCAGTCTAGTTGCCCTCCTATGGACGTCTTCAATCAACTGAGTCCCGAGCATATCTCGGGGAAGCACCTCACTTTTGAAGAGCGTTACGAGTCCTTACTTGGAGCTGGCGGACGCTCGCCCCACAAGGGGTCACAGCTCAAGATTGAAGAAGCCGCAGGTCCAGAAAACTGTGAGGGCAAACTTTTTCGGAGTGAGAGTTGTGAACTCCTGGAACAATCTACCAGAAAGTGTTGTGACGGCACCGAGTGTGAGCTCTTTCAAGACCAGACTTGACCAACACTGGAGCAGGTTCAGGTACATTCAGGAGCCGGTGCATGCCCAGTACTTGCCAACAGTGCGTAACAGAGATGTGACCGATCGCCCAAGCGGCAACGAGCCGATCAGTGGTGAAGAGGATAAAAGAAAAAGAAAGAAAAGAGAGATGTACCATCATCCAGATATTTGAATGCCGTTCTTATATGACCCACTAGCTTAGTTGCTTGATTCATCTTCTCACAATGGTTCGAGAACTTCAGTCGTTGTAAACACACACACCCAGGTCCTTTTCACATTCGGCAGTGCCGGATTAACCATGAGGCACTTGAGGCACTGGCCTCAGGCCCCCCGACTCTAAGGGGCCCCAAATCCAAACATTCTCGAAGTTGAAGTGTATAAAACATGAACTTCGTTCAACGATATCTTAGCAACGTCTCAATTTTCTGTCTCTTATGAACATTAAATGTGCTATTTTGCAGAAGCTTAATCTTGGTGAAATCATTGATAAATTTGGGCATATTTTGTTCTTGTTATTTATATACACCTTGAGGGTAGGGGGCCCCAAGTTGATCTGTGCCTCAGGCCCCTATTAAGCTTAATACGGCCCTGACATTCGGTCTCCGTTAATGCGACTCAAGTGCATCTCTTACACTTCGTAACATTGAATCTTAACAACTATTCATTTGAACTCTCCAGAAGAAGACAGAGGTCTTTCTGTAGCTCTTCACAGTCCGTTTAGTTCTTAATTTCCCTGAATAACTAGGCATCGTCAGCGAACATTTGTATGGGTGAGTGTACAGTATATCTTCTGGCATGTCAATTAGAACAAACAAACAACAGCGGGCCCAATACACTGCCCCATGGTACTCCGCTTGTCAGTCAGTTGTCATGGGACGGGTACATAGCAATTTCGTGCCATTAATCACCACAGACTGCTGGCGGTCACGAGGAGTCTGAGATCCACGCTAGGACATTCCCCCGAATTCCGTATCCTTCCAGTTTAATTTTCAGCATTTCTTGCGGTACACTGTCGAAAGCCTTGGTGTGAAAAGGAAGTAAGTGTGTATGTGGGCAATGAGCTGAAGTTCTCGGGCCATTGAATTAACAGAGACGTGACCGACCGTCCAAGCAGCTAACGAGCCGATCAGTGGTGAAGAAGTAAAAAAAAAAAATAAATAAAAGAATAAAAATCAAAGCAAAGTCCAGATATATATATATTATAGATATTGCCACTACCCTTTAGGATTTGGCATCCTGAGTACCGCCGGCACCGCCGTGGGCTCGTAACACTCGTAACACCGTTTTCGTGTGGATGTCGATCACACTAAAATAACCCGTTATTGTACTGTACATCTTTCTTTCCTCACACAGCCAAACTGTGGAATACTCTGCCTTCTGTGTTTCCATGCTGCTACAATCTGTCTCACTTCAAAAAGCTGGTTTTCCGGCATCTTCGTAGTGTAGATTAATATAATTTTTTAAATGTCTTTTTATTCTTAATTTTTTTCGCACCAGAGGCCCTGTTGTGGGTCGATGACCTGTGCCCAGGTGGGCTATTCCCCGTAAAAAAAAATAAATAAATAAATAAAACGCTTCAGGATCTCGTCAAAATATTCTTGCATCAAGCAGGAGTGTCCCGGCATAAAACCGAGCCGGCATTCCCATATTAGGTTGTTTCGTCGTAGATGTTCCATCAAGGTATCTCTTACAATGCTCTCTTGGAGTACTTTACACACTATGCTGGTCAAGCGTACCGGCCTATAATTATTATTTGTGGAGTGGGTTGTAGTGGATTCCTCCCCTACAAACGCTGTTTGTCGCTGAGTAGCCGACCCCGCGAATTCCCTCGTGGTCTAGGTCAACCAGCGCCACCTGACATGACGGAGGTCAACTATTAAGCCACGCCTACCTCCTCTATATAAGACCTGACCTCGTGGTGACCTCATCTTTCTACCTACAGCCAGTCCTCAAGCAACACCCCTTCCTGCCTGGCGGCCCTCGCTCCCGGCAGGGACCATGGCGACCCACAAGCTGATCCTTCTCTGAGCACCCTCACCAACCAGCTCTCTCTACATCACGCTTGTAACCACACTGCCACTTCCCAGCACCAAGCTGCACTGTACATTCAATACAATATGTATACAAAGAGCACATTGTGAGTTTCCTTTCTCCATCCCATCCTGAGTGTGAACCCAACAACTCGTACCCCACAGGGTTTCTCTCAGTTTGAATATATTCTCAGGCAGGGAGATTCTTCGCATCCTTCTGGCAGATTGTTCCAAGTATGTTCACCCAGTTGCAGTGAGTTGCTCAACCTTAAGTCTGAGTTTGTATTTGTTGAAGCTGACAGTTTATCAGCAACAGGTTGGACTCCAACCTGTTGCTGATAAACTGTCATTTCAAATTTGCTTCTTACACAATATTCATACCTAACTGATTTACTGAATGAGTTAAAATATAAGTAGTATTTTTAAAAGTAGCAAATGGAAGTAATTGGTGCAAGTTTTTATGATGCCTTATTTGTGATGCCGTTGTACTATGACAAACAAGTACTGTATATCGTAGTCGTTTGTTATGAAATATAATAAACCAGGATAATAAACTTCACTTAACATTAATATTAATGCTTTGAAATTAAATGTTTTTATTACATTTAAAACTTTAAAAATCATGTCGAAATTTTATAATCTTATTTTGAGATATTAAGTTAAAGGCAATATTTAACATGCATGGTTAGTGAATATTGCTTCAGCGTTCAGCCCTTCTACTAACATGAATTAAATATGAAATTAAACACTGATATTCAAATTGCATGAGCAATTGAGAAATTTATCATCAAATATTAAAACTGGTATTAATAAAAACTCCTGAGGTTGGTTCACCTTGTTTTCGGTTTTCAGGAGGATTATAGTACGTGTTGCTTGGCTTACGTGTCATACAAGTTAGTATATGTTTCTTATTAGTTATCCACTCATTCTTCTGAAGGAATAAAGTTGGAATTATTGTGGAGCCAGGTAATGTAAACATATGCATTAAGTTGTTGAAATAAGTTTGCTAAGTTAGAATTAGAACTTTCATTGGTAACTTCTGACAGGTACCTTAGTGTTGTCGCCACTCGGTGAACCTCTGAGAAAACATTATAGTAAATTGTTCTCATTCACACACATTAGCTTTACAGTCGTCAATAATTACCTAAGAGTGATTATCCTTCATACAAGGAAAACAGTAAATGTGATTTAGTTTATATATAATTATCATACAAGTTGACATTGGTTCAGCCTGTACATGTACTGGCGTACAAAGTGGTTGAATCAACCTTGGGTAACCCAAGAGAGTTGTTAAAAGCTCAATAGGGCATTTAGTATAATTTAAACTGAAATAAGTGTGTGGTACTGATGCTTTGGCACTTCAACAAATTATTGTGTATTGAACTACAGTCTGGTAACTACAATGTTGGCACCGTTAAATTCCAACATTTTGTTTAAAGGACTTTTGTTGCCGAAATATACAGTTTGTGTTAATGGATCTGGTGTTGGAACCGAAAAGAAGGTAAATGTGGAGCAGACGGCTAACACCAGAAGGAGTTCGATTTCGTTCATTTTTTCCACAGATGTTCTTTGGAGAATAGTAATATCAACGATATGACAATACACAGAACCTAATAGAACCTGACCTAACCTTAGCTAACTTCCTGCCATATTAAACAGAAAGTACTTACTTTGATATCTGGTACCAATGAAAGCAACTTCTTGAAGTGGCATGGTGTAATTTTATGATTTGTTTTTTCTTGGACGTGAGAATATGCTCAAACCAAACTGCTTGGATGGTGCACGGAAACAAACAGAGCGGACAACAACATATGCCGACAGCAAAATTTTCGGCCAAATATTTACGGTAGATAATTAATTTCTTCACATACAAAGCACGTAGAGACATCAATTTAGTGTTTTGTGGTCAGTTTTCACCGTGTTACCCTGCAATTTCCATCATCCTTCGTACCCTGCCCACTACTGGTGATTTATGATCGTAGAAAGAGAAAACAAAAATTTGTACAAGTAATTATAATAAAAAGTTGTCATATCATTTTTATTATTTTATATCATCCAAAGAACATCTGTGGGAAAAATTTATGTAATCAAACAACTTCTTGTGTTAGTCATCTACGCTAGTATAACCGAAAAAGAAAATTTAATTGAATTATTTAATGGTACAGTACATTCAGTACTGTGACCTCTGTACTTTTGACAAATTAACAAAAACCAGCTTTGAACTATTTCTATTCAATGGCTCATATCTGTTAAAATCAGACACAGGTCAATTATAATTTTTATCTATTTTTGGCCTCTGTTTGATTCAGTCAGTTGTATTATTTTGTTTAATAAACTATGTGTACTTGTATCATAAAAAGAATTACACATATTGCATATTCAGTAGGCACAGGATATTGGTACGTCAGCCTAATGTGCATGTGTGGTGGGCAGACTTTATAATGATAGTTACTAAGATGGCCTTCTTTCTGACTAACCTAACGTAACCTAACCATTAACAACACAGTACAGTACCTATATCCAGTGTAATTTCTGGCATATGGCTGCCATACCTATATCCACTATGCATTCTGTATACAGTATATGCTGTACTCCTGATGTACTCACATACAAAAGTCCTGTTACCTCACCTGCCTCTTCATGAACCCTGAGATTCAGAGACCTGTGTTGGTTTCGCAGGTCTCTGAATCTCTGGGTTCATGAAGCGGCAGGTCGGGCAACAGAAATTTTGTTGGTGAATGTTCCTTGTGGCTCTGCGAAATGTATCTCATGTTCCCTCGGATGAGGCTTCACATCGGTTCAGAACTCCTGGACTATATGATGAAGGGGCAGATACCATGGCATACTTGGTAATTCCCTAGTAAATTCAAAGCTATTATATTGCAAGATTGATGTCAGAGCCATGAACTAAAAGTAAATTCTATGTATCTTGTAATGTTTACACAATTCTAAGACATTTTTCTTTTATGATATTTCCACCAGAAATTTAGGATAACCAAGATATTAATTTTTCAACATTATTACTTTCGCTCAGTCACAAGTGTCGCCATGATTTGTTTACTTATGGCAGAGGTGGTCTGACCCCCTGCTCACGCATCGCTCCAGGCCTCCATCTTCGCTCTTTAAGCGTCTGGGGCATGAACAACAGGTTAGGTTAGGTTTTCTTGGTTGGTTGGTAATATAATTTTTGTAATTTATTCTAAAAAAGAAATCCAACTTTTTCCGTTATCATTGTTGGATGGGGGGGGGGGGAGGATCTAATACCTGTACAGTGATTCTCAAACTGGGGTTCGCGAAAAGCTTTTGATATATTCTGCGTTTAATGTTTGCGAGAGATTTGGCGATTCCAGTTCGGAGGATATTTTGGATTTGGGTTGAAATTAACAAATGCTTTGGACTGTGAAATTTTCTTTGATTATTGACAATATTTGTATGCGTCATGTTATTTAAGGTGCCCTTGGTTGACAAAAAGTTTGAGAACCCCTGATCTAATATACACGTGATTTCCGGTGGAAATGGATATCAAATTCGTTTGAAACTCATCAAAATACATAGGAAAAACCTATTTATGAGACCAAATATAGTTCTGCTGACTTATACAGTATTGTACATATACCGTACTGTACTCTTTCGTACAACCTCAACAAAGCAGTCCAGCCAGGATTCATAGTTCCTCTTGGTTAACACTTAATAAAGTAACACAATGAAAACATCAAATTAGAGAGTCACCGGTAGTGACTTGGAATCTTGTAGAGAATGAGCTGTTCTTGAGATGATCACTTGATGAGCTTTGCTTAGAACAATATGAACCATGAAATATATAGTGGTAAAATGAAACTGTATTACCGTACATTTTATTTAGATAAGCAAAAATCTATAGATAGTTTATACAGTATTGCAATATTGTGTATAGAACTGTAGTAATCCAAAGTCAAAGTGAATCATTCAAACACAGCACTTTTTGTGTAAGAGAAGAAATCTACAATGGCACACGAAATATTTATACTGTACGTACCAAACAGTTGAGGCAACAACTGTCACCCTCCTCAGTGGAGTTACACTGCTGGTGTGAGTAAACACAGTGAGTAGCTGCTGTATTAATGAGAGTCATGGAAGAGCTCAAGGGAGAGAAGCTGTACTTCAATCAAGTTCTTTAATATACCCTCAACACAAGAGTGACCATCGAATGTTGAAGTGATCCGTCACACCCGGACAGTCTAAGCACAGTGTAGTGCTTCTTATATTTATTCATTTTTTTATATTTTGTTCTTGTAGATTTACCATTAGAAAATAGTAACCAAACCTAAGCAAAGGACCCAACTGAAAATAATCAAATGATGACTAGGTTGGTTATCTTGAGTCATATTACCTTAATGTTTTCCATTGTTTACCCACACTGTATACTGTATTAGTAAGTACATTGGAAATTATATAACTTCATGGTGTATGTATACTGTATACAGTACAGTACTCTACTGTACCTGTATTGTCTATATGCATGCTGAACTGTACCCATATTGTCTAAATGTATACCTCACTACAGTATATTACAGTATGTACTGTGCTGTACATGCCAAACCAATTGTAAACATTATGAAAATTGTACTGAATAAATATCTATATCTATCAATGTTGATATGTACTTTGTTTGGAAGCTTCATTTCATTTTATATAAGCAAATGTTACCTAAGTCATGAACAGTGTGAATATTAATTAGTCCATAGACAAAGTTGTCCATAATTACTGTAGTTTCAGTGAGTACTGTACAGTAATCTGTCTTCCATGTCATGTTCTATACAGTACTGTATTGTTTAATCACCCATCGGGGTTCCCACCCATAGAGCTTAGGCTACTCACTAATTACCAGGACCTCAGACAAAGGTTCTCCTTACTGTCAATTCTATGACAAATGGGTGATGATACTGATTATATTATATTTCACAGTACCTCTACTGTACAGTATCATATATTGTTAATTCTTTAATGAAGATCAGATTACTGGTAGATATATACACATTACTTTAGACAACTCAATATAGAATAATACTAAAAAAACTTCTGTGTTTGAGGTTAACAAAATGCCTTGTTACTGGTTTTGTTTGGTATGTGTTTTCCTATTATTCTTATTTTGTATTATTACTTCCAACAGACATTAACAATGGTGTTAGCTGACCACAAAGATTTGATAGCAACAGCTGCCACCACAGTTACAATCCTCCAGTTTTTAAGTGGAATTGTCATATGTCGCAAAATTGTCAAACAGTCATCAACTGGAAACATATCTGGCTTCCCCTTTGTTGGAGGAGTATTTTCCACAAGGTGGGTGTCTGGCTCTTGTAATTATGTGCTTAAAAACAATATGTATCGGTTTAAAAGTATAATAAGGATTAATAAGAGTAAAAGAACCTGTGGTAATCCAGTAGATAGTGAGGGTGAGATTCAGACACTGAGGTGATACAGTGAGGTAGTAACCTGGTGTATGTGACATTCATGTTAGCATAAAGTGTTTTTCAATAATTGATTTTATCAGTTTACTAAAATCTCTCAAAAGTTTAAAGATCAACATAGCCTAAAATATGTGAAGGAAAATTCAACCTTTGGCTGAACCTAATGTCCCAGAAGGAGCAGTAAGTGTCAGAGATGTCTAGTTGTATGGCTGTGGGAAAATGTAAGAAACATTTTTAACAACTTACAATATGGATACAGTTTAGTATTTATTGTGGGTTGAATTTATGTTGATATGATAGATGGATAACTACATAATGGATGCCCCTTGTGTTCGAGGATGGCCAGCCCTAGGGCCACCTAGGTGTGAATTTGTATGAGGTGTAGAAGCTGTTGCCAATGCAACAACCACACCCTCAAGTAACGTGTTGCATTTCCCAGTATCAAGGAATAATCCGAGAAGGCTGAACAACTCGTCAACTGCATTGGCTAACCATTACCCAGGAACATACAGAACGTAACTAACAGTACTGTACTTTACTGAGAGAGAGAATTAGAAATATTTTCCTACTAAAACTATATTCTCAACCTTTACAGCACATGGCTTACATACAGCCTGCTACTGGGTGATGTGTCGATGAAATTAACCAATGTTGTGGGTCTACTTTTACATGTAAGATATGATGCTTTATTAACATCTCTATATTTATGGCTGGTGTGTACAGTATTATAATTCATAAGGTTGGCTCAATGATCTTGTCAAGTAACATTATGTGGATGATTTTCCTGTAGCTCAAATTATTCTATGGAAGCTTGCTGTTTAAAACTGTGATGAAGAGGAGCTGTTGAGAATAATTTGGTTTGGAAGACATCATTAGTAACTAAACAGGGCTGGACTTTTAATTAAAAGTAATTAAAACATTTTGTTCAACAGGATAAGATAATACGAGTACTTTAATAATACAGAAAACGTGTTGGTCTTTTACTAATAGTCAAAGAATATATTCATGACATTATTTTCAAAGAAATTTTTTTTTACCACCGTACAGTCTCTGGTATATTCGTACTGTATTGCAAACTCACCATTACAATAATCCAAACCACAAAAGTTAACACAATAACTCAACATTAGTTACAAAATTCAACACAAAATCAAAGCAATGCAATAATTTTTATTCAAGATTAGTTTACTTAGCTAATAGAATATACCGTACAAAGAAATCATACAATGGCTGACACTGTTTTATCATCCAAAATATCTACTAATTCTTTCCGTCTTGGTAAATATTACATAATAACTAGACCTGACCAATTTTGTCTAACATTTGCACTCTGGGAAACTAGTTATCTGTACATTGTGTGTGTGTGTGTGTGTTCATTATGTATTTCTATAGTTTTGAAGATAGAGAGCTCAAATTTGGTAGGGGGGTGCGGGTAGCCAAGGGAATGGTTTTGCACTATGCTTTGAATGACATACCTGCTTTAAATATTAGTAGCCATATGTTCTAACACATGTGCTCCTTTGCTATGACTAAACATTAAGATTTATATCAACTCAGCAGATACTGTACTGATGTTTAAAGATTCTATTTGTTCAGTATAATTTGAACATGCTGACAGGTATGCACAAATAGGTGTCTGGCCTGCAGTCTTTAAGGAAGGCTTGACTTACCCATTATGAGAATTTGATGGAGAACAAGATACAGTACAATGAAGTCACGATAATTCTCATTCTTAAATTTGCAGGTACAGTACCTCTGTTATTACTGTATGTACTGTACCTCTTTTTTTTTGCGATCTAATATTCATAATTTGCGGCCAAGCGCCAGCTGCAGCAGTTATTATCTACATAAGAAACCATAAAAGTCATGGAAATATAATTTTAATGCTTTAACTTGACTTAGAAATAAAGAAAATTCCAGTATAATATTAAATATCATTCCAATACTTTAATGTGATTTAGAAATACAGAAAATATAATATAAAACAAAAAATAAGAGAAATGAAAATTGGGAAATGAATTGTGTGTGGGAGGTGTGATGGTTAGGTGGTGGAGTTGAGGAGCTGTATGAATATACTTACAGTAATTGTAGGTCTTCATGGATCTATGTAGATCCTTCTTTTTTAAACGACCTTCCTGTTTGTTATATGGTACCTGTCCCCTAAGAGCCAGCCTTAGATTCAGGATTCTAGACTATTGGAACTTTTGTAATGGATGAGCTGGAATTGGCCTCCTCTTAGTTCAGGCAACAGGGAAGAGGATCCAGGATCTGAGTTTAGTTTTACCTCTTGGTTCTGTGCTTAATTGGGCAAATCTTAGGCAGAGTATTAAATTCGCACCTACAGCATAAGCATTCATTTTTAAACCTGGAAGACTGAGGATGGTGCTCATCACTGTCTCCAGTCAGAGGAGTCATTTTTTTACCTTAGGATTACAAAGCACTTAAGCAGCAAGTCAAATCCACTGGAAACTAAAGGATTGATGCCTGGCATATCCAATATATCTGACTTGGCTAATGTGTAATGGAGTAGGTAATAGTGTCACATTTAACTCGCCGACCTTCTACTTTGTGTTGTGATTGTTGCTTCTAATTGTCATTTTGATGGTGATGGTTGTAACAGAGAGGTACATGGATGCAATAAGTGATTTTATCTATTTAAAAAAAAAATTTGTTGCAGGTGTGTTACTTGCTGGTGTACATAAAGTACTGTATTGCCCCAGGACCATGGTACTCCACCAGGAGACAGTTGATGCTGTTCTCCACTGTTGTTTTTGTGATCCAGTACTATGTATTCTTCTCAGGTAAATTTTGAATTGTTTAGAATGTAATACCCGATTAGGACCTTGTTGAGGAAAGGTGATATCATAACAAGACACCGCCATGATAGCAGTAAGAATGGTTGGATAACAATAAATGAAGGGATACTGGGTGTCTTTACTCTTCTTTTAGGCTATCCTACACTACAGTAGAGCAAAAAAAAGGGTGAAGAAATGTAGCTGTCTTTTTAGTAATTTGTGCTAATAGGTATAGAAAGCTTTTTATGAGCAATTCTTTGTTTTAAATACAGCCACTCCTCGACTTACGACCGCCCCAGTCGTACCAAAAAATTTTTAAATTACGTATTTTCGAGTCCCGAAGTTAGTGATTGCGCTGTGTACTAACAAAATTTTCGTTTGTATTTCCCTTTAAAATGGCTGGCAAACTTAAAAGTGAGAGTTTTGTGATGCTGAGAAGAAAAAGAGACACCCATTTTGATTTTCTATGTACAGTGGTCCCTTGGTTAACAAACTCCTCGGTTAACGAAATTTCGGTTAACGAATTACCTCCTATAAGGATCTTCAATTCGGTTAACGAACAAAAATTCGATTAACGAAATCCTTACAAAAATCACTTTTTGTTGTGAGCAATAGCTGGTCAGCTTAGGGCCCAGTCTGCCAATTCAGTAATCTGTTCTATGTTTAAATTTGTTTCCAATTGAGTAAATATAATTTAAGTTGAGCTTTTAAATATTTGTTAATGTTTTATATTATAATTGTTAGTCATTTTAACATTTATTTAACATATTGACAATACTGTACATGTATTATCTGGACATTATATGAATTATCCCTGTACCCTCCCAGTCTGACTTGTTTAATGAGAGAGCAGCCATTTTGTTGGTGTCTTGAATATTTTTGCATTTTTCATTGAAATTATTAGCCATTCTGAACTTTAGTTAACATATTTATAATATATAGCATCGTGCGGTGTTGACTTAAAGAAAATAATCTTCAATTACACCTAGTGAACTTAAAATTTTATTGGTGAAATGAGGCATGAAGTCCAAAGAAAGGTGAATTCTCCTCCATCCCTACTTCCTTCTTTTCTCCCTTCTCCTTCACTTCCCACTTCTAATTCCCATCATCATCATCAACCAGGAGCCTTCTACATACACACCTTAAAGTAAGTGTACTTTACTGCATTTTTGTTTTACTTCGTATGTATTTTTCTGTGAGCTGGAACCAATTACCCAATATCCCACTGAAACAATGGATTCGGTTTACGAAATTTTCGGTTAACGAATGACCTTTTGGAGCGAATTGTGTTCGTTAACCGAGGGACCACTGTATTATCTTCGCATTTTCGACTTACGACCAATTCGACTTACGATCTAGATTTGGGTCCCTAACCCCGTCGTAAGTCGAGGAGTGGCTACATTAGATAACACTCACATTACTTCATGCACAACATAAAATGCATCCTTATTTATGTCAATCTATACCCCCTGTAACTGATGTTTTTCCTCTTGCAGGTGTAAATGTTGAGATCATCAAAAACCGTGTGGGCATGATGTGTTGTGTTGGAAGCATCATCTTCTGTGCATCTCCTCTCATATCACTGAAGGATGTGTTCAACACCCAGAGTACAGAGATGCTGCCCTTCCCCCGTATATTTGCAACCTTCATTATGGCTGGACTTTGGTGGCTGTATGGAATTATTATTGAGAATAGCTTTGTCCAGTACCCAAATCTGATTGGGTTTGCCCTTTCAGGTTTTCAACTCCTTCTCTTCATTGTTTACCCAAGCAAGATGAAAGGTAACTTAGTACTGTACACTAGTTTATGTGGCTGACTTTCTGCTGAAACAGTCTTACACTACAGGGTATTTATGCTTACTTATCTATATATCTCTACTGGTGCAGATTTAAGAAATAATTTGAGACTGTGTATGTATATGTATGTTTTCTTTTCTACCCATCAAGTATAAGAGTGCATAGAGGGTTGTAAGAGTGTAAAAATCTTATTATTCTTTAAATACTGTACTGTACTTTATTGGGAAAATTGATCAAGTGTTGATAGTTTGATCAGGTTAGGCACCAAAGTATATTTCCTGGATGTTAAGGGCTTAAAGACGATATATAGTTAAACTTTGATAATGTCCCTGTAAACAAAAAGAAAAATCAGTGTGTGGTTAATCTAAAGCAGAATATTAAAGTATGTGAACTAAACTCTCACTTTATTTTAAAGGAGTAATATTAATGGAACATGTCAGGGATTCTTAGTTGGTATGGTACGAGCACTTTATAAAAGTTGTAATAGTGTTGGTGTGTACAAAGAAGACATGTATGGTGTGTCATTGGGTCCAAAACCCGGTGTCATAACAACTTTGAACCCCTGAACCATCTCCGTTTCATGTTTAATATATTTGTTAACTCGCAAATTTTAACATTCTTATAAATAGTACAATTAGCCTAAATACAGTAGCTCATCAGATATGTACCAAAGAAATATAGATAAATTGAATGTAGCTTTTGAATGCTAAAATACAATGGTATTGTCTAGGTGACATTAACCCTTAAGCCTCGGGTTAGGTGCTGCTGGCAGTACCCCCCACGCGGGGTTAAATCGAGAAAAAAATCAACATTTCCAAAATTAATTAAAAAAAAATTAATAAATAAAATGGCGGGAAAATAGGCGGACGTTCTGGAACGTCACCCGGGGCCTAAGGGTTAAGATATGGGTTTAAGATTTTTCAGAATATAATATTTGTTAAAGGGATAGGCTGAAAAAAGCTGTGAGATTAAGTTTTGATGTTATGTGATAATGATAATCATAATTGAAGTTGACAATATAAATACAGTGATATCCCCGTTAGCCGGAACAATTGGTGCAGAGCACTTCCGGAAATGAGAGATTTCCGGGTAATGAAACGACTCTCTCAAAGTCGGAAAAAATCTCCCATTCCCGGAATTTTCCGGGTAATGAAAAAATTTTCTCGCAATTTCCAGAAAATGCGCTTGATTTTCATCTCTCAAACCCAGAAAAAAATCCCCCATCCCCGGAATTTTCCGGAAAATGTGCCCCTCAGAAAATCACTCACAAAGCCGTAGCTTTCTGGAAAATTCCGGCTTTGGGAAAGATTTTCTGAGAAAATTTCAATTCCGGCTATCAGAAAGTTCCGGGTTTGAGGGATTCCAGCTAAGGGAGATATTACTGTACTGTACTGTGTACTGTATACAGTTCTCGAGTAAAGACACTCCCCGGGTTACTGATGAGTTATGTTCCTGGAGGCTGTCCGTAAGCGACCCTTCCATAGGTAATAATCATTGAACACACATAGTACACATATTGTATATACAATTACCCCTGTACTACACAGGTACGGGACCATTTATCCAGCATGTGTGGGACCTGGAGGTTTCTGGATAAGGATTTTTTCCGGAATTTGGAGTACCAGGCCTAAAATATACAAAATGTACAATAAACCCTCTTTAACAGGCTGTGAAGACTGTTCAGATAACTAGAATCACCCTTAAAAGTAGCTTTTAACTATACCTGTACACTGTAACATTAAAACTTAAAATTGTGGGCATATAAACATTAATAACACAAGCATATAAATAGCATTAATGAAAGCATAAAGAGAGAAAAGATTATACAAGTTAGTGTTCAAACTGCCTCACTGCTGCCCTTGGTGCTCATCTTAGCAACACAGTCGGGTCCATAGCTACAGTGCTCTACCATGAACCCTCTGACTCAACACATTCACACAGTTTCACAGTGGAAAAGCCCGTAGATACTGTATATATAACTTTACAATTGTGATAACTATTTATTTTTGCACTTTATGTACTGTAGAATTGTGTGCATGTAACTAAGTAAAAAAATATGAAAATTACTTAAAGTGTACAGTTTACGTACGGTAACTGTAATCACTTTTTATGCCAAAAGTTTTATGCCAAAAGACTGCTTTAATAGTACAGTGGTCCCTCGGTTAATGAACGCCTCGGTTAACGAATTTCCTTCCATAAGAATCTTTATTTCGGTTTACGAACAAAAATTCGGTTAATGAAATTCTTACGAAAATGTTCGCTAATACAGAAATCGGTTCTAGGGCTTACATTCGTTAAAATTGGAGTAAATATCAAGAAGGTTGTACTATTCAATAATTTTCCAAGTTTTATATTAAAATTTTTAGTCATTTTATCACTTATTTAACATAATTGCAGTCCAGGGAACAAGGTTTTTGGTGCGCCCAACAGCCACTTCACTCACCCACCATGGCCTCGGTTTGTATCTCTGTTCAGTGGAGGAAACATCTTGCTTGTGGGTCTCTTGAACACAGAGTATTTTTACGTTTTTACAGTGCTATTATTGGTCATTCTGAAATTTATTTAACATATTGACAACATATACTGCAGTGTTGATTTAAAGAAAATAATCTTGAATTACACCGAGTCCACTTAAAATTTTATGGGTGAAATGGAGGCATGAAGCATGGTGTGATTTCTCTTCCACCCCCGCTTCCTTCTCTTCTCCTCCACCCCCACTTCTAATTCCCATCATCATCATCAATCGGGAACCTTCTACATACCCACCTCAAAGTAAGTGTACGTTACTGCATTTTTTTTTTTTTTTTTACTTTGTTTGTACTTTTCGGTGAGCTGGAACCAATTACCCAATATCCCATTGAAACAATGGATTCAGTTAACAAAATTTTTGGTTAACGAACGACCTTCTGGAGCGAATTGTGTTCGTTAACCGAGGGACCACTGTATGTACAATATATATATATATATATTGCAATGGGAAGAGTGTTCATCTGTTTTTGACAAGATAATTTTGTGCTGCTTTCTATGGTGATGAAGCACACTCCTTTAGGTCATGGTCACACTGCAGAGCACAGTACTGTACTGTATGTGATGATCAGGTTTAATTTCATTAGACACATCTCCTTCACACATTCATCCCAAGCACATGTACACTTGACGTTTTTATACAACAGGCCCATACTACAAGGGGCATACGTAAGTGTTACCCTTGAAAGTTTAGTTAATGTATTTAGTCAAACAGTTTTTGTCAGATTCATTTGAATTTTGGAAGATTGTAGCCATTATGTAGAGGCAAGCTTTTGTTTGGGTAGGCTGGTAGTCTTTATCTCTCCACAAACACACATACACCTGGAGGGGGGGGGGGGATAGGTGAATAGTATTATGGTAATGGTCTATCCATCTGTTAACCCATTCAGTCCTAATTTTGATCTGTTTTTGTTTCCTCAAGCCTAATGTATTTAATAAAAAATAAATTTCAAAGATTAAATTGGGTTTATAAATCAATTAAATAATGTTACCCCCTCAAAAATAAGTAAATAAATAAATGCCCAAAACCGAAAACAAAAATTTTTGATTAGTAGCTGCATTATTTTTTTTTTCTTCTTCATAAGCAGTGGTCACATTTAAAGGTAAATTTTTTGGAACAATTGGTTCTCTTGCTCATTGGGGGTCACAAATATTGTACGATATGGTTACATATTTTGATAAGGCTTTGTTTAGATATTATCATTAAAAGATAATGAACAGAACCTCAAACTCAGGTCTGTGTCTGAAGTAATAGGGACTGTTTATAAAGAGGGTTTCCTAAATCCCATCTTAATCCAGTGATTTTCTAATTTTTCTCAATTACCTTTCATCCCAGCAGGCACATTACAGAATAAAACAGTACTCATATTTTTAGCATAATCACTCACAGAAATTTACAGAAGTCCAAATATAAAAGTGCAATATTTTTTAAAGTTGCCTCTTATTGAGTGGAAATTGCCCAGGGTATATTACATTGATAATGGTCTTTCAAAATATGTCAGTAGACAATTATTTTACCCTGGTAAACTTAACAGTGATGCCTGGTTCTTTTACCCGCCTAAATTTATCTCTGTTACTGGATGAAATGGACGTCATATCCAGTTATTCTTGATAAATACTGTACCTCCTGTTTACTACCAAGTAACACTTTGGAAAGAACATTTTTGAGAGTCCATTGTGGGTGTAAACTGTCTTAAGTTGATGAAGATTTTCTTTTTATTGTTATACAAATTTTTAATCAATGTTTGTAGGGTATCTCTGTAAAAAGCATTGTGAGATTTGTTGTTTGAATTTGAAAAAGAATATATCTTGTGTGCTTAATTTCACAGACTCAACAGAACACTTGTGTTGTAGTGGGTATGTCTGTTGTAGTGGGTATGTCTGTTATGGCTTAATTTTTTTAAGGGCGTGTGTCTTTTAGAGAAGGATGGGGCTTTTGTTAAACAAACCCTACAATTCTCTGAAAGTCACACCCCCTTAACCTAGCGGAACGTACTAAACTTAACCTAACCTAACATACTAAACCTAACCTAACATACTCAACCTAACCTAACATACTCAACCTAACATACTAAACCTAACCTAACATACCCAACCTAACCTAACATACTCAACCTAACCTAACATACTAAACCTAACCTAACATACCCAACCTAACCTAACATACTAAACCTAACCTAACGTTATTTAATGGCAACTTTGACATCGTTATGACAGTTAGGCCTAGCGATAGATCTCCAGCATGCAAACAAAGTCATAGAAGCACTAGACTTACCTATCACCGTCAGGAGGAGCATCCCGGAAATAAAGTTGGCCATGGTGGTTGTGGTCCTGCAGGTGAGAGCGTGAGGAGGCACCCCTTGTAGTGGCCCTGTAGATGGTCTTCTGGCTTTTAATTTACACTTACAGTCAGTTTCCCACTTAAAATTAGTCGTTCACAGGACTCAGATGGTCACTCGAGTCACTCATTGGAGGTAAATCCGTCACTAGAGTGAGTTTTTTTCTCTAACTGATTCTCACCAGCCAGCTTCTTGCTATAGTCGTCACTGCCTTGGTCTTGCTTCACAGTTCACGCTGCTCAACCATGTCTCTACACCTAAGGACTGACGTTCTGAAGCCTCGTGCCGCCACTGCAAACCCCAGAGGAATGTAAATAACAGAACTAATGCAGCCAAGAGCTTCCTATAAGTCCTCTTCGTAGATACTGATGGCAGAGAGTGGGCAGCCTGGTGTGAGCGTTCTATCTCTCTCACTCTCTCCTGACTGATAAGATATTAGTCACTGATAAAAATACATCCAGGGATATTCTTGTTGTTAAGGAATAGAACGTTTACATGTTCTAGGTGATTGAAAATGCTGGAATGTTGTTGAGACAGATGAAGATTAACAGAGATAAAGAGAAAGGGAAATGAAGAGATAGGTGAAGATTGACAGAAAGAGAAAGAGAGAGAGAGAGAGAGAGTTACATATAGATAGAAAAATTTAATACATACAGCACGTACAGTCGCAAACAGAAGATCGTCCCCCATAGTGAGATCCTCATGGCTGCCGTCTGGAGCGGGTGTGCTGTTTACCTTGTATTATACAGTATAGGGTCGATACTGCTTCAGTTTACGAAGCCCAGAGACAAAGCAAACTTTGTTGGCGATTGTACAAACATAAAATAATAAGATACTTAATACATATATATATATATTCCCCTACAAACATAGAGGTCTCCATATATACCTGTAGAAAACACATACAGAGAGAGAGAGAGAGTATAGATAAGGGCAGATACGGACAGATTAGGTCAGATAGAACAGCAAGTGTAGCCACCAGCACCACCTTATAACTTGCTAAAAATAATTCCTAATTCTCATAGGTTTATACGCTATATTCGGATCACCTGAAGTTTTCCCCCAAACTTATTTCACCTGAAGATTAACCACCCTAACACCACCTGGGGTATTAAGTTAGGTTAGGTCTAAGGTTAAGTTAGTTTAGCGTTAGGGTGGTTAATCTTCAGGTGAAATAAGCTGGGAGGGGCAAGGGCGAATCTTCAGGTGATATCTCCACTCGCCCCCTACTACCGGGTCGCCACCCTGGAGCTGCTATAACACACTTACCTTACTACCTAGCTGTTAATTAATTACAGTAACTACTTATACAACGCACCTGCTGAAAAATAAGGGACTCTCGAACAGGAAATACTCCCTCCACGACAAAGATAAAGTAACATTCTCACGGAAATGTCGAACTTCCGGTGACGTGTACCGTACTTTCTCAACATCCCCGTGACGCGGTTAGGTTAGGTTAGGTTAGGTTAGGTGAGGTTAGATTAGGTTAGGTTAGGTGAGGTTAGAATAATATATTTCTGTCTGTTTGTGTTTGTGAGCTCATAAATTCTTGATGGCGTGATCGCATGCATACTCTTTATCTTGCTGTCTGTCTTTCTCTCTCTCTCGCCTTCCTGCTCTTTCTCCCTTCCATTTATCACCTTTCTGCCTTCTCTCTCTCTGGTGGCAAGGTGACCCACAGCGCTATTAACACCTGCTGCACGTACTAATTACACAGGTGTTATCGCGTCATGTTAGTGTACTGATACACGCTTAAATAAATTGTGTCATCATACCACTAACATCAAGGAGGGAGGGAGGGTGAGAAAGAGGGGGAGGAGGGAAATAAGGAAATAAAAGGAGAAAACCTTGGAGGAAAGAAGAGAAAATAAGAATGAAGAGGAGAGAGACAGAGAGAAGGAAGTGAAGCAAAAACGATGAAAGAAGCGGAGGGAGTGAAAGGAAAAAGTGAAGGGAAGAAAGTGGAGGGAGTAAAGGGAAGAAAGTGATGGGAGTGAAGGGAATAAATTAGAGGGAGTGAAGGAAGGGAAAAAACTCAGTCATGCAAGTCATTAATACATTAAATGATCGAAAAAAAGAGGGAGGGAGGGAGGGTTCTTTGTGAGGGGTAAAGAGATGGTGAAGAGGAATGTGAGGAAGGGTGTGGGGTGAAGAGGGATGGGTGTGATGGGGTTGGGTTAGGGGATTGATGAGAGCCTATTAATGGTGTATACCACTTATGATTATTTGTAACTGGTGTCCCAGTCGTCTGTTATCATTGTTACTACTAATGTTATGGCTATTATTTTTATCTATATTATTAGTAGTAGTAGTAGTAGTAGAAGTAGTAATAATAATAATTAATAGTAGTAGAAGTAAATCTCTCATTAAAATCCTTTAATCTTCTCATTAAAACTCTTGATTGTTCTCATTAATCCCCTTCAGCCTCACTCATATCCTTGGGTATATTTTGTTCTTGTTATTTATAATATACCTTGAGGGTAAGGGGCCCTAAGTTGATCTGTGCCACAGGCCCCTATTAAGCTTGATCCGGCCCTGTATCCATGTAATGTAAACTACTATCAGGGATCAAGGAAATGGTGTCTCGTTGTCATCTTATGTGGGTCACGTTTAGTAGTATGAGCATGTCGTGAACAAAAAAACTAGAGTAAGAAATATAATGATAAAAAATATATAGAACTATGTCGCTAGGTGTGTAGTAGCACGCGACGCCATGGCAACGACGGGAACTTGGCGTAGGATAGATAGATAGATAGATAGAAAATAGATACAGATACATCGATAGTCATAGATAGACGGATAGATATAGATACATTACAAGTGATCGTGTGCCCTTCGTGCCCGGTGGTGAGTCCGGTGGTACAATTTACCGAGGTGTGAAAGTTCGAACGCTCGTGCTTGGCTAACGCGCAACCGTTGTCCAGCTGACAGCGACATTGTTTTCCAGATGGTCGTGGTTGTTATAATCATGGCCGTGGTTGTTATAATCATAGTCGTGGTTGTTATAATCATAGTCGTGGTTGTTATGATCATGGTCGTGCTTGTTATAATCATGGTCATGGTTGTTATAATCATGGTCGTGGTTGTTATAATCATGGTTGTGGTTGTTATAATCATGGTCGTGGTTGTTATAATCATGGTCGTGGTTGTTATAATCATGGTTGTGGTTGTTATAATCATGGTCCTGGTTGTTATTATCATGGTCGTGCTTGTTATAATCATGGTCGTGGTTGTTATTATCATGGTCGTGGTTGTTATAATCATGGTCGTCGTTATAATCATGGTCGTGATTGTTACTAACACAGGTAGAATAAACCCCACACTTAATCTTTAATCTCAATAAACCCAGATTAACCTCACCTAAGCAACAGGATTAGAGACCATTAGGATTATACCACCAATACCGATACATTTCACACTGGATTAATAACAAAACATTTAATCACATTTCCAATAGCTAATGTCTTACGGATACTGTAAGTATCTAGTATACTGTAGTGGATTCCTCCCCTACAAACGCTGTTAGTCGCTGAGTAGCCAACCCCACCAATTCCCCAGTGTATGCCTCGTGGTCTAGGTCAACCAGCGCCGCCATACATCACGGAGCGGGGTTCAACTACTAAGCCACGCCTATCCCGCTATTTAAGACCTGACCTCGTGGTGACCTGCTCTTTCTACCCACACCAACCAGCCAGCAACACCACCTCCTCCGCCTGCCTGGCGAGCATGGCGACCCACAAGCTGTCCTCCTCTGAGCACCCTCACCAACCAGCTCTCTCTACATCACGCTTGTAACCACGCTGCCTTCCCAGCACCAAGCTGCATTGTACATCCAATACAACATGTATATAGAGAGCACAATGTGAGTTTCCTTTCTCCATCCCATCCTGAGTGTGAACCAAACATCCTGAACCCCACAATACTATAGGAGGGAATAGAATAAAGGTTAGAATGATTAGTTAAAGAAATATTCGCCATAAGGAGAGGTTAAAATCATAAAAAAAAATTAGTATGAATCACCGATGATCATTCCTAGATAAATTATATTATGAAGAGAAGTGACCTTGATTCTGGTTAGAAAAGTCACCATCTGCTTACGTCATCATAGTCATCATCTACGTTAGTCAGTTTTAGGCCCATCTCACATGACTGACCGACCATCCATGTTCTTTCCGCGCGAGGGTGTTAGTTTTCAATGCGTCTTATTATTTACGCTGGTGGATGTAAAACCAGCTACCCTCACTGACGCAGCTATGGTCAATTTTGTGTTATTCTTGTTTATAAATGCCTTTTGATCTGTCTCAAGTCTATCCATGCTGTCTATTGCCATCCCAACTGTCTGTTCGTCTGAGTGAGATGCTCAACCTTATGTCTGAGTTTGTATTTGTTGAAGCTGACAGTTTATCAGCAACAGGTCAGACTCCAACCTGTTGCTGATAAACTGTCATTTCAAATTTGCTTCTTACACAATATTCATACCTAACTGATTTACTGATTGAGTTAAAATATAAGTAGTATTTTTAAAAGTAGCAAATGGAAGTAATTGGTGCAAGTTTTTATGATGCCTTATTTGTGATGCCGTTGTACTATGACAAACAAGTACTGTATATCGTAGTCGTTTGTTATGAAATATAATAAACCAGGATAATAAACTTCACTTAACATTAATATTAATGCTTTGAAATTAAATGTTTTTATTACATCTAAAACTTTAAAAATTATGTCGAAATTTTATAATCTTATTTTGAGATATTAAGTTAAAGGCAATATTTAACATGCATGGTTAGTGAATATTGCTTCAGCGTTCAGCCCTTCTACTAACATGAATTAAATATGAAATTAAACACTGATATTCAAATTGCATGAGCAATTGAGAAATTTATCATCAAATATTAAAACTGGTATTAATAAAAACTCCTGAGGTTGGTTCACCTTGTTTTCGGTTTTCAGGAGGATTATAGTACGTGTTGCTTGGCTTACGTGTCATACAAGTTAGTATATGTTTCTTATTAGTTATCCACTCATTCTTCTGAAGGAATAAAGTTGGAATTATTGTGGAGCCAGGTAATGTAAACATATGCATTAAGTTGTGTTGAAATAAGTTTGCTAAGTTAGAATTAGAACTTTCATTGGTAACTTCTGACAGGTACCTTAGTGTTGTCGCCACTCGGTGAACCTCTGAGAAAACATTATAGTAAATTGTTCTCATTCACACACATTAGCTTTACAGTCGTCAATAATTACCTAAGAGTGATTATCCTTCATACAAGGAAAACAGTAAATGTGATTTAGTTTATATATAATTATCATACAAGTTGACATTGGTTCAGCCTGTACATGTACTGGCGTACAAAGTGGTTGAATCAACCTTGGGTAACCCAAGAGAGTTGTTAAAAGCTCAATAGGGCATTTAGTATAATTTAGACTGAAATAAGTGTGTGGTACTGATGCTTTGGCGCTTCAACAAATTATTGTGTATTGAACTACAGTCTGGTAACTACAATGTTGGCACCGTTAAATTCCAACATTTTGTTTAAAGGACTTTTGTTGCAGAAATATACAGTTTGTGTTAATGGATCTGGTGTTGGAACCGAAAAGAAGGTAAATGTGGAGCAGACGGCTAACACCAGAAGGAGTTCGATTTCGTTCATTTTTTCCACAGATGTTCTTTGGAGAATAGTAATATCAACGATATGACAATACACAGAACCTAATAGAACCTGACCTAACCTTAGCTAACTTCCTGCCATATTAAACAGAAAGTACTTACTTTGATATCTGGTACCAATGAAAGCAACTTCTTGAAGTGGCATGGTGTAATTTTATAATTTGTTTTTTCTTGGACGTGAGAATATGCTCAAACCAAACTGCTTGGTTGGTGCACGGAAACAAACAGAGCGGCAACAACATTCCCAGCAAAATCGGCTTATTTATGGTAGATAATTAATTTCTTCACATACAAAGCACGTAGAGACATCAATTTAGTGTTTTGTGGTCAGTTTTCACCGTGTTTTACCCTGCAATTTCCCTCATCCTTCGTACCCTGCCCACTACTGGTGATTTATGATCGTAGAAAGAGAAAAAAAAATTGTACAATTATAATGAAGAGTTGTCATATCATTTTTATTATTTTATATCATCCAAAGAACATCTGTGGAAAAAATTTATGTAATCAAACAACTTCTTGTGTTAATCATCTACGCTAGTATAACCGAAAAAGAAAATTTAATTGAATTATTTAATGGTACAGTACATTCAGTGCTGTGACCTCTGTACTTTTGACAAATTAACAAAAACCAGCTTTGAACTATTTCTATTCAATGGCTCATATCTGTTAAAATCAGACACAGGTCAATTATAATTTTTATCTATTTTTGGCCTCTGTTTGATTCAGTCAGTGGTATTATTTTGTTTAATAAACTATGTGTACTTGTATCATAAAAAGAATTACACATATTGCATATTCAGTAGGCACAGGATATTGGTACGTCAGCCTAATGTGCATGTGTGGTGGGCAGACTATATAATGATAGTTACTAAGATGGCCTTCCTTCTGACTAACCTAACGTAACCTAACCATTAACAACACAGTACAGTACCTATATCCAGTGTAATTTCTGGCATATGGCTGCCATACCTATATCCATTATGCATTCTGTATACAGTATATGCTGTACTCCCGATGTACTCACATACAAAAGTCCTGTTACCTCACCTGCCTCTTCATGAACCCTGAGATTCAGAGAACTGTGTTAGTTTCGCAGGTCTCTGAATCTCTGGGTTCATGAAGCGGCAGGTCGGGCAACAGAAATTTTGTTGGTGAATGTACCTTGTGGCTCTGCGAAATGTATCTCATGTTCCCTCTGATGAGGCTTCACATCGGTTCAGAACTCCTGGACTATATGATGAAGGGGCAGATACCATGGCATACTTGGTAATTCCCTAGTAAATTCAAAGCTATTATATTGCAAGATTGATGTCAGAGCCATGAACTAAAAGTAAATTCTATGAAAAGAGATCCTGTACTCTGAATAAAATCCTGTGGTCCTCCTGTTGGGGTGCCGGACAACTCGATCCCAAGCAAATCGTACATATGCAGTATAATATATATATATATATATATATATATATATATATATATATATATATATATATATATATATATATATATATATATATATATATATATATATATATATATATATATATATATATATTATTTTATTATTATTATTATTATTATTATTATTATTATTATTATTATTATTATTATTATAAAAAAATATGTATCTTGTAATGTTTACACAATTCTAAGACATTTTTCTTTTATGTTATTTCTACCGGAAATTTAGGATAACCAAGATATTAATTTTTCAACATTATTACTTTCGCTCAGTCACAAGTGTCGCCATGATTTGTTTACTTATGGCAGAGTTGGTCTGACCCCCTGCTCACGCATCGCTCCAGGCCTCCATCTTCGCTCTTTAAGCGTCTGGGGCATGAACAACAGGTTAGGTTAGGTTTTCTTGGTTGGTTGGTAATATAATTTTTGTAATTTATTCTAAAAAAGAAATCCAACTTTTTCCGTTATGATTGTTGGATGGGGGGGGGGGGATCTAATACCTGTACAGTGATTCTCAAACTGGGGTCCACGAAAAGCTTTTGATATATTGTGCGTTTAATGTTTGCGAGAGATTTGGCGATTCCAGTTCGCAGGATATTTTGGATTTGGGTTGAAATTAACAAATGCTTTGGACTATGAAATTTTCTTTGATTATTGACAATATTTGTATGCATCATGTTATTTAAGGTGCCCTTGGTTGACAAAAAGTTTGAGAACCCCTGATCTAATATACACGTGATTTCCGGTGGAAATGGATATCAAATTCGTTTGAAACCCATCAAAATACATAGGAAAAACCTATTTATGAGACCAAATATAGTTCTGATGACTTATACAGTATTGTACATATACCGTACTGTACTCTTTCGTACAACCGCAACAAAGCAGTCCAGCCAGGATTCATAGTTCCTCTTGGTGAACACTTAATAAAGTAACACAATGAAAACATCAAATTAGAGAGTTACCGGTAGTGACTTGGAATCTTGTAGAGAATGAGCTGTTCTTGAGATGATCACTTGATGAGCTTTGCTTAGAACAATATGAACCATGAAATATATAGTGGTAAAATGAAACTGTATTACCGTACATTTTATTTAGATAAGCAAAAATCTATAGATAGTTTATACAGTATTGCAATATTGTGTATAGAACTGTAGTAATCCAAAGTCAAAGTGAATCATTCAAACACAGCACTTTTTGTGTAAGAGAAGAAATCCACAATGGCACACGAAATATTTATACTGTACGTACCAAACAGTTGAGGCAACAACTGTCACCCTCCTCAGTGGAGTTACACTACTGGTGTGAGTAAACACAGTGAGTAGCTGCTGTATTAATGAGAGTCATGGAAGAGCTCAAGGGAGAGAACTTGTACTTCAATCAAGTTCTTTAATATATCCTCAACACAAGAGTGACCATCGAATGTTGAAGTGATCCGTCACACCCGGATAGTCTAAGCACAGTGTAGTGCTTCTTATATTTATTCATTTTTTTTATATTTTATTCTTGTAGATTTACCATTAGAAAATAGTAACCAAACCTAAGCAAAGGACCCAACTGAAAATAATCAAATGATGACTAGGTTGGTTATCTTGAGTCATATTACCTTAATGTTTTCCATTGTTTACCCACGCTGTATACTGTATTAGTAAGTACATTGGAAATTATATAACTTCATGGTGTATGTATACTGTATACAGTACAGTACTCTACTGTACCTGCATTGTCTATATGCATGCTGAACTGTATACCCATATTGTCTAAATGTATACCTCACTACAGTATATTACAGTATGTACTGTGCTGTACATGCCAAACCAATTGTAAACATTATGAAAATTGTACTGAATAAATATCTATATCTATCAATGTTGATATGTACTTTGTTTGGAAGCTTCATTTCATTTTATATAAGCAAATGTTACCTAAGTCATGAACAGTGTGAATATTAATTAGTCCATAGACAAAGTTGTCCATAATTACTGTAGTTTCAGTGAGTATTGTACAGTAATCTGTCTTCCATGTCATGTTCTATACAGTACTGTATTGTTTAATCACCCATCGGGGTTCCCACCCATAGAGCTTAGGCTACTCACTAATTACCAGGACCTCAGACAAAGGTTCTCCTTACTGTCAATTCTATGACAAATGGGTGATGATACTGATTATATTATATTTCACAGTACCTCTACTGTACAGTATCATATATTGTTAATTCTTTAATGAAGATCAGATTACTGGTAGATATACACATTACTTTAGACAACTCCACATAGAATAATAATAAAAAAACTTCTGTGTTAGAGGTTAACAAAATGCCTTGTTACTGGACTTGTTTGGTATGTGTTTTTCCTATTATTCTTATTTTGTATTATTACTTCCAACAGACATTAACAATGGTGTTAGCTGACCACAAAGATTTGATAGCAACAGCTGCCACCACAGTTACAATCCTCCAGCTTTTAAGTGGAATTGACATATGTCGCAAAATTGTCAAACAGTCATCAACTGGAAACATATCTGGCTTCCCCTTTGTTGGAGGAGTATTTTCCACAAGGTGGGTGTCTGGCTCTTGTAATTATGTGCTTAAAAACAATATGTATCAGTTTAAAAGTATAATAAGGATTAATAAGAGTAAAAGAACCTGTGGTAATCCATTAGATAGTGAGGGTGAGATTCAGACACTGAGGTGATACAGTGAGGTAGTAACCTGGTGTATGTGACATTCATGTTAGCATAAAGTGTTTTTCAATAATTGATTTTATCAGTTTACTAAAATCTCTCAAAAGTTTAAAGATCAACATAGCCTAAAATATGTGAAGGAAAATTCAACCTTTGGCTGAACCTAATGTCCCAGAAGGAGCAGTAAGTGTCAGAGATGTCTAGTTGTATGGCTGTGGGAAAATCTAAGAAACATTTTTAACAACTTATAATATTGATACAGTTTAGTATTTATTGTGGGTTGAATTAATGTTGATATGATAGATGGATAACTACATAATGGATGCCCCTTGTGTTCGAGGATGGCCAGCCCTAGGGCCACCTAGGTGTGAATTTGTATGAGGTGTAGAAGCTGTTGCCAACGCAACAACCACACCCTGTTAACGTGTTGCATGACCCAGTATCAAGGAATAATCCGAGAAGGCTGAACAACTTGTCAACTGCATTGGCTAACCATTACCCAGGAACATACAGAACATAACTAACAGTACTGGAATTTACTGTGCTGTACTTTAATCCATATATGTGTGTGAGAGAGAGAGAGAGAGAGAACTAGAAATATTTTCCTACTAAAAATATATTCTCAACATTTACAGCACATGGCTTTCATACAGTCTGCTACTGGGTGATGTGTCGATGGAATTGACCAATGCTGTGGGTCTACTGTTACAGGTAAGATATGATGCTTTATTAACATCTCTATATTTATGGCTGGTGTGTACAGTATTATAATTCATAAGGTTGGCTCAATGATCTTGTCAAGTAACATTTTGTGGATGATTTTCCTGTAGCTCAAATTATTCTATGGAAGCTTGCTGTTTAAAACTGTGATGAAGAGGAGCTGTTGAGAATAATTTGGTTTGGAAGACATCATTAGTAACTAAACAGGACTGGACTTTTAATTAAAAGTAATTAAAACATTTTGTTCAACAGGATAAGATAATACGAGTACTTTAATAATACAGAAAACGTGTTGGTCTTTTACTAATAGTCAAAGAATATATTCATGACATTATTTTAAAAGAAATTTTTTTTTACAACCGTACAGTCTCTGGTATATTCGTACTGTATTGCAAACTCACCATTACAATAATCCAAACCACAAAAGTTAACACAATAACTCAACATTAGTTACAAAATTCAACACAAAATCAAAGCAATGCAATAATTTTTATTCAAGATTAGTTTACTTAGCTAATAGAATATACCGTACAAAGAAATCATACAATGGCTGACACTGTTTTATCATCCAAAATATCTACTAATTCTTTCCGTCTTGGTAAATATTACATAATAACTAGACCTGACCAATTTTGTCTAACATTTGCACTCTGGGAAACTAGTTATCTGTACATTGTGTGTGTGTGTGTGTGTGTGTGTGTTCATTATGTATTTCTATAGTTTTGAAGATAGAGAGCTCAAATTTGGTAGGGGGGTGCGGGTAGCCAAGGGAATGGTTTTGCACTATGCTTTGAATGACATACCTGCTTGAAATATAGTAAGTAGCCATATGTTCTAACACATGTGCTCCTTCGCTATGACTAAACATTAAGATTTATATCAACTCAGTAGATACTGTACTGATGTTTAAAGATTCTATTTGTTCAGTATAATTTGAACATGCTGACAGGTATGCACAAATAGGTGTCTGGCCTGCAGTCTTTAAGGAAGGCTTGACTTACCCATTATGAGAATGGGTAATACAGTATTATATTTGCAAATGAATGTGTAGAAAAGGAAGCTCATTCCTCAGTAAGATATTTTCCAAATTTTGTCCTCATGTGAAAATTACACTTTGGAGACTCTAAATGGGAGAGTATTTAATGAAATGTCTGCTCCCACTGTTGACCAAAATTTTGATGGAGAACAAGATACAGTATTACCCCGCTTTACACGGTTTCACTTTCCGCGATTTCTCATTTACGCGGTACTTTGCCAGAACCAGACTTTCACTTTCCGCGGTGCATCTACTCATATACGCAGTGAAGAATAATTTTTTTTTTTTATTTAGCTCATAAAATTCATACAAATTACCCGGCCAGAATATAATTTACATTGCTGGAATTCTTACAATATGATGATCATTTTGAATATAAACATCATGGATTTTGCATTAGACATACAAATTTTAGATCTAATGTAATAATTTGGTTTACACAAAGCAAATATTTTATCTTTTGTGCAAAATATATGAAGTTTACATTCAAAATATTCCCTGACCTGCAAGGAATCCAGAAATGTCAATTATATTATCCTAACTTTAGTCTGAGGTATTATTTATTACTAAACGTTAAAATCTAGTGTTTTCACCCAAACATTTCTCAGAGAGGTAGGAGCTAGTGAGCTGGGAAGAGGGGGGGGGGGGATTTGAGTCCATTATTTGAATGGACATTAACCTGGCGACTGTATTTCTCTTAAATATTAATTGTGTGAGCATACCATCATAAAATTAAGATGTAATTTTTACTACAACATAGGTATTGTGTCGGAAAAAGTGGAGTTTGGGGGTCGGGCCAGTCTCTATTGGAATTAATCCCATATATTCTGTTGTTCACTTTACTCGGTTTTCACTTTCCGCGGTACCCTGTGGGTTCAATTGACCGCGTAAATCGGGGTACTACTGTACAGTACAGTGAAGTCACGATAATTCCCATTCTTAAATTTGCAGGTACAGTACCTCTGTTATTACTGTATGTAATGTACCTCTTTTCTTTTCTTTTTTTTGTGATCAAATATTCATAATTTGCGGCCAAGCGCCAGCTGCTGCAGATTTTAGCTACATAAGAAACCATAAAAGTCATGGAAATATAATTTTAATGCTTTAACTTGACTTAGAAATAAAGAAAATTCCAGTATTATATTAAATATCATTCCAATACTTTAATGTGATTTAGAAATACAGAAAATATAATATAAAACAAAAAATAAGAGAAATGAAAATTGGGAAATGAATTGTGTGTGGGAGGTGTGATGGTTAGGTGGTGGAGTTGAGGAGCTGTATGAATACACTTACAGTAATTGTAGGTCTTCATGGATCTATGTAGATCCTTCTTTTTTAAATGACCTTCCTGTTTGTTATATGGTACCTGTCCCCTAAGAGCCAGCCTTAGATTCAGGATTCTAGACTATTGGAACTTTTGTAATGGATGAGCTGGAATTGGCCTCCTCTTAGTTCAGGCAACAGGGAAGAGGATCCAGGATCTGAGTTTAGTTTTACCTCTTGGTTCTGTGCTTAATTGGGCAAATCTTAGGCAGAGTATTAAATTCTTAAATAAGTGGATCCTTAACTTCGCACCTGCAGTATAAGCATTCATTTTTAAACCTGGAAGACTGAGGATGGTGCTCATCACTGTCTCTCCAGTCAGAGGAGTCATTTTTTTACCTTAGGATTACAAAGCACTTAAGCAGCAAGTCAAATATTGAACCATCACTAAAAGCTTCTTGGGTCTACTTGTCAAAGATGATTGTCAAGGTGATTGTGCTCATCAAGTTCATGGTATCAGTTCTTGCACCTTCCATGATCTTCCTGAGAGGAATGTCAGTTCATTCTATCCTTTAAAGAGGTACCTGGTCTTAGTCCAGAATGTTCATTACAAGATAATAGGATGAAGAAAGTATGTTGACAGACTGTGTGGTGCTAGGGAGTTTGTAAGATTATTTCTTTGTACCCTCCTTTGTACTATGTTTAATAGGAATTACTTCCCTACAGTAGTGGGGTACATTTCTCACTAGCACTTGAAGCTTCCGATACTCAAATAAAATACTGTACACTATAGTACTGGAGGGTTGTAAGACCATTGATGTAAAATTGATCCTGAAATCCCAGTTTATGGCCAATATCTCCACAAAGCAACTTGGATACTCTTCTCTCTTCCCAGTGAATGATACAAAGTATCCACTGGAAACTAAAGGATTGATGCCTGGCATATCCAATATATCTGACCGGGCTAATGTGTAATGGAGTAGATAATAGTTTCACATCTAACTTGCCGACCTTCTACTTTGGTGATTGTTGCTTCTAATCTCCATTTTGATGGTGATGGTTGTAACAGAGAGGTATTACTAATCTCTGGGCTATACCAACCACTATAGTGAGTATTGTCAAGGGTTTACCTAGTTTTAAACCTACAGACTTAGGGAGTTTACACATAAGTTGCTTAGTTATGGTCTTAGCCATAAAAGGAGATTTCAGGATCAAGCCTTCATTTTTCATCTTGGTGCAGAATGTTGAGCTTTTGGGCTGCTTGAAGAAACATAGTGAAGGTAACATAAAGATTGTTGATGGAAGTTTTAGAGTAATTTTGACTGGTGTTAGTTATAAGAGTGAAGTATAGACATTTGTGAGCTTTAAAAGTCAGTATTTTATTACTAGAAAAAATATAAGAAATTAAAATATTTGGGGTATGCTAGAATTTCTGGGTCCAGGATTGTAACCTATTTTTCCCATATGATGCTACTGTTAACTTCAGTAGAGAATAATTTTTAAAAGAACAAGACCCAGCTGGACTGTCCCTAGGTTTCTGTCAATCGCCTCCTCTACTGCTAAATGAATAGAATTCTTTCTTAGTGTGATTTTTTTATAATATCTGAGAACATAGGATGTACTGTTCCTAAGTGATTTCAATATAAACTGGAAATTTGGGCAGCCCAAAAAACAAACATTACATAAGATCCTAAGAATATTTTCCAGTTGATGTGTGGTGTCCTTATGATAAAATCTGTCTCCTTTAAGAGGGATGGGCCATTAGTTCCCATAAACTATACCTCATCTAAACCCAAATTCCTTTACTTGACTTTTGATTGCATTTAAATGCTCTGGATCTTTATGTTTTCTCTTTGTGTTGTGCTGCTGGAGTATGAGTCTGTAAGGTAGGTTCTTCTACCTATAGTGTACAGTATTAGGTTTTGAGAATGCACCGTTGGTTTTTCGTACTTTGAATTGTCATGTGCAATGAAATTTATTTATAAGAATAGTGGGAATTTTGTACAACTTGGTGAAGGATGCTGTACCTTCTTATTTTGTTGCTGAGTACAGGTATACAAAAATAAAATTATTCTACTCATTTTTTTAATTCATCACAAATCATATAGCTAATTTCCTTACCTGAGTGGCATCTTGACATGCATGTCCTCCATCACACTTGATTTGTAGACATCATCGTGCACAGTATATTTTGAATACATTTTTACCTTCCGTATTCTCAAAGAACAATATTTGTGTACAAGTGGTATGGTACTTTGAAAATTTATTGTCATGTCAAAGGTAGCAAAGCTAAAATAATAATGCACTGAAGCCTTTGTCAATGGTGAGATCTCTAAAAGGAAGGAATGTAAGTGAAACTCCTTTTTCAGCCACTGCTGTTTGATGTATTCAGCATAGTAACAGCAGTCTTCATAACCTTGACTGGCATGCACTGCATCAGTATTAACCCTTGCTAAAATATATTGCCTGTCATGCAATATTTATTTCTTAAGATCAAGAGCACTAATAGTGAAATGCATCTGTAGATTTATTTCTTCCACATTCACAGGATTTAATATCTAGAAAACCCACAAGGAATTCTCACCCATTTGAGGCTTTTTCTTATTTTTCATTCACCCACTTGGGGAGTATCTAATGGCATGCTGCTGTCTGTTTGTCTTTCTTAACATTAAAGTTTCTAGCTTTGTTCATTAGAGTAAACATCATCTAGATTGACCATGTCAGCTACAGCATCACTTATCTCAAAAAGACAATGGCTGAATGGTTTCCATGTGCAGAAGTATAAATAAATAGTCATTACAATTCTGTGCTTTCATTATATTTCTAGTGATACAGGTACATGGTATATGATTATCAGTTGATTGATTTACTCAAATAAAATAAAGATTCTGAAGTCAGCAAATTTCAAAATTACATCTTCAACAAAGGCTATTGGGAAACCCTGTGGCTCGAAACTGTAACTTAAACTTTCTTGCACGATGACTAAATATTGGAAATCTACCTTGGCTATGGAAAGAGTAAGAGTTATCTATCTGTCTGTTATCTTTATTCCCTGCTTATTTATGTATGGGATGAATCAAAGGTTAAATAAGATATAGGGGTTACACATTAGTTGGCCTTAGTTTATAAAATACACTGCAGTAAGAGAAGTGTTCTTTGATTGATATCATGGGATTTGTCAATGTTTTAGACAACCACAGAAGCTCTCCATTTTCTACCATCTTTACTTAGTAGCCAACACACATATATCTCCGGTACAGTACATCTCTCAACAGTATAGTGTATGTCGTATATATTCAGATTACAAATTTATTTACCTAACAAACATAGAACCCTTGTACAGTACAGTTTATATAATTGTGTTCAGCTAAATATATTTCCTTATCTAAGGATTAGTGAGAAAAATTAATCTTCTAGAGATATTGGTTATCAATTGTTTATAATGGGTATTTTACACCGTGGGAATCTTAGGGATTTTCAGATATCTTTTCACCAGTGTTCCAGACTACTTGAAGTGAGTCTTATCTTGAGGGTGTGAGGTGACTTGTAACATGCATTAATGAATACTGTACGGTGTACCACTTTCAAAACAGTGGCTAATTCCTGTGTCCTTTTTTGTTTTTAATTCCTTGGTGACTGTTTTTGGGTTCTCATATCACTGCCTGTAGATGAGCCAATGATATGATCATCAGATTGAACAAACAAACACTCTCATTTTGCAAGCTTCAATAGTCTAGACTCCTATTACAGCAGGTTTAAGTTCACTGACACTTAAATAAAAAAAGATGCTGATTGCTATATGGTACAGTACTATGCAATTAAATAATACGTTAACTAAACAAAGAGCTATTTTAATTTTGAAGGGAAGAATTTTTATAGGGTTAGCAATGCTTACCTTGCTTCTTAAGAATGCATGCCACTGATAATAATCCTCAGCTAAAAATTATACCAGGGCAAGTAACAGTAACAGGCAATTCAAGGAACAATTACGAAAAAATCACATCAAACCGTAGAAAAAAAATTATGTTTGATGCTATAGTACATTTTTGTTTCAACATAACTTCCTTGAACAAGGCTAGGTCATGTTTAATTCTCTGGTGCACCTTCTGAAAATTAGTCAGTCTTGTGCATGCATAATCATAAATATAAATTGGCTTAGGGTAGTGTGACAACAACTCTAGTGGGAGAAATTTATCATATCCATAAAGTAAGAAATGATACATGGAAGCAGTAAGTGATTTTATCTATTTAAAAAAAAAAATTTGTTGCAGGTGTGTTACTTGCTGGTGTACATAAAGTACTGTATCGCCCCAGGACCTTGGTACTCCACCAGGAGACAGTTGATGCTGTTCTCCACTGTTGTTTTTGTGATCCAGTACTATGTATTCTTCTCAGGTAAATTTTGAATTGTTTAGAATGTAATACCCGATTAGGACCTTGTTGAGGAAAGGTGATATCATAACAAGACACCGCCATGATAGCAGTAAGAATGGTTGGATAACAATAAATGAAGGGATACTGGGTGTCTTTACTCTTCTTTTAGGCTATCCTACACTACAGTAGAGCAAAAAAAAAGGCTGGAAAGGGTGAAGAAATGTAGCTGTCATTTTAGAAATTTTTGCTAATAGGTATAGGAAGCTTTTTATGAGCCACTCCTCGACTTACGACCTACTGTACTCGATTTACGACCACCCGGACATACGACTGCCCCAGTCGTACCAAAAAAATTTCAAATTAAGTATTTTCGAGCCCCAACGTTAGTGATTGCGCTGTGTAGTGACAAAATTTTCGTTTGTAATTCCCTTTAAAATGGCTCGCATGCTTAAAAGTGAGCGTTTTGTGGTGCTGAGAAGAAAAAGAGACACCCATTTTAGATTTTCTATGTACAGTTGACCCTCGTTAATTCAGACTAATAGGGGGGGAAGGGTGTCCGTTTTAGCCGATTGTCCGAATTAACTGATTTAGGGGTTAATATTGCATTATATTTCAAAGTCATTGTTTTCGTCACGATTTTATCCTATTTTACATTGAAATACATCACGTTTCAGCAAAACTACTGTTTATTTCAGAGAATATATTCATTCAGGTGCAGTTTAAGTAAAATATACGTGTGATGTAACAGTTTTTTAACTGAAAACGATTCGAAAATCACGTACCCTCTAGCCCTGTTCAAGGACAGGACTGGGAGAAGCTGTTTGGTGCTGCAGACGATGACAAGGAAAATGATTTGGATGGATTTTAATGAAAATATTGAGAAATATAGTATCGTAGTATTTATTCAAGTCAATTTGGATAGAATATTATTTTAATACTGTACAACAGTTTTTTAACTGAAAACCAATCGAAAAGCGATTACGGTAACATCTTTTGAACGAAAGAAAGTGAAAGTCATTGTTTTCGTCACGATTTTATCCCACTCCACTGTAATACGTACGTCATTTCAGCAAAAATATTACATTTCCGTGAATGCATTATATCAAGCACAGTATGAATAGAATACCATTGTAATATAACAGTATTTTAACCAAAAACTATTAAAAAAAACGAGTAACTTCTCTTGAATATCGGAAGGTTCGGTAAAATCTTTTGTTTTCGTCATGTATTTTATCCTATTTTACATTAAAATACATCACGTTTCAGCAAAACTACTATTTATTTCTGAGAATATATTCATTCAGGCACAGTTAAGGTAAAATATACATGTGATGTAACAGTTTTTTAACTGAAAACGATTTGAAAAACACGTGTGCCGTCTAGCTGATACTCAACAGCTGGTGGTGCGTCATACGTCGTTGTAAACAGTAGGAGGTTGAAGTAGATTACCGGGTATTATATTAAGTGTGAAATATCGAAAAGGTTTTTATTACCGGTATTTTTTGTAGATCAATGAGAACTGTTATACCGTATATGATATGATAAGTTAGCCTGTGCTAAGAACTTCAACATAGACTACTGAAAACACGTTGTAAGGTAATTTAGCCTATTGTAAGTTGGTGAGCTTCATTTGCTGAAGGAACTGCACACCTTTTCATTACTAATTGGTACATATTTTACGTTTCCATTGTTTACTGGCAGTAAATGGTAAATATTTTTCATGTCTAAAGCTAAAAGTTGCATCTCCCGCCCCTCCTCCCCCACACTAGTGGTGGAGATGTTACATTTAACCAAAAAGACGCTGGTGTTTTATCCCAGCAGTGGGTGGACCAGCATTTTAGCTTAAGGTCCGCGTAGGTAATATTCCTACAAAAAAAAAATAAAATAAAATAAAGTTTGTTCAGATTTTGTCCGAATTATCCGAAATCCGGATTAAAGGGGTCCGAATTAACGAGGGTCGACTGTATTATCTTCGCAAGTCGACTTACGACCAATTCGACTTACGATCTAGATTTGGGTCCCTAACCCCGTCGTAAGTCGAGGAGTGGCTACATTAGATAACACTCACATTACTTCATGCACAACATAAAATGCATCCTTATTTATGTCAATCTATACCCCCTGTAACTGATGTTTTTCCTCTTGCAGGTGTAAATGTTGAGATCATCAAAAACCGTGTGGGCATGATGTGTTGTGTTGGAAGCATCATCTTCTGTGCATCTCCTCTCATATCACTGAAGGATGTGTTCAACACCCAGAGTACAGAGATGCTGCCCTTCCCTCTCATATTTGCAACCTTCATTATGGCTGGACTTTGGTGGCTGTATGGAATTATTATTGAGAATAGCTTTGTCCAGTACCCAAATCTGATTGGGTTTGCCCTTTCAGGTTTTCAACTCCTTCTCTTCATTGTTTACCCAAGCAAGATGAAAGGTAACCTAGTACACTAATTTATGTGGCTGACTTTCTGCTGAAACAGTCTTACACTACAGGGTATTTATGCTTACTTATATCTCTACTGGTGCAGATTTAAGAAATAATTTGAGACTGTGTATGTATATGTATGTTTTCTTTTCTAGCCATCAAGTATAAGAGTGCATAGAGGGTTGTAAGAGTGTAAAAATCTTATTATTCTTTAAATACTGTACTGTACTTTATTGGGAAAATTGATCAAGTGTTGATAGTTTGATCAGGTTAGGCACTAAAGTATATTTCCTGGATGTTAAGGGCTTAAAGACATTATATAGTTAAACTGTGATAATGTCCCTGTAAACAAAAAGAAAAATCAGTGTGTGGTTAATCTAAAGCAGAATATTAAAGTATGTGAACTAAACTCTCACTTTATTTTAAAGGAGTAATATTCTGATGTTATTTGATAATGATAATCAAAATTGAAGTTGACAATACAAATACAGTGTTATCCCCGTTAGCCGGAACAATTAGTGCAGAGCACTTCCGGAAATGAGAGATTTCCAGGTAACGAGACGACTCTCTCAAAGTCGGAAAAAATCTCCCATCCCCGGAATTTTCCGGGTAACGGAAAAATGTTCTCGGAAGTTCCAGAAATTGCCCATTACATCATCTTTCGAACCCGGAAAAAATATCCCTCATCCCCAGAATTTTCTGGGTAAGGGAAAAATTTTCTCGCAATTTCCAGAAAATGCACCTGATTTTCATCTCTCCAACCCAGAATAAAAATCCCTCATCCCCGGGATTTTCTGGAAATCGGGAAGTTTTCTGAATTTTCCGGAAAATGTGCCCCTCAGAAAATGACTCGCAAAGCCGTAGTTTTCTGGAAAATTCTGGCTTTGGTAACGATTTTCTGAGAAAATTTCAATTCTGGCTATCAGAAAGTTCTGGGTTTTAGGGATTCCGGCTAAGGGAAATATTACTGTTCTGTACTGTGTACTGTACAGTATACAGTAGAAGTTCAAAAATCCGGACTGCATGGGGATTGGGTCGGTCCGGATTTTCGGATTTTCTGGATTCTCAGGCAGTACTTTTAAAATTCAAATTTAAGGAGGATTAAAGAAGAGATGAACAGATACATTTTGATAGTTTATTCATTAGCAAATATAGCATGCTTCATTTATCAAAACGAACAGTTTTAAAGAAAAAGCTGTGAATTCTAGAATTTTATTCTTTGCCTCTTTTATATCATAAATTGTAGACTTTCCAATGTTGTATGTTTCCATTAGAACAGTATTGCTCACACCACGTTCTATTTTAATTATTTAAAGTTTGTCACTCAATTTCAACGTGTTCTTCTTTCTCTTCACACAACGAAGTTTATCTACTTTTGGAGCCATTATTATGGGCTCTGTAAATGGAAAGAGTAGGACTCAAAATTACGTACGTTGTCACAGTTTGATTGCTCGTTTTAAAGTGGTGACCGTGTGGTCGCTTGTTGTCGCTGTGCAGCTGTGGCACTCACGCATGCGCACATACACACAAAAGCCAGCTAAAAAAAAAAAGAACGTTTGAGTTTTCGAAAAGTCTGGATTCTCGGGTGGTCCGGATTTTTGGACTTTAACTGTACTGTTCTCGAGTAAAGACACTCCCGGGTTACGGATGACTTATGTTCCTGGAGGCTGTCCGTAAGCTGGAAGTGACCCTTCCATAGGTAATAATCATTGAACACACACAGTACACATAATGTATATACAATTACCCCTGTACTACACAGGTACGGGACCGTTTATCTGGCATGTGTGGGACCTGGAGGTTTCTGGATAAGGATTTTTTCCGGAATTTGGAGTACCAGGCCTAAAATATACAAAATGTACAATAAACCCTCTTTAACAGGCTGTGAAGACTGTTCAGATCACTAGATTCACCCTTAAAAATAGCTTTTAACTATACCTGTACACTGTAACATTAAAACATAAAATTGTGGGCATATAAACATTAATTACACAAGCATATAAATAGTATTAATGAAAGCATAAAGAGAGAAAAAATTATACAAGTTAGTGTTCAAACTGCCTCACTGCTGCCCTTGGTGCTCATCTTAGCAACACAGTCGGGTCCATAGCTACAGTGCTCTGCCATGAACCCTCTGACTCAACACATTCACACAGTTTCACAGTGGAAAAGCCCGTAGATACTGTATATATAACTTTATACTATGTGATAATTATTTATTTTTGCACTTTATGTACTGTAGGATTGTGTGTATGTAACTAAGTAAAAAATATGATGAAAATTACTTAAAGTGTACAGTACAGTTTATGTACGGTAACTGTAATCACTTTTTATGCCAAAACACTGCTTTAACAGTATTCTTGGCTGACTATGTGCTTGTACAGTACTGCACAACATAGATCGTATGCAAAAACAGCAGTGAGCGAGCAAACAAGCTTGTACAATACAAAGGCAGCAGTGTTCATCTGTTTTTGACAAGATAATCTTGTGCTGCTTTCTATGGTGATGAAGCACACTCCCTTAGGTCATGGTCACACTGCAGAGCACAGTACTGTACTGTATGTGATGATCAGGTTTAATTTCATTAGACACATCTCCTTCACACATTCATCCCAAGCACACGTACACTTGCCGTTTTTATACAACAGGCCCATACTACAAGGGGCATACGTAAGTGTTACCCTTGAAAGTTTAGTTAATGTATTTAGTCAAACAGTTTTTGTCAGATTCAATTGAATTTTGGAAGATTGTAGCCATTATGTACAGGCAAGCTTTTGTTTGGGTAGGCTGGTAGTCTTTATCTCTCCACAAACACACATACACCTGGAGGGGGGGGGGGGATAGGTGAATAGTATTATGGTAATGGTCTATCCATCTGTTAACCCATTCAGTCCTAATTTTGGTATTTAATAAATAATAAAAAATAAATTTCAAAGATTAAATTGGGTTTATAAATCAATTAAATAATGTTACCCCCTCAAAAATAAATAAATAAATAAATGCCCAAAGGAGAAGAACATTTTTTTTGGTTAGTAGCTGCATTTTTTTTTTCTTCTTCATAAGCAGTGGTCACATTTAAAGGTAAATGTTTTAGAACAATTGGTTCTCTTGCTCATTGGGGGTCACAAATATTGTACGATATGGTTACATATTTTGATAAGGCTTTGTTTAGATATTATCATTAAAAGATAATGAACAGAACCTCAAACTCAGGTCTGTGTCTGAAGTAATAGGGACTGTTTATAAAGAGGGTTTCCTAAATCCCATCTTAATCCAGTGATTTTTTAATTTTTCTCAATTACCTTTCATCCCAGCAGGCACATTACAGAATAAAACAGTACAGTACTCATATTTTTAGCATAATCACTCACAGAAATTTACAGAAGTCCAAGTATAAAAGTGCAATATTTTTTAAAGTTGCCTCTTATTGAGTGGAAATTGCCCAGGGTATATTACATTGATAATGGTCTTTCAAAATATGTCAGTAGCCAATTATTTTACCCTGGTAAACTTAACAGTGATGCCTGGTTCTTTTACCCGCCTAAATTTATCTCTGTTACTGGATGAAATGGAGGTCATATCCAGGTATTCTTGATAAACACTGTACCTCCTGTTTACTACCAAGTAATACCTTGGAAAGAACATTTTTGAGAGTCCATTGTGGGTGTAAACTGTCTTAAGTTGATGAAGATTTTCTTTTTATTGTACTTGTAATACAAATTTTTAATCAATGTTTGTAGGGTATCTCTGTAAAAAGCATTGTGGGATTTGTTGTTTGAATTTGAAATAGAATATATCTTGTGTGCTTAATTTCACAGACTCAACAGAACACTCCTGAATTTTACACTGTAATTGAGTATACAGTACTGTACTGGGGCCGCATACTCAAAACACCTCATCAGTTACGTACAGTATCAGAGATACGATACGGTACCTTACAGACTCCTTACAGTTCCGACTCAAAATTTAATTACTGGTCCGTAAGCAGTCTATAACTCTAGTGTTTACACTGTAAATTCAGTTCTCTTGTCCGAAGGTAGATGCCAGTGCATGAGGCAGTTGGCCAATTGTCGTTCAGTTTACAAAATCATCAACCAATCACAAGAAAAGGAGAAATCAACTGAGATTGACACACGTGATAGTTGCTAGACGTACTGCAAGCGTCATTAGGGAAGATGGAATTATGTTCGAGTAATACTTGAGGTCAGTGGTTAACCAATGACCAAAAATAATCCACTCTTTACCTAAACTAGCCTAACCCTTACCTAATCTTACCTAACCTAACTTTCCTTTCCTTTCCTTTTTTATAATCCATTTGTAGAGATAATCGAAAGTTAAAATGCCAAATAAAAGTGGCATCCTAAGTTACGTTTATATATCATCATCAGATTTATAAATATGTTGGAGAAATGATTCTAAAAAGTATGTTATTTCTGCAAATGTATTTTTTTAAAGAAATTGAAATTTTTCTAGAGAATTTAAATGTTTGTCATGTGCATTGCAGCTTTCTTAGGTAAGGTTAGGCTAGGTAGGGTAATGTTAGGTTAGGTTAGATAAGGTAAGGTAAGATTAGGTAAGGTTAGGTTTTGTTAGGGTAAGATACATTTCACTAATTTTACAGCAAAAAAAATCAATAATGAATGTATTGGATAAAAAACCTATGAACTTAATTCTTTTTCTAAGAAAAAAAAATGCTATACCACTGTTAATTCCCCCCCCCCCTTTTTATTAGGTTTGTTGAACTTAGATTGGGTAAGGTATTATTTAACTATGAGTCATGGGTACTTCTTGGATACTTGGCAGAACTGCTTGTTATAATTTGGTCCGAGCCATACCAAGGCATAGGTTATTGGTTGAATATGCAGAAGGCGGAGTCTAGGCAAAAATGGTCACATGACCTTGTATTTGGCAAGTTTACTCAGTCAAAAATTATTGGTACCATAAATGTGGGCAATAAAAATCTTCTAATTTGGTATAAATTATTTGAAAAGTTGTAAGAAGACAAAAGCTGCGTCTCTTCCATTCCGCAACAAATAGAAACTCTCAAGCCTCTTCTTATCGTAAAAAAATTTACTAAAAAGACAAATTGTAATATCGTATTTTAGTATGTTGATGTACAAAACATTTTCTTCATTATTTGATGATAAAACAAGTCTAACAAGCTTTATTACAACATATACATTTTTTTTTTTTCGTGCATTCCCGCATGAAATAGTGACTTATTATATCCGGGTTGACCATGTTACAGCACCTAAGCAGGTCTTGTAAGTTACGGCCTCGCTTACGGACTCCACTGCCAAATATTTGTTTTGAGCATACCAGTCGGAGACTGTAAGTCCAGTTACGGGGTAAGCAAAGCGATACAGTCCCGTTAATGCTTTTGAGTATGCAGCCCCTGGAGTACAAGATACCTGTATTTATTTGTGTATTTTTATTCAGAAGAGTATTTGGAATTATGGTATGTTTTGCAGGGAACGGGTAAGAAGGTAATTCTTGTTTTTATGTGCACTTCATATACTGTAATATTACTGTTTTATTGATATGATTAAGTTGAGTGTAAATTATATCCTTGACTTAGTGAGTTACTTATGGTTTATGATGGATACAGGTGCTGCAATGTATAACAACTGTGGAGTTTGTGTTATCTCTGTACCTCAAAAGACTTTAAATATATTTTTGTGGATATATTTTTGTGGAGGATTAACTTTGTGTGTGTGTTTTTAGCCTACACAAGGTTATTTATGTGAATTAGTTTTCGTGTCTTTGGGTACATATATACACGGTTTGGATTTCGCTTGCTTCTTTTTCTCTGTCATTTTTCTTCCCTGTATATTCTGACTTTCTAACATTTGCTGACTTTCCAGGTGAGCTCGAGGCAATAACAAGAGTACTGTAGAATTGCAGCGTATTTAGACGTCCATCCAGGGGTCAGGCAAACTCCGGGGAAGTCAGATGCTTCCAGGTTTTGTAAGCTAGTGCTTTGAGAGATTTTAACAAAATATATTTGTACAGTATATTGAAAATTAGGAATCTATCTAAACTTAATCATCATTATCATCATCGTCATAATATCTCTTATGATCATCTTATATAACATATCTTATTAAATTACAACAGCCAGACAACCCCTAGTCATTCAAGAACCACAAGGAAAGAGAAAAATTAATGCTGAGCTTAAAAGAAATTAGATGCAACTGCCAGAAAAATTGTGTGAATGGGGAACATTAAAAAGTACATATGTGATTCTCAAATATGTTGACATATACCTGTATTCCTTCCAGATGTTGGGCACTTTTATACTGAGAATATTTTTAATATCGAGAAAGAACTTGCAGCTATACTGTATATGTACATTCATAGTCGGTATTATTTTTAGCTGACAATACAAGCCCCAGCCCCTCCTTTCAGCTCATTGGCTCATAAATAATCTTTAATTAATATTGATATATTGCAAATAAATCCATGTAACTGTACTGTATAACTGTTCAGGATACCCAGTTCTGACTCACTTTAATGCTGAAAATAATGTATGTAAAGATATAACTACTTGAAAACAAACTTTCAAGACACGGACCGACACTACTGCGCATCCCTGGAATTTTTCCTGGTACAGCGTACTGGGGAAAGTTTTCCGAGGTTCTAAACTATTCATTTCACACGGACAGACACTATCGCACATCCCAGGAATGTTTCCGGGTGCTGGGGAAAGTTTTTGACGAGTCTAAACGATGCATCTCTCACGGAGAGACACAAACCTGTATTTATATACACAAATACACTGTACGCATACAATATATTGTAAACAAACAATATTTACTACTGTATACACTATACTGTTCTCACCAGCAGATGCTTTCATCTTGAGCTTGTGATGCAGGCAGGTCATATACTATAGCAAGTGTTACTGTCACTCCTCTCCCCCAATGAAGGAGGAATTGTACATGCACTGTATACTATACATACACCCTCTACACACTAGCCTACAGTAGGCATACACTGTCCACTCTGCTATGTACTATACAGTATTGTATGTACAGTACTTTGATACTTACTGTATGTACAGTACAGTATACATACACAAACTATAATCACTTTTTATGTTTTAACACATTATTCTTGGCTTATTGTGTCCTGTACAGTAAGGTAGAATACTTCACAACACAAATTGTATGCAAAAACAGCAGTAAACAAGGGAGCAGACGTGTACAATGGCAGCAGAATATGAACCAGCACAAGAGCCTACGACCTAAGTTACTCAAGCAGCTAGCCCACCCACGCTCCTGATACGTGGGGACACATTGGAGCACGATACAATCTCTCAGAATGGAGAGATTTTCTTAGAATTTTCCAGAAATGTGCCTGATTCCATTCTTGGAAATTTGTTCCAGTGCCTGAAATGGAGATATTTTTCGCAGAATTTCTTAGACGACTTAAAATTCATTCCGGCTATTGGAGAGTTCTGGGGATCGAAGATTCCAGCTAATGGGAAGATTACTTTTATTTATATTAATCAAACATCATAATATGAGCTATTGAGCTGTACGGGGCAGGGCTTCTTAACCGAGTACCATCAGCTAAAAAAAAAAAAAACTACAGTACAGTATACAGGTAATCATTCAGACTTTGTGAAGGTGCTTTACAAAGGGAATTGGTCTGTGATAGTGATGAAAGTCAGTTAGTTGTTTATCACCAGGATTATAGTGTAGAGTAGACTGTTGTATTTTTTCCTTTTGAAATTTGTGAAATGTTTTCTGTAGTGGACATGAATTTAACAAAGTTTTTTTGCAGTAATCTGGTGGCAGATTATATGTTCTCTGAAATTATATAACAAATGTTTAATGTTCTTTGGACTCATAAACTAACTTACAGCAAATTCAGACTGTAAACTAATGTGCAAAAAGCTTTTGCAAAGTCATTTTGTTCTTTATTTAAATTTATGGTCCTGTATCTGGACTTTTTGCACTAACTACCATTATTACAAAGGACTTAACCGATGTATAATATGCTAATGATTGTGCAATATCATTCTCTTTTCAGTAGGATGGTCACAAATTTCATTAGACTGTACTGTACACAATGAAGGTGTTATATACAGAGTATAATACTTGGGGATCTCATACAATTATATTTGTTATGAGACAGGCTAAGGACAGCTGGTATGTTCTGTAGATTCTTTGTGAGTAGGTGACATATGCATTTATTTTTGTTACATATGTTGTGAAAATAACAATTACAGTAATCATTCCTTACAATGGAATTCCTTTTAGCAGATCAAACTTGTGCCAGTATTTGTTTCTCCATTTAGTTAGATGAATGGGAATTTCCTGTCACGCCCATGTGGGCTCACATCATGATTTTTGTGCAATCAGTCAGTTTCTTGCCATGCCTCACCACACATTATTGTGGTTTCCCAGGTTTTTTTCATATTCTCCCCATGTGTGTGCATGTACAGTATATCTTTGTCACCATACCTAAAGTGAGTGCTAAGTCCAGTGAAGAGAAAGGTAAGAGAGTGCATCTCACTTTTACAGAAACTAGAATTTTTATTAGTTATTTTGCTAATATCCAGTATGTACTGTATTGTATATATACCCTGTATGTATAAAATCATAAGATATGTACATTTGGATGGTTGAATATGTTAACATTTGGTTGTGACCTCATCGGGCATTTTTGCCAGTTTCGACAGTTGTTAGGTGGCTGACAATCCACTCTCACTCTTTCAGTATTTTTACAAGTGGTTTCTGACAGTCTACTTATTGTCTAACCACTCAGTACTCGAGAACGTATGAATAGTGTGAAGAGCATCTAATGTCATGTAAAGTAATCATAATAGAACTCCTCATAACATGTTACCAGTCAGCTGTGGGATGGCTATGCATATTGTCATTTTTACATGTAATGAAACTACTGTAGAAGTATCTTCCACGTTACGAAAACTCGGGTTGTAGAAATTCGTCCATACTTTAGTTGTAAATTATGACCACTAAATACGGGATATGGCTCATAAATTTTACCTTATGGAAATGCAATAAATATTCAAAATTTTCAACACAAAAATTGCTATACGGTATTTGATTTTGTGAAGCAATTCTCAAATGCAACAATTTTATATTGAGGTAAGAGATGGGACATAATCCCTGGATCCTAAAAAGTTAAAAAATACTAAAAATATTATAAAAATAAATATATGCACGCAGGCAAATGGGAAATGGAGGAATAAATATTTTATCTAGTTTGGTTTAGCCATGGCATAGAACTCCTTTACTGTGCAAAGTGAGTGATTGTGGGTCACATGGGGGTGGTATAAGTGGACCTAGAGGCCTATGAGACAGTCTATAAATGCATCACCAGGCACGCAATTTTAAATTTGACACCAAAATCTTGTCTGGTATGTCGCAACCTTAATTGCAGACCACTGTACTGGCTTTTCACAGCTAAAGAGTTCAACAGATAACTGCTAAAGAGTACCTGTAGATCAATATTTTAAAGTCACTTCTCTTATTTAGGATTATGTAGCTTGTATGTTCTAAAAGTTTGTGTACATAGAATGACTTTTTCAAAGTAAAACTTATATTTTTATATCCAAGTCTTAAGGGAGAATTCAGTGGTGCAATATTTTAATGAAATAATGAGACATATTGTTTATGATATTGCTTGAATAATTGAAATAGTTCATTAAGTGTAACTCTGTTAAAATGCCTAAAATGTTCCTAGTATGTTGTTCATCTGTATCTCTCATATTATTGAAGGGAAGCACATAAAAGTGTAATGAATTATTTTTATTCTTAAGTGCTAATGATCACCGGATCTGAGAATTTTTAAATAAAAAAGAAATTTTAAAAATTATGTGGCGCAAGTGCAGCAGTAAACATATTGGGAACTACATTAAGCCTTATTATTTTATTTTTTAAGCAACTTTTGACATTAATGTAAAGTACTGTACATATGCTGTACATACAGGGATAAATCAATAAAAAATATTATGTAATTCATTGTTGTTAAAACATCATAAATGCATTTAACATGGAATCTGTTGAAGACAAAGCATTTCACTCTTTTCATAATACTGTACTATATATTTTTTCAAATAAAATTGTGTCAAAGTGTGTATCTTTTGCAGTGACTTAAACAATATTTTAGCTGAAATACAAATGCATTATAATCAGGAGTAAGTATATACAGCATACTTTTAATACTGTTTTGATCATACCTTGCTTTGATGTCTTTGGCAACAGAACTTTGTCATGGTGATGTAAAGGGACCATTTTATATTAAGTAGCTTTTAATATATAAACAGGTATTTGGAATACAAGTACTTTGTATTCAGGAACTACTGTACAGGTACACCACCGATTCTGGCACCCTTGGATCCAAAGCCTTGCTGGATTATCCGAGGTCAGGTAATAATAATTCAACAAAACACCTCTGACCCACTAATTATACACCTCCTGTGCCTCTAAAGCACCATGGACTGCTATGAACTTAAATTAAACAATGTGATGTTTATACTCAAATTAATCACTATATTACAAGGATTCCAGCAGTGTAATTTATATTCTACTAAGTCTAGTCTGTGACATTTTATAAAATAAAAACTTTAAGCCTAAACTGCCTTCACCCTGGCTGTGAGGAAGGGGGGTGACGTGTTGACAGCTGTCAGGGAGGGGAGATAACAAAGTGGTAGTTATCAAAACAAAAGGAGTTTTAGTTTTTCCCTTATAAAATGTCACTGAATTGACTTGGCAGTATATAATTTGCATTGCCGTAATTCTTGTAATATAGTGATTAATTTAATTATCAACATCACATAGTTTGCACTAGACAAAATTTTTTAGTAATTAACTCATTACAGGTTTACCTTTAGGACAATTATTTCTTTTACTTTTTTCACAATATATATTTAGGATGGTGTGTGCATGTAAATGAGTAAAAATAAATGAAGAAAGTTACATATAACTTCCCAGAAATATAAGTTAAAAAACTTGTATACAAATGTACAGTGACCCCTCGTTTAACGAACACCTCGGTTAACGTAATTTCGATTAACGAACTGCCTTCCATAAGGATCTTCAATTCGGTTAACGAAGTTCTTACGAACCGACCTCAACATGTTAACCAGCTTTAGTATCAGTCCGCCAATGCATTAATCGGTTCTAGGGCTTAAATTCCTTACTATTTTAGTAAATATCAAGAAGTTTATACTATTCAATAATTTTAAAAGTTTAATATTCAATTTTTTAGTCATTTTAACAATTATTGAACATAATTGAAGGTAAAGTGACTAGTTTAATGCGCGGCATCCAGCCTCTTAACACAGCAAACAGGCGTTAGTCTCTCTCTGTTTTCACTGCAGTGTTGATTTAAAGAAAATAATCTTGAATTACACCAGAGAGCTAAAATTTTATGGGTGAAATGGCGCCATGGGGTGACTTCTCTTCCACCCCAATGCCTTCTCTTCTTCCTTCTCCTCCCACCCCATTCTAAATCCCATCATCATCATCCAGGAGCCTTCTACATACACACCTCAAAGTAAGTGAACTTTTCTACCATTTTTGTTGAATTTAGGAAATTTTCGGTGAGCTGGAACCAATTACCCAAAAACCCATTGAAACAATGGTTTCGGTTAACGAACTTTTCGGTTAACGAACGACCTTCTGGAACGGATTGAGTTCGTTAACGGAGGGGTCACTGTACTACACTACACTAAAATTTCTATCTCTCATGCAACTATGTGTTGTTTATACTCCAATTAATCACCATCTTGCAAGGATTCCAGCAATGCAATTTATATTCTGCTAAGTCTAGTCAGCTACATTTTATAAGATAAAACTTTAAGCCTTAAAGCACCTTCACCCAGGTTGGGAGGGAGGGAGGGAGGTAAGTGCCCCCTCATAATTTTGTCCCGACTAAAGGAGGTGCCGGACCATAAGTTCCCGGATAATCGGTGGTGTACCTGTATTACATATAATCATGCTTATACAGTAGTTTGTTTTTGATGCATAGTATTAAGCACCTTGTGTGGTGTAGTGTGTTTAAGGAAAAGCTTATTACCGGGTATAGTATACTGTACGTGTTCAAGGGAAAAGGGATTTATTACAGCATATCTTTATTGCTAGTTCTACTGTTACTGTTGTATACCTTTCATTCTTCTGTTTCCAGTTTTTGTTTTTAAGTAAAAGATAAAGTCAAATTGTGTTTCCTTTAGTTGAAAATAATTACGGTTATCATAAGTTTTAGTACCAGTAATTTTGAAGTGTCTCAAATCAGGTACTGTACAGTGCTCTCATTATGTATGCAAATAAATGTTATTTTATATGTAGAATGAATTATAGTATCTGGAAAAATATTAAATTTGTTAATCATTGAAATGAAAATTTGTATTATGTAGTAATGGAGGACACCTGTCCGGTAATATATTGCAACATACACATCACTGCAACCTATAAGACGACCCAATCAGCCAGAAAGTCAGGTGAAGATTTTACTTGCTTATACATCAGCATAAAAAAGGGAACAAATTGGACAGCATTATAAAACTATCAGTCTAGTGCACTCAAGTCTTTTGCATAGTTTGAGTTAATATGCTTTTTGGACCTTTGCTATGGTTTTCGCTTATGCCACCTATTAACACACAGCTAAATCCTTTTCTTTTTCTCTTCTCCCAATCTCTGAAATACAGTAAAACCTCAATTTAACGGACTACATGAAGATGAAATTCTGTTATATCATGTGTCCATTAAGTGTGAAACCACCATCTCACGGATTATATGGAGAAAGAATTTCGTTATATGGAGGTTTCACTGTAAGCTTAATGAACAAATAGAAACTAAAAACATTTTAATTGTGTCCTGATAGATGCCACAAGAAAGCACCATTGCAAACAGTCCAACACACACATCATATCCAACTATGCAAATGACTAAAGTGGATCCGATGGAAAAAATTCTTTACTTCCAGTTTGTTCACGTTTGTGGTCCTCTGGTATTTTAATGTTTCAGATATGTTTTTAATAATACAAAGATGAATTAAATAAAACTGTGTAAACAAGCAGTAGCAAATAAAAACTGTGCCCATGGTAATGCTGATAAGTCTGGAGAGCAAAGATAGACATTAAACTTAGTAATAATATTGTACCATATACCGGGGCACCCTTTTTTATATATTGAATTTAATTTCTTGTGCTGTAGCATGTATATTCTTGTTTTAATATTTTGAAAGGTGTTTATAAGTGTAGGTTTATCTGAAGCTATGTAACTACGTACAGTCAACCCTCGCTTTACGCGGTCCCACATTACGCGTTTATGCGGTACCCTGCCGCCATCCGCCATGTTGTGTAAGCGGCTCGAGTAGGTTGCCCAGTGTGTGTCTTTGTTGCGTTATCAGTGACGTCATATGACGTATCGGACTGTAATTGGGCCATGCATCCTTACCTCCCTCCGCTGCTAGCTGTGATTGGTTTAAAGTAATATGACGTGTCCACCCGCGGGAGGGAGGGGGGAAAGACAACGCTTGACCTAGCCGCGGCAGTTTCATCCCTCCAGGTCACACCGTGTAAACGTGCATCCATTGTTCTGTAAAATGGCTTCCGCCGGACCACCGCCCCCAGAGAGAAACCTTTCCTTACCTGGACCCAGCCGCCCTAAACCAAAGAAGACATGACGTTCCTTAAGCTACGAAATTAAGTATAAGATCATACAAGAGTTGGAGAAAGGAACAAGACAGGTTGATCTCGCGCGCCAGCATGGTGTTAACGAGTCTACGATCAGGACAATTAAAAAGGATGCAGCCAAGATAAAAGAGCACATGAACATCACAAAGTCTACAGGTGCTTCTATGATCAAGTATTTCCACAACCAGGTGCTTCTCAAGACGGAGAAATTACTTGTGAGCTACTTGGTGCGTCAGGCGCGACGGAACATGGCGGTGGACACGCGCTCAGTTAAGGAGTACGCACGTGAACTGTATGCTGCAGTGTCACGAAAGATGGGAATTACAGAGCCCAAACCCTTTAATGCTTCCTCTGGGTGGTTACAGAGGTTTAAGAAGAGGAACAAGATCACCAATATCAACATTGGTGGTGAAGAAGCTAGTGCTGACCGTGTTGTTGAAGAAGGAGCACATCACTGTCCTGTTTACCACCAATGCCTCCGGTACCTGTAAGCTCAAGTTATCGGTGATCCACTCAGCACGCAAGCCACACGCCTACTAGAGCATGGACATGACCAAGCTAAATGTCCACTGGCTGACCGCACATAAGGCGTGGATGTGCTCTACACTGTCCCTCTCCTGGTTTGATGACTGTTTCATTCCCAATGTGAAGAAATTCTGTGAGCAACAGAATGTGCCATTCAAGATTTTGTTGCTGCTGGACAACGCACCAGGACACTCGCCCCTACTGTTAGATCGTCACCCCAACGTAAAAGTGGTCTTCCTTCCTCCCAACACTACGTCTATATTACAGCCCATGGACCAAGAGTTAATCTGTAATGTAAAAGCTGCATTCTCTACTAAAAAATTCAAGCTCCTGAACGACTACACCAACACCAGGGAAGAGTTGCATAACCTGAGTGACACCAACACCGATAGCAAGAGCGAAGACGACGAGGATCAACAGTTGGCAGAGCAAGAAGTACTTTTAAAACAATTCTGGAGAATATTCAACGTCAAGAAAGCTGTGGACTTCTTGGTGGAGGCATGGGATCAGCTGTCTGTAGCAACTGTTGGTCACGCATGGAGACATGTGTTGCAAGGCATTCCGGCCGTTAGGCAGAGTCAATCTGCGACTGGTGAGGTTCAGACTGTTGCAGTAGCAGTGGACCTTGCCAGAGAAGCTGCGCAGAGTGTTACAGCTGCAGGCTTCTCCGAGACCACCAACGACGACATCCTGGAGGTGATAAGGGATCCTCATGTGACTACCGATGAGATGGTAGATGATGATGACGTCAGTGAAGAGGCAGGTGGTGCGTCATCCCAAGAAGAACGCCGCTTATCCCATAGTAATGTAAGGGGTGCCATCGAGTGTATCGAGAAAGCCAAGCTCCTCCTTTCCGATGACCCTGACGCAAACAGGTATGAAATTTTCACTACCCAGCTGTTGCAGACTATGGAGCCCTACATCAAGGTTTATCACGACAACATAAACACCAGCCGTCAGCAAAGCATAACAGAGTTCTTCGCCCGCAACCCACCACAGCCAGCCCAAGCCAGTGATAGTGACAGAGGTAGAGACAGTGATGATGACTTTGAGGGATTTGTCAGGGAGGCCCTGACAAGTGTGGATGACAGTGATGGTGACTCACCTGAGGGCCAGTAGCCTGCCCTCTGCCTCGGAACCAGCCTCCATTCCCGTACGCCGACCCATCTCTTCTACTAACGTAAGTGTTAACCCCAACCTCGTTTTTTTCTAACCTAACCTAACCTTCAGTTTATTGACTGTTCCCTTCTATACTATGTGTGGGTGAATACCATCATAAAGTTAAGATGTTATTTTTAGTAAAACGTAAGTATTGTGTCGGGAAAAAGTGGAGTTTGGGGGGTCAGCCCGGTCTCTATTTCAATTAATCCCATATGTTATGTTGTTCACTTTACGCGGGCCTCTGTGGGTTGACTTAACCGCGTAAAGTGAGGGTTCACTGTATACCAAATTTCATATTATGTTTGGTTTCTAAGTCGACCCTAGGTTTGGAGAGATTTTCAACCTTAAGAGTCGACATGGATGCCACAACATACAGAATATTGTCTTCACTTATGTAGAACACTGTTCCTGTTCCGAAAGGCAACTGAGTCTCACTTCTCATGGTTAGATTAAGGTAGGACCCATTTACCCTGCAGCCATTTTTAAATGCCCCTGTAAACATTATTTTCCAGTGATAATGTAAATTTGTACATTTGAAACCCTTCCAGTCTACATAAGGTGACCATCTGAAACAAAGATCACGAACAAGGGAGAATAAGTTCCAGCCTGTAAGAGACTGACTTCAGAAAGACTTTTACTGAATCCTGGAATACCAATAATGGATTTAGAAGTTATGGAATTCTGACCTTCTCTAGAGGTAAGAACCTTTCAATTATGGACAGTCAGGTCAGGTAATGAAGTCTTAACCCATTCAGATTTTATTCAGCTTAGGAGGAAACACAGCAATGATAGGGTCAAGTTCATCCATTTATTCTCATATGGTTACTTTTTCAGAAAATCTATCAACAAAATTTAGGTTGAGATTAATGATAAAACATGAAAGCTTACATTCTCCCCCTCATTATCACCATATGTTACACTTTAATACTGTACAGTACGTACATCAAATTTTGCAAGTTACTTATTAATTCATTACCATCATATTTTAATAATCCAAAAGTACCTGCAGGAGTAATTGATAAAGAAATGTTCAAGATATGCAAGAAAATTTATTTTTATTAGTGTTTTTTTTTTAAAGCTTGTTACCTTTTATGATCAAAGGACTAACTAGTTATTTTTAAATATATATAATTTGTGTAAGAAGACAATAGTAGTGTACAAGTCAATACTTTAACTTCACAAACCAGGAAACCTAATTGTGTGTAGCCTGACAGAGTAAGCAGTCTTATTAACTACAAGACTTCCTGATGATCACTGTTGATAAGTTCGAAACTGAGTTAATCCTTATGAGAGGATGCCACCCAACAGTAAGATGCTGTGGAAAATATATTACTTAATCAATATGCGTGATGGGTAATGAATAAGGAGAGGTTACTCTTTGTGAGCCAACTTTTTCACTGGACATTGCGTACTGACTACAGAGACCCAGCTAAAACATGCTGTATGTTTATAGTCAGATGCTGCATAATTATATAGTGATGACCTTTGAAATTATGTGATAGACAAGGGTGGCAGTACAGTACGATACATAAATCTTTTTGGCCCTAAGTAAGGTATGGTATTTTTTCGTAACAACGTATTTAGATGGTATTTTTTTCGTAACAACGTATTTAGACAGACTAATAATTATGGACGTATACGTGTGGCCACGGTGAATCTGCTTGCATGTCAATTGTCAAGTAAGGTCATCATCAATGAGTCCTACAAGGTCTTGCAAACATCCCCTCTGTGATGTGACGCTGGGGTCAGTCAACCTGCTCCGATTCACGGGTTGACAACTTGACACAATAATATCATGGCCATCCTGTAAACACTATTGTGTTTTCTGAACCTTTAATCTATAGTCTTCATTTCAAGCAGCAAGCAAATATAAAGATAATGTTTTATTTTGCATATACAGTACAGTACTGTATTAATAATAAAGTTTTGTCGGGAAAGTAAATTATTTTTCATGTACAGTAAATCCGCGCTTAATGTTATTTCGGTACTATGTCGCTAAACTTTAGAATACAAAAATTTGTTTAATGTCCTGGTGATCTGATACTACGTTGTTTTGCATCGTCACAGACTACCGGCACTTTCTAAGGCGCATCACCCGCTCTTGGCTTGGCACAGTTTCAGTGACTCATCCCCCTCCTCCTCTGCTCCCACCATACTCCTCCTCTGCTTCACTACCCACCACACACTCACTCTACCACCTCCGCCCTTCGGTGAATACCATTACAAACTTAGTAGCTGTATATGTATGCACTATTTTCCATATAAATAGCAATAATTTTCTGTATATGTAATGTATTTCATGGGGCAAAGGGAGGCTCAGGAACATAACTCCCGTATTTTATCTATTTCTTGGAGGGAAAATTGATCTGCCTAACGTTGTTTTGCAAGCGAGGATAACCTAAAATTAGGGAACAGGATGTTCATGTGCAATGTGGTTACTTCACTGGCCTTGGTCAATCTGAGATGAATAAACACTTCTATATTTGATGATTACAGTAGGGTCTGATCCTGCATAATTGACATTAGATGTTACAGTACTATGCAGAAAGATGTACATGTATTGTAATGTTCTATTAAAATAAATTAATTTTTCATAAAACAAAAGGGTTTCAACTTATCAATGAACAACCATTCAATAAACACATTGATTGTTATTGTTAACATTTGCATTGTTCCCACATGAAAAGTTGTCTGGTGAGCAGAAAGAGAAACTCTATTTATTTTGTCTACAAAATAATTTCCATGGTGAAATAACCAATAGTTCTCACAATTTATTTTTTTCTGCTAACCTTAGTCAACTGCAACATCCCAAAACATTTGAGTAGCCTACAGTATTTTAGTAGCCCAGATTAGCAACACTATAGCAATAGTTATGCACGCTTACATGTTAACAAAACAAGCCACAGGCAACAATTTGTGTTATAAGAAGTTTGTTTTCCTTTACTATTACATAAGGAGGAAGTGAACTTTACACATTAATTTAAGCCCAATTGTCAAGTCTTCACTGGGCCATATAAATTAAGTGCCATTTCACTGGTGCTTTGATTGTGACCTCTGCTATGTAGCTCACAAGTTACACAGTACAAGTATTTGTTTTGTCAGTTGGACAAAACTAGGGCACACTGACTTTCCCACAACTATCAATGACAGGTTTGTTTAATAAGGTATTGTTCAAAGTGGGTGCCCAGTGGTTGCTGATCACTGGGTTAAAAATTAACAAATATGTCGATGAATGAAAGAATTGTCATATCAGACAGGTAATTGGTTGCCAATGATTTTGCAGCTATCTTAAAAGAAAAATAACTTCCTTCCTACTTTCTGAGATCATTATCATGAGATGGTGTGCAAATAATAAAAAGAACTTACCAGTAAAAACAATTCCAAATTTGTATACAGTACTGTATTTACAAGTACAGTATCATGAAAATCATTAACTAGAAATGGTATGAAGTGCAAGAGGAATGTTTTGTTTCCTCCCCTTTTATTACACTTGGGTCTTGATATATGCCAGGGTTATGTTTGCCATAAACCTTGCGATTAAATTAAATACAGTTATCCCTCGCTTCACAAATGTTTGAGATACGAAATTTTTTTTATACCTTTTTCACTTAATGAAAGTTTCCCTCGTTTATACGAATTTGGGTTCCAGCAGCTATTTTGGAGAGATGTGCAGAGACTTATTCTGGCTCACTGATCATAACCCCCCCCTATGTCTTTCCTTCCGCCATTCGTTGTACGGGAAGTGCTCTTTCTTTATCCATGTGTATACGTACCATCCTTTCGCTATTCTTTTCATCATGACATCCAAGCATTCGGCTGATTCTTCGGCTACCCGTACTAAACCGAATATACAAAAGGCTGTGACTCTTAAGACCAAGCTGGAAGTAATAAAACAACACGAATGTGACGAGGGTTCTACACTGATCAGGAAACAGCTTAGTTTGGCTGCTTTTACTGTCACTACCATCAACAAGCACACTGAAGAGATCAAGCAAGCAGCTGAAAATGTCACGTGCATGTAGGAGCAAGCAGGCTAACCCAAAATCATGGACAACATGTAGCATTATCTCCAGCTGTGGACAGTTAACATCGGGGAGATATTTCTGCCACCTAACACCAACTCACTGCTCCAACCAATGGATCAAGGCATCATTTCCACCTTCAAGGCCTACTATCTACGGAGAACAATACAGGAACTTGTGCGCCAGCTTGAGGACAACCAGACCAGCATCAAGAAATTTTGGAAGGCCTTTATCATCGAGAAAGTCATTGATCACATCAATAAGTCTTGGGAGATGTCGCAGCAAACAATGAATGGTGTGGCGCAAGATTTGGCCCGAGTGCATGCACAATTTTTGCGGGATTCGGTGGTGTCAGACAAGTGCAACAGGACATCGTTAACCTTGCTCAGGAGAGAAGATGGACTAGGGGGGATACCCAGGATCTGCTCCAGTCTCACAGCCAAGACCTCACCAATGAAGAACTCCTGCAGCTCCAGCAGCAGACGCTTCATGAAGGAGAGGAGGACCAGCCAGAGGAGCTACCCGAGAGCTGGCTCACTCAAGGTTTGTCAGCGAGGGCCTTGACCTCATTCATAAAGGGTTCGAGTTATTCTGTGCCAAAAACCCTTGAATGGAAAGGAGTGGTGCAGTTGTCTTTAGTGGAGAAAGACATCCTTGTCTACACTTAGATACAACAGTTGCTGAGGACCAAGGCAAAACAATGTAGCATATCATCCTCCTTTAAACCGATAACCGTTTTCAAACTGCATCTAAAGCTTCCTGTCCCACAACCTCTACCAGTGGATTTTCTTCCACTCCTGGTATGACTGTGATGAAGTGGACAGCTGTTCTCATCTCGCTGAGTAAAGCCCTAATCCCAGCCCACCCCTACTCACCCCGTTGTGGTGAGTCCTGACTGTCCTACCATAAGGTAATGTACCAAAGTTATACATTATTTTATCAATGTTTTTAATGTGTTTGGTAGAAAATTACTGCACGGTAGTTGTGTGAACTAATTTCATGTTTTGGGGTATGATATTGGGGAACTGAACCATATTTTTCCCATGTGTTCTGTTATTCGAGATATGAATATTCACTTAATGTTTTTTTTCAGGAACTTAACACATTCATAAAGTAAGGGATACCTGTACTTAGTTATAAGGAGAAAAATTGGATGCATTCCAGAACTTACTTCTGGGCCTCTGTAAATATTTGCTAGCAGACGACACACTCGCTTATGATTAGCTGATCAACTGGCCTCATTTGATATTTACAGCAATATCTCGTTAGCCGGAACTCTCCGATAGCCAGAATTTTCTGGAAAATTCCGGCTTTGGAAACGATTTTCCGGAAAATTAAGGGAAAATTTTCCCGGTACAGGAAAATTCCGGGATGGGGGATTTTTTCTGGGTTTGAGAGATGAAAATCAGGTGCACTTTCTGGAAACTCGAAGAAAAATTTTCCGTTACCCGGAAATTTCCAGGGATGGGGGACAATTTTCCGGGTTCGAAAGATGATGTAATGGGTAATTTCTGGAACTTCTGAGAACATTTTCCCATTACCCGGAAAATGAGGGATTTTTTCCGGCTTTGGGAGTCGTCTCGTTACCCGGAAATCTCTCATTCCCAGAAGTGCTCTGCACCAATTGTTCCGGCTAACGGAGAAATCACTGTATTTATTAAACCTATAAGAATGTACGTAATGAAACCTTCAGTATCAAAAGTTATGAACCATGAAAGACATTTAATGGTTTTCTTACACTAGAGGCCACAGTATATCGGCTTGCACCACATAATGGTGAATTTTCCATGCATAAACTGAGGGGTAACTAGAAATTGGGTCCTCGAATGTTACTTTTTTTTTTGCCTAAATCAGTTATTTTGCAAAATTCACAGCATGCATGCAGGGAATTTTGTGAAATAACTTACAAACAGACTAACCAAAGTTAAAAAAAAAAAAGGACGAGACCACTTAACTGTGTGTCAATCTACACAACCCATCCTAACATAACCACTCACTTAACCTAACCCTATGTTTGCAAGTTATTAAGCAAAAAAAAAAAAAAAGTAACATATATAAGTGAACCCGCATATATTGAGACCCAAGTGCATTTTTGTTTGGTGCTCTGCTATAATACTCACTATACTACACTGTAATACAAGTGGATCACTATCAGCTCTGGAATGTCCAATATGAGGCACATCATATGTTACATATCACAATAAACCTGATCATTTATTTTCCAAGTGTAATTCAATTTTTTTTAGGTTGTGGGGGAGTAATTCCCATGAGCTCACAAAGACGATTACGCTGTTTTCGAGCATCTTCTATGTTGTGCATCCATTCCGTCTCCTCCAAGATGTCTGTTACTTCCTCCAAATGTTCTTCAGGGACAATTTCTTGGTCACTATAATCTTGTAATGCTGTTAGTAAACTGGTTGCAGAAATTGCTCGAACTTTGGGGTACTGTCAACAAAGGAAAACAGGATGTGACATTAGAACTTTGCATGTACAATAGTTATTTACCATCAAAGAAATTATGCAACAATCAATACTCAATTATAAAACTTACAAGATTAACAGTAGCATATCTAATCCAATCAAGCAACAACAAAAAAGATTGTCAGATGTAAATCAATGCATTTCATATTTCTCAAATTAAAAATATAAAAACTATATCACCTGGAATCCTAGGAAGAGTGAGAGTTGAGTGAGGCATGCCTTACTGGCACTGCTGTTCATTCTCAGCAGCTCACACAGAACAGTGATGAAGGCAGACAACTTGTGATAATCTGCTGATCTAAAGCATTCCTTTCTCAGTGCTGTAATTAGCCTGGATGTATACGAGTCTTCTTGTTCAAGTACCTGCAATACAAATCAGTATACATTCTAGATGGTGAGAAATGTACACTGCATACTATGTGTATTCCTCTTAACTGATGGCGGATTTTCTCCATTACCCATAGGTGTCTCCTTGTTTCTTGGGGAGCCTAATGTAACTGTACAGTATACTGTATATATTCTTAACTGCAAATACCATTATCAAAAGGAATAAATGTGAAAGTAGTAATCTTTTACATTTCTGTGTCAAAACAACCAAATGCCCACATTAAAACGGTGAATGGAAATAAAGTCACAGGAAAAAAGTCACATGACTTATACACATTGACAACACAATATATATATGATGGCATTGCATGTAGGTTAAGTTAAGTTAGGTTTTCTGTGCTTTTCTTCTTGTGACTTTTTTCCCTGGATTCATTAAAACATGATGGTCCAGGTATGTCTTAGACCAGGCATGGGCAACCCGCGGCCAGTGGGCCACATGCGGTCCGGACCGTGTGTATGTGTGGCCCATGGATTGATTGAGGAATTCTATTTAATGTGGCCCTCAGTTCAGGTAGATGCAGCCAGTTTATGGTGAGTAAAGCAATATTTATTTTAAGAATAATCTTCACACACAATTCGTTACTGTTTTATCACCTAAGTAAATGTAACAGTGAAATAAGTATACCCTGTATAGAGTCAACAATATAACCATTGTAACTGTGTGAGTTTCCAGGCCAAGTGGGTAACTTGGGAATTAACAAAAGTTGGGTAAGTCCAAGCATCATTACTGCCAATAATTACCCTGCAATCAAATCTTGGATCATAGAATCGGAATCAGCAGGCTCAGGAGTACCTATACTGCGATTTTCAATTAAATCTAATTTTTGGCCAAACCCGTCAAAATATCGTCTTAGTAATTTTTTGACAGAAATATACTTTTCTCTTGGAATTGAATTTAAGGAGTCTTAACTAATTAAATACTTCCAGAATAACACAAAAAACACCAAAATCATACCTCGGAAACCCATAGTTGGCGAGTAATTAGCAGCGAAATAATGTAATTAATATCTTGCAAGTGGCATTCCCAATAATTATCCCGCAATCGTATCGTGGACCAAAGATCGGAATTGGCATGTTCAGAAGTACCTGCACAGGTACTGCAATTTTAAATGAAATCTAATTTTGGGTTGAAACTGCCAATACAGCTCCTCCCCGCACTTACGACCTGCCTCAGTTTTACAAAAATTTTGTCAAATTACGTATTTTCGAGTCCCAACGTCAGTAATTGCGCTGTGTACTAATCGTAAATATAAAAACTGAAAGATTGCATCGGTGAAATTTTAAGTCTGGATCCGACCCAACAAGTCACTATAGGGTCAATGTAGCAGGTGCATGAGTGTAAGTTTACCTGCAATGTGGGAGGAAAGGTGGAACAAAATATTCAACACAGAACAAGGGAGGGAATGTAGAGGAGATATGTCGTGATAGGGAGGAGCTCTCTGGCAGTCAGGACTCCTTAAGCTTCTGTAACTCATTACATGGAAGAATTAACTAGTTATTAAAGTCTTACTGGGACCATATCATAGAAGACACTTAATCTTCCAGGAGGTCTAACTACACTATTGAGTTAAAATCCTACTAACCGGGTCAAGGACTGCGGATGAGCTTAACAAGTCTCCCACTGTCTTGATTAGCGGTAGTGTAATTCGGTCCACCTTCTGGTGAGAGGCAAACAACTGTAGAATAGCTTCCAAGAAAGATGAGAGATAATCTGTCTTCTCTGCTCGAGCATTCAAGTAGGAGTGTATAGCTTCACTTGTATAGCGGGACTGTTGGAGAAATAGAGAGATTTCAGAGTATGATTATTATAAACCATAACCGTCGAGAGGTCAGACATCACATTAAATGTATTCTTATATGTTAACCAGCTTTGCCTAAATCCTCTAACCACCGGCTTACTCTGCTCTTTCCACCAAAACTCTGACCACACATACACTACTACATTAAAGTACATTTCTTTCTTTGTCCCATTACTCTCTCTTCCTTTTACATCTAACCTTAAGTTTCTAGCATAGATGATCCATCTACAATCACTTAGACTAAAATATACTGTATGTCAATACCATTTACATGTTAAATATTAAAAAAAAATTTGTTTATTACTGTAATATTTTTGTTGAAACAAAAATAAAGCAATTATAATGTCAAAATAAGAATGGGTGCCCCTAAGACATAAACCCAGGAGAATTGAAGAGATATCAGGACTGAATGAGTAAGAAATGAAGGACTGATCCTAAAATCCATTTTATAACCAAGCCCACTAATAGGTGACCCATGTACAGTCGGGGTCAAAAGTCTTGAACACTTAGCAATATCTGGCATCTACTTCTGAGTTATACATATATGATTGGGATATACTAATAACACTACTTGTCATCACATATTATGCCTGAACCACAAAATGGGATAAAAATCTCCTTAATACCTTAGATCTTCGGGTACTTACATGCCAAAAACTGTCAAGTGTTCAGGACTTTTGACCCCAACTGTACAGGCTTGAAGACTCAAGCAATCCTAGACATCAGTGGCCAGGAATTTATCTGATAATAAGTATCCCACCCTGTACCAACCACTGCCCTTAAAAAGGGAGATGAGAAAAGACAGTTGCCATATGAAGAACGAAGGTAACAAGCTGTAATACCATAGTGTGTATGTATTAAAGTCGTCCGATGTCAAATCAGCTATTTTAGATTTTGGGAGCCAATCTTCACTTCCAGCCAACTTCCTGTAACCCAGTGAGAAGAAGCAAAGTTTCCAAGCTGCCTAACTATGATCAGTAAAAAAAAAGGGGGGTTTATCAGAAAAAGTTTTCACTTATAACCTAATGCCCTCTACTAGTAACTTCTATAACTGTAGCCAGCTAGAAATGGGCGGTGATGGTACTGTACTACAGTATGCTTCAACTGCTAATGTGACACACTCCACTCGAAAAATTATGCTAACTACAAAAAATACAGGTGTACAAGGATTCTTACTTTACAAATGTCATATATTCCATCACAGACACTTTCTTCACATAGGTAACTACTAACAAAGGTCTAAGCAGATGCTCAGCCACCTCTTTGAAGGTTTGACAAAAGATAGATCCCTCTTAGATAGGCCATGGAAAAATAGTGCCTGACATTATGTGCCCTGACCAGACAACATGGCTGTGGTACCTTAACAACTTTTGGTAATCATCTAAGATACCTATACCATAGATGTTTCAAATGTTTTGTAATCTGAATATATGAAGTGACTGTTTTTAATGCATAGACAATGATGAGAACTATCCTCCTCCTTCCATAAAGGAAAGAAATACATTGGAACCTTAACCCCTTTATTACGAGGATGCCACTTTTGATATTTTATTTGGCTAACGCCAGACGATTTTGTTCAGTACAGAGGGATCCCGTACATAAGTGGTTAATCTTAATCTTTGCTAGGAAAGCGAGACTCTGCTAACCGAAACCAGAGAAGGACCAAGCAACTAAACAAGCCTCTCTATGTGCTTGAATTTCTGAGATTCAATGCCCTGAACCTACAGCTATCAGAAAAATGACCATCAAGGAAGCTAGTTCTAACTCTTTCTAAGAACTGATTCTAGGGACCAAAACAAAATATCAGAAATTACAGTAAAAGAAGTATACAGATAAGAACTTAAAAACCTGAGGTGATTGGCCAAATGCAAATCATTCCCCAGTAGCCTAACCAAAGAAAACTAAAAGTTGCTAATGTAGAGTATTAGCAGAGAAACAAAAATAAAACCTAGTTTAACTTGCCTGCAAGAATACTCCCTAACAGACTTCAAGAAAGTAATTTTAGTAATTACTGTATTGTAGTCAGAAGAAAAACATGCTTTAGAATACAAACTTGAATGAATTGAAGCTGACAAAACACCATCTCTCCCTCATTTTCTGATTGAAAATAAAACGCCCAATTTCTGATAGATTTCAACTTCATCTTTCAACTTTAGTTTTCTTGGCATCCAGATTTTTATGTCCAACTAAAGAGATGTCAGCTAGTCATATGCATATTCAGTGTACATAATTGGCACATAAAGCTGTGTATCATCCACATAAGTGATACTGATCTGGTAATTACAGTACAGCATATTGGAAACAAACAATCTGACAGAGAGCTCTCAAGCACCAAAAGTCAAGAGCTAATCAAGCAACATTTGATAATTAACAGAGCCAGAAGTAGATGACAGACCCCTTATTTTCATATACAGTATAAAGAAAAAAAAAGAGCATACAGCACATAACATAACTCTTGTAAAGGGCAGATTTTACATGCATGCATGCTCAATATATCCTGATCAGTAAACTGTTGTCTATTCAAAACAATAAATCCTGCCTCCTACTTCAGATAGGAAAGTTAGTTTCTCATGACAGGCAACTATCACCATCTGTTCCAAAAAACTGTTCTTCCTAGAGAGATCAAGTACTGTGAACTGATACATCTTGACACAGGAAGATCCAATGTCAGTACCATAAACTGACTTTTCATAGTTACTGCAGAATATGCACACCTCTTGCTTTACAAAATCCTAAAGTGGTACTTCAATCACTTTTACCTTAAGAAACAATAACACTGTGGTTAGCTGTAATACAATTTCCCAGTAGCGCTAAGGTAAGAAGGAGAGAGAGAGAGAAAAAAGGGGCCAGTGTGCTAACAGACAACAGTTTGTCCAACACCAGCAACTATGACTGTAGTGCTTTGGTCCAGCTAACCCAGTTTATGTCCAGAGAAGCAAAAAGGGTGAGGTACGTATGCTTAATAGACCATCATGCTATTCTGTTCGGAATGACTAACACTTAATTGTTAGAGACCCTTTTATGGGTCATAACTGGAAGAAAGTTGTTTACTGCAACTAAGCTGATATTTTAAGGGGTTATAAGAATTTTGACCCTTTAGCCTTAATCTTGCAGTAATGAGTCATATACAGAGTCAGTGGGCATAAATGAGATAGGCGATCATATTTTAAATTCAATACTAAATATAAATGACTTCTATCAAACACTACAGTGAGGAAACTACTAACATAATTAGGAATTGTGAAAAAGTATACAGTTAACATATTTCACACAATTTTGTACTTACCAAATTTGCAGAAATTCCCCCAGCTGAGTAAGCGATTCCCAAAAGGACCCGAGACCTATAGGCTGGGAAGTCCAGGAGCTGAATGAAAACATGGAATGTGTCCTTTTCTGAAGCCCAATTCATTTGTTCACAAATTTCCTTTGTGAATATGGCCTTTAGTTCCTCAAGATTCGGAATATGTGATAGACTTGGAGAGCTGGAAAATTAATTTCTGATAAGATTAAATTATACCTCATCCAATACAAGTACAGTACATACAGTATATGTGAAATTTGCTTTAATATAGATATAATTTAAGACCTACAGGTATCCTTTGTTTAACGTTCATTTACTTAGTTATAGTTCGGTTTAGCAATATAAAATTAACACCATTTCTTGTCTAAGGGTTGGTCTAAATTTGGTTTAGTGATGTCTGACTCAATGGGAAAAACTCGGTAGAGAAATTGGGAATTCTGCGCTCCAAGTGTGCATCATTACAATACTGTACTTTAATGTGGTTTAGAAATAAAGAAAATATAATATAAAACTATAAAATAAGAAAAATGAAGAGCATGGGTGTGTATGTGTGGGAAGTGAACATATGTATTGAGGCAGTGAGCTATAACTGCTGCCAGCCAAACTCCCCCCCCCCATGTAATTTCACAGCATACAGGCAGCAGCCACACACACATCTCTTGAGTCAGCTTGGTGACTGCCCAGATGAACTATGCTGCATGCATGCTGTACCAGTAAATGTAAGGAATAAATTAAAATAATATTAAATAAAAGAAAAGAAAAAATAGTGCATTGCCAATCGTTTCACTACACACAAGATAACAAACAGCTGAGAGATCCTCCATGCTGTTCCCCTCTCCCCTTTCTCCACTCTGTGTACTAACTCCCATGCATATAAAAATTTTTATTCCCTTTATGTTTTTGACCTTATTATAATATTTTTCATTCTGTATGAACGATTATGTGTACATATATCAGTAAAAAAAAAATATATATACGTATATCTACTTGAAATTACAAGTTGAACAATAACAGCTCACAGCTCAGCCTCACCACCTTGTTATCCCTCATTTTGCGATAATTTCGCTTAACGTTAGGTTTTTCAGGAACACATCCTCATCATTAAAATAAGGATATATGTACTGTACTGCACTTTTATGTCTGGACTCTATTTTCAACCAAAAACAAGCACAACTCGATGTCTCCTTACCTCTAATGTGATCTTTAAAGAAAGGTCTAATGAACACAGTAATAATACACTTACAATGAAGATAACATATCACCATATCTATTAAATATTTTATGCCATCTCAAATAGAAAAGAAATTTCTATTGTGAAATCTATCACATTGATTTTTATCCCATGATGCCAGAAACTATCGATTAGGTTACACAACCTGAAATACTGATAACATACCTGTAAAGGAGAGTGCTAAAAGCAGTTCCAGCCACCTTTCGGGTCCTGTCTATTCTTTCTACTGCTTGTTGACAAATACGAGACATCATTTCTCCAACAATCTCCCCTGTTAGCAAAGTGACATCTTCACTTACCACTGCTATAGACAAGACCTGAAAGAACAAGTAAGTATGGTAAAACAATTAGACTGTGAGAAGGGATGAGTATGATCATGTGTGGCATGGAGAAGGTTAATGTATAAATGACTTATCCAGATGGGCAATGGGAGACACATTACTGGCAAGAGGTAGACAGGTCAGGTCAGGTAATTGTAAGATAAGTTTAGATCAAGTTAGACTGAGATATGTTACATCAAGTTAGGTTACAATAAGTCACATTAGGTTAGATTAGGTTGGAACATGTTTGGCTACATTTGATTAGATGAATGAGCAACGAAAAATAATTTCTTACCCGCAGTGATGATATGGCTGCCTCTCTGACCCAAGCCCCAACATCACCCCTGCGATCCATGGTGTAATCATCTAAACTCCTCAACAAAGCTTGGTAAATGCTGGATAAATTGGCCTCACATACTTGGTCACATGCTACAATAAAAATACATCTTGTTATCAACTAGGAAAAATGCTATTAGCAGAGCTCAATGTTATGAGATTACAAATATATTTAAAGTGGAACTAATACATTTAGCCCTCAAATTTATAAGATTTCTGTCTTACAAATTTCTATGTAACTCTAATCCATAACATACTGTACTTTCTGACCAAAAATTTTAAATATGAGACCTCACTTTATACAGCACAAATTATTAAGGAAATTTAGCCCCTCAAAAAACTAAATAAATAAAATGAGAAACAAAAGTTCACTACAATAGACATCTAAAAACTTTAGCTTAGCTAGTTTCTGCAAACTTAACATCCAAGGAGGCATAACATGGGCATTACATCCTGTAGTAACCACATGTACAGTCCATACCACTTATAAGCCACATATACTGGTGGCCTAGAAATTCCAAACTGGCAACTTAGCTGGGTCCATCCCTCACCACCTTGCAAAACATACAAACCAGGAAATTAATATACAGTAGTTTCTTTCTATTACTAAACCCTATCCATGCAAACATGTTCAGGGGTAAGCATTGAATTTACACCTTAACTGACCAAAGTTTTAATTCTTGAGATTCTGGGGAGTATAGAAGGTCAATTTGATTCAAGTGCAGTACAGTATATCCTATGTACACGAGGTAAGCCTCCTGCATATATCGAAGACCCACTTGTCATATATGTATTCATTTCCAGGAGCTATTTTTAAGTATTTCTACAATCCCACAAAACGTACTTGATAACACCAGAGCACTAACATCATCAAAAGTGATAATTTGTGAGGAGAATCCATAAACTTTTTTCAGTTAAAGTAAAGCCTCAGTATTTGCTATCTCTATAACTGTGATTTGCATCAACAATGAATGAATGAATAAAAGGCGGGGCAGTCAGGCACGAGTCACTATAGCTACCTATGTAGTCATGTTTTCACTATGTTTTCAACGATGTTATTTCTCAGTGAATACAGTATTGGTACATTTATTCCTGAGCACTCCATTCATAAATCCTCTTTTACCCTGGCCTCAGCCATGTTTCATGCTGACCTTTTTTTGTGATTAATACTATGTTTACTGATGCAACACCACACAAGCATCTCATTTTACCCTGGACAGCACGCAGCCAAACTCCCTTGGGGGACAACTTTGTAAATGGATGGGGATCTACTGTACTAGATACAGAAATTTAATTTAAAAAAAAAGGAAAACAGAAAAGAACAATATATATTTCTCTATAAAACAAATGGTTAATGGTGGGCTAAAATGATGAAAAGTCTGTTTACTTCTGTGCATAAAAACTAAATCAACCAGCACAATCCAGGAACTACAATAGCTAAAGTCATCACAATTAAACTTAGTGCCTGTCAATTCATGTCATTGAAATCATTCTAAAAAGTGAAAACTGTACAAGCAATTAAGATAAAGAGTTAACAAAGTGGAACCAAAATATAACAGACAGACAACACAGCCAGATCATTATACCACTTCAGGAGACATAAGCTTGCCTTACCTTTTCCATCCTTCTTTATACCAACAGTCTCCACCAGTCTCAGGATGGCATTAATTGCTTCCTTTCTGGTTTGTGCCCAAGTTGCAGTAGTGCGGGTGATTTCTGTAGCACCAATCAAGGCTTCAAGAACAATGTCAAATTTGCCCAGCACTAAAGAGTGCGTGAGGCGCCCTGAAAAAAAAGAGTTTTTTTTTATGAAAACTGTATGCGTAAGTTGAACATTATTCATAATTAGCATAATTTCCTTACTGAGCTGGAATCAATATAATGCCTGTCCACTTGCTCAAAATAATCTAAAATGTCAAAAAACAACGACAAACTGTATTAATTTGCGTAATGGACAAGCTAATTCTCCTTAGTACAATGTACTCCTAATATTTTATAAAACTTTTATATAATTTTTTTGGAGGCAAGTTAAAACTGTTCCAAACAACCAAATGTGGTGGATTATTTGTTTAAGGACAAGTGAAAAATCAGTATCATTTCAACCCCTGCAGTGAATTATTGAATCGAAACATTAGTTTTTCATGTGACTCAACTTTATAAGTACAATGAATAGTAGTGAAAGATGGAACATTTGAGCCAGTTAACCTTATTCATTATCAGCTGATGATTGGATTTATTTGAATTTCTTATGATAGTGGTTCACCTGGTCTACCCTAGTCAGAATTACAGTAATGTTAACAAATGGTAATATACAAAAAAGTCACAATGTTCTTACAATGATCACATGCATATAAATCAAAGATAAACAACAATGAGTTTTGGGTTCAAAATAAGATTTTTGGGGGGCATATGTGAAGATAGCTCATGTATTACAAGGCAAGATTAAAGCAGCAGCTGATCTTAAATTTTAAGAATATCGATCTGTTATCTTTACCTTTCTCTCTCTTTTGTTTACCATTGATCAAGGGAAACAGAATCTCCAGAAATAGGTAGGGAATGGTCGACTAAAGATGTGCAAGGGTAGTCTTAGAATGTGACTGGAAAGGACCAAAACAGAAAGTATAAGCACTGCACACATACATTTTCTTTTTGTCCACTTACAAGGAAAACCTACGAAGTAAATCATAATTCTCCACACTGAATATACTGCACAAGCTTATTGCTGTAAATGGTAGTAACATATAGGCAGGTGGAATACTTATAATGTTTAAAAAGCTGGAAAATGGATGAAAAAGCAAAGAAAATAAAAGTGAAAGATTCACATATGACAACATGACAAGCCTTTCAAAAGAAGCAAAATGAAAATATAGTTTTTCACTCTTACAATCATTGTCTCAGTACAGTTTTCAGCAGGGTGAGCAGCAGACATGGGGCTGAAGCCATTGGAAAGTTACAAAACCAAAGCCGAGGCCATCCAATTGGTCAAGAAGTCAAAGCCAAGGTTTTTCAAGGCTACAAGAAACTTTATCACTACTAATTATATAATAGGTTTATGCCCACTTTGTCTACTCCCTTTTGTTTTACTGTCAAATTTCCATTTTGTTTACTCCCTTTCTGTCTCCTATGAAAAAGTCACATACAGTACATTATTCCCAGAATGTTTACTATCAGTTAAAAATTTCTGAAAGTTACTTTATACAGTATATATTTTTGTTACTGTGCCTCAATGTTACAATTTATAACATTACAGTATAATGTGAAAATTATCATGCAGATGTATATAGTTGTTAACATTCAGCAAGCTGGATTTCATATCGACATGTTGTCCAAAGTACATTATGTAAGGAAGAAGGGATCAGCTGTAATGTCACCGTGGCTGTAGCATGCACCTGGGTTCTCTTAGGTCAGGTCATTATGGGAACAGAAAAGTCAGAGATCAAGTCAGCTGTGATGTCACAATATGGTCAGTGTGTCTGTGTAAAGAAGAAAATCCAAAGCCAGGCTTGTGGCTTCAAAGCCAAGCTAAAAAAGAAAAGAAAATGGGTTTCAGCCCCATGCCTGGTGACCAGACTCAACAGCACACAGACTCTCTTCACATGCCGTCATCCATTCACTCTCACTGGTATCACATCCCTGCGGCCGCATGTGTATAATGTGTGTCTGCCACACCGAGATGAGGTGGGGTGCAAAGGTTCCTTGTGAAACACCAGTACCACTGGTGGCCTGCACACTTTTACACCTGTGTGTGTAGATTAGGCAGTTTTGTGCCCCACCTGAGGTACAAGCACTCAATGATATGTTCTCTCATCATTCACATACATCATTGCTTCCTGGATTTTACATAATGTTTATAATATTGAATGAGGTGTGGTTGAGAAATATCCTTTATTCTTACAGGATCTATGTGAGGTAGTGCATCAGCAAATGTTGAGGACATCTAAATTGAAAAAGAATGATTAATGACAAAATTACCAGCATGATTAATGTATTACCAATAGCTGAAGCAAAACCTAAACTTTGTATCTCTTTATCTGTATTGAGGGCCTGGGTATATTTAGTGATCAATTCATCTTTCGACTTCATTTTCTCTGGTGATGTTGGCTCAAAATACGTGGTCCAAAATGGGGTTAAGGCCTCCAAGGCAGTAGCACGGATATTTTCATCTACATAAACTATACAGTTTTCCAGAAGATTATGCCACTGATCTGAAAAAGGAAAAATGTTTTATCCATCAGAATACAGTACATACATATGATTCTTACTCATGTTATATAAGTTTAATCTGAACAAAGGCATCAAGCCTGTATATCCAAATCTTTATCTACTTATAGCTTTCAGAACTCTGGAACTGTACACCACATATTGATCTCCATAATTAGTGTTCATTCACATCTTAAAGGTTACCAAGTATGGAGAAGTGACCACCTGCTCTTGTAGTTATAGTATCAAGTTACAGTTACTATTTTTTACATCATTGAAAATTTTGTATCAAGGAATTTATAAGTAATTTTTATTTTTCCCTCATCTATGGTGCTGGGCAGCCAGCCAGATGTTGATCTCCCAAATTTTAGTCTTTGGCACCTTGGGTTATTTAACAGCCATGACAGGATACAGTTCAGCAACAGTTTGTACCATCATCAGCAAGCACATCTGCCAGTGTATGATACTCATTTATTACCAAATGAACGAGGGCAAGTGTCGAAGAAGGCAAGCCAATCCTCCAGTCCAATCAGGGATCAAACCCTGACCATTCATTCAAAAGGTAAATATTCTACTAACTGAACTACAGACACTTCAAATATATACCAGTATAATAAAATTAAGAGTCAAACTCCACAGTTAAATGAAAAATCCCAATGTATTATCCCTACAGTAGGCTGCCACATACACACCTGCACATTTCCTCTTTGGATATACAGTACAGTACTACCATTCTGTAAAATTAAAAAAGCAGTACAGGTTCCTTACCAACAACTTCCTGGCCATGGAATGGGGCAGCAGCCAGCGAGCACTTCTCTATCAACACCGACGTTGCCTGTTTCATGTACTCTCCCCCCATGCCACGGTAAAGCTTCCTCTCCTCTAGGGTCGACACTATCTTGGCAATACCATCCAGTATCTCTTTGTCTATTCAGGAGGAAAAGTTATCTCTTAAAAAAATGGCAATTAGAGTAAATAAAGAAATATTGAAAGTAACAGAAGTTTTTCAAATCTGAGCACCTAAGAGGTCAAGTCAGAGGTTTTAGGCAGCATGAAAATGGTGCTTAGATTTTTTCTTGTCTGTACTGTATGTCTGTGAACAGAAGAAATTTACTGCAATTCTCTGGGATAAATACAAGGGAATTGCTCCAAAAAAAAAAAAAAAAAATTATATATATATATATATATATATATATATATATATATATATATATATATATATATATATATATATATATATATATATATATATATATATATATATATATATATATATATATATATATATATATATATATATATATATATATATATATATATATATATATAATATATATATATATATATATACATATACATATATATATATATAAACACACAACAAAAAACCAAAACAAAAAATATATATATATATATATATATATATATATATATATATATATATATATATATATATATTGTGAAGACTGGTGGTAAACTGTGGGAAAGTAATGAGCAATTCTACCCCCCCTCCCACACATAAAAACACCATCTACATGTTCATTTAAAAAAAAATCTGGATTTCAGGGTTTTGGAGAGTTTCCTCTTCATATAATTTGTACTCCAAAAATTTTGTTTTGAGTAAAAAATAATTTTAACAGAGAAAAGTGGTTATATTTAACCAACTACTCATAACTTGCCTGGTAAAGCACCATAACAAGGTCAAAATTATGACCCCTAAGCCTCCATAAAATAAGTACAGTTAATCTCATGTTCCTCAACTCCCTACAGTGGTATAGATATTGACCCTTTAATTAAACACTGTAGTCACATTGCTACCCTAGTATCACTACTGGATTTTTAGCAACACAATCTCAATACAGTATTACCTTTGTGTGGCTAAGCCGACTTTAATTTTAGCCCATTGTTACATTAAACTGATATGAACTAACTACCCTTCATAATTTGAACTCTGGAAAGTACAGTATTTACATTCAAATGTCATTACTATCAACGAACTACCAGCGTCAACATTACGTCTGTGTTCCTTTTTAACTTGTCACACAATAAGACAATGTCTTCATCTAAGACAAGAGTCGAATGATCATTCAGAGAGATGCACAAATTTTCTAAAACAGCCACATACCCATCATATCTGGCAGAGTTTTCCCTTCCTTGCTAGCTACAAGAGACAGAGCATGTGTGATGTTTGCCAGGGCCAGTATTGAGCCGTGTCTATTGACCAGGATACTGCCAGTCGTCTGGTTCAGAAGAAGAGGTGCCACAGTCTTGCTCATATATTCAGGGGCTAAGGCAGTGAGGTTGTGGAGTGCCTGAAATATAATAAATCTTTACAGAACAGAAATTTACAAGCCACTTATAGTAAAGAAGAGATAATGAATGCATAAATCATTTCACTGTGTCAATTCACTTTTTAACTTCTATAAAGTGTTATAAATATTTGACAGATGTTTTTATAGATGGTCATACTGTTGATGGGTGTCATTAGGTTGGGTGAAATGACCTGATAAATAATTAGGGCCTATATGTAGAAGAACAACAAAGCAGAACAGTACCTATTACAGCAGTGAGAGTGACTGAAAGATAGAAAAGGATGTGCAAGTGTTTGTTCTTGAATCAGGTCACCCTACATTATAATAAGAGCAAGCTTGAGAGAAAACTCCCCCAGCTTATATGCTTTTTCACAAATAAATATTAAAGAGGTGTAAGCAACTTATTTAGATCAAGAATCCCAAATATTTTCATTTTCTTTACTTATGTTTTGTATTTTTACAGGAAAGAAAGCAAGCTGGTAAAACTTGAATGGAAGGGCTAAAATATAGTGTATATAGAATGCTTGGAATGACAGAGGTAGAGGATGTGAAATAAGGAGTGGTCCTATGGGTAGAGAGAGGGTTGCTGAGATGGTATGAACATGTGAGAAGGATGCAGAAGTGACAACAGTAAAGAGGATGTTGAGGTGGAGGGACAACACCTTTATTGCAGTAAGGAAAGTTTAAACAATGTTAATGAGTAGTGGGGAGGAAAAAAAGGGAATAGAGATGGCAAATAAGATATGGAATGATAGATTCCTTGTCATGGTCATCCCCTCAGAAGGGAGCTCCCAGTATGAGTGAGGCATCACTTATCAAGCTACTGTAACTCACAACTTTTCAATATTCTTACTATTGGACCTCACTTACTGCAGTATGACAGGAATGAAAAACTAAATGACTTCTAAAATGCAGACCTCCTGTATGACACTCTACCTTAGCAGCAAGTTCCCTTATGGCCGAATCCCAGTGTTGGACCTTCTTGTCCACAAGATGGTCTATCAGTGGTTGAGTATATTCTGGGTATCTGAAATATATTTAAGGTAAATTCACAGATAAAAAACAGAGATGTATTAAATTATTTTTTTCCAAATAATTTTTGAATGTCATCTAATGGCCTGGATCCAGATTCTGAAATATTCATACAAAGAATATTTATAACCGAAGATGTACAAATACATTACTAGTTGACTTAAGCCAAAGCACAAAAAACAATAAACAAATTGTATGAGAATTATAATAAAATTACTTTAACTATATAGTCGGTTTGTTTTTAGCTGATGGTACTAGGCTATGAAGCTCCCTCCTGCTTGCAGCTCATACGTAATATTTGGTAAATATTAATATATCGCAAATAAATCCATATACCCAGTATATATAACTGTTACAGATACCCAGTTCTGGCTCACTTTAATACCGAATTTAATGTACTGGTATGTAAATATATAACTGCTTGAAAATATTAACTTTCAAGATAAGAGTGGAAAAAGTTTCAAATAAAGAATATTTACCATCAAAGTCACAAACAAATTCACACTTTTGGAGAACACATTCCATATAAACCCATTAACTCCTCTCTTTTCCCTAATTATTATATATATCAAGATAAATAACACTATACTGTACATATAAAGCATTGGACAATAAAGAACACATTATAAAGAATAGAATCAAGTGTAAACACCACATATTCACGTAAAGGTGACATTTAAGACAAACGTTACGGGGAGGTGGTGCACTTGGAGGAAGAGAGAAAGAGTGGCCTGTAATATGTTGTCAACCAAAACCCACTGATTTGTTTATGCACTTACATATACCCTGTAAAAACTGTCAATGAGACATCTGATGAAAAAAAAATTTCCAACCCTTTGATATATATTTCCTACACATGCATAACACCGAAAATTATGAAAGATTTTATTTCTTTTTGGGGGTGTCTGAGGAGGTATACACGGGGGAAAGGGAAGATTTTTGTGTACTTTAGGGATTAAGATTGGAAAAAAAGGAAATGTTTTCCTATAATAATTCCAACACAAAGTATAGCACTGACTTAACTAAATTTTTAGAGAATGTGTTTTTGCTTTACTCTTGCATTTACAATAGATTATAGGGTACTATTCTATATACTCTACCTAGTTTTCAAGAATGGGATCAATGTTTATAATTCACTATAAGCAACTGTCAAAATCTTTGTCATAAATCACCTGCCAACTTGAACACTTAGATTAAGGAAGGCATTTGAACGATTTCCGACTGCAAAGTAGTCAACAGTGGTGAGAATCTCAATGCCATGAGGAAATGTTCCTTGACGTCCAACATGCTCCTGGAAGGCAGCAGATGCAGCTCGTCTGCATGGTATCTGAAGTAGAAGCATGAACTGGTATAAACCACTTAATAGTAATTAACAAGCTAAGGATCAATTCCAAATATATCAGTGGGTTACTTACTCAAAATAAATTATTTTCTTAGAATCAATTACTAGGTATCTATATCATGCTCTACCAAGGCATATAATAAAACAGATGAGCAATAGCAAAAATGTTTATGCTGTACATCTACCAATCTATTATAAACATATACTGTACAGGTACAGGATACTGAAAATATACAGGAATACATTAAATACTGTTGCCACAGTAACTCAAGGAGATAATTACCTCTCTATCAAACAAGGTCACAATAAGAAGTCCAGTTGCAAGTTGATTAACATAAGGATAAATCTGTTCTGGGTGATAAGCTCGAGCAAATGCCCAGCATAAATAGCACGCAGCATCTCTGTTGATAAAGTAGACATAAATGAATATCAAATAACTGAATCATATATATTTGTGTGTATGTGAGAAAAAGTCAAAGTTACTGTGACTCTGGTTTCTGACAGAAAAAATCCCAAGGAACCTGTTAATAATCATTACCAATTATCCATTTAAAATCTTGCTTTCACAACAAACATCTCTGACCCACCTGATGTTTGAGCCCACAGAACACTGTCCTCTCAGCTCATCATAGACGAGAGCCTTATCTATAACTGGTGCAACGGCTGGTAAGCGTTCAGGCAGCAACAATCCACGCCGAGCTGTTTCATTGAAATGTACAGTTTATGGATGATTTATCAACTATACACAGTGTTGCTGGTTAAAACTCTATTCATGGCAATTTAACAATAGAAGGCATTTGTTATGAGAATAAAAATATTAAATACATTCATGAGTAAAAGTTGACATATCTTTATCTGTATATTTTAAATTCCACCAGTGAGATCTTGCACTTAAAAACAGGATTACCGAAGTCTTATGATCTAAACAATAGATATTTAATTTTTTGGCTGTTATCTTCTCTGGTTAAGAGATCCAAATATATTTTACTTGTTTCAGAGTAAAATAAGGTAGTTACATGACATGTAAACAATAAGAAAATTCTACAAATTATCAACCTTTTTCAGTCTGTAACTTTATGGGTTTACTGATACTGTATACTATACTAGACGTGTAACTTTGGGATTTTATTTCAACACTGCATCTTACCTAGTTCTGCTAGGGCCAGACAACCCCCATGCCAGCCCTTATCTGATTCTCTAGTCGAAAAGAGTTCCAAGAGAGCCCCCACAACTTCATCCCCAAACTCCTGAGGAAGACGGCCTGTCACACGACCAATACCTTTTGCTGAAGACCACCTGACACCAGAAATAAATGTTACTTTGCTTGCTGCATTCTCTAACTATATTTAACATGTACTATTGACTTCATATTTGCATATACCAAATTAACCACATGGTAAGAAAGGGGTTAATATAAACCTGTAACTTTAATTCATCTCCAGAACATTTTAGTGAACCCAATGACTTCCACCTTGACTAGAAATCACTTCATATTACCTGTATTTACACTCTAGATTAAGTTGCACAAACAAACTCATTTCTTTTTCTAATCTTCCAATCTCATATTTTTTTTTCATTCTCTCAGCTTTCTCAAAGAATTTCCTGACATGTAAGAGGTTGAGTTTTCATGAACAGATCCTGTGTAAGATGTGAGTAAATAAAAAATAAACAGGCAACTAAAGACAAGATCCAGTTGCTCATGAGAAGAATCACTCTAAGGAATGATGAAAATCTTTCCCAAGCTAACCATTTTCTACCAAATACTGCCAAACATAACACAAAAAAGTGTAAATATGAATAAACAAGCACCACTACTGAGTTACCTGACCACAGTATCTTTATCCTTCAGTCCCAGGAGTAAGGAGTCTATCACTTCCTCAATCTCTCCAACCACCTCCTCTTCATCCTCTTCTGCTACTTCACTGGCATCCTGACCTTCTGTGGCTTTACCTTGGATGTTCATGGCCAGGCTACGACTTCCACGTTGGTACCGCCAAGATGCCACTCTTGGCTTTAGGAATGTCAGTCCTGCATGTAAATTAATTTCCTTACAACCTTACATGTGGAATATGTCATGCTAAAAGATACAAATTTGCTAAACCAGGACTATCAAAATTCCTTAAAATCTATTCTTACTTTACAAATGAATCATCACTGTGACAAATCATGCTAAATACAGTACAGGTACTGAAATCTACAAAACACTCCATACTCCTCTCTGTTTATCACCTCTACTTTCTCTCTCTCAAGCACATGTGTGAATGCACACAAGCACACACACACATATCCACTTATCTTCAATTTATTTCAAGTGAAAGATGAAGAAACTGTCTCATGGGACTGACCAATACGCTGCACAAGTTTCATGGACAGTTTCCTGACAGGAGCATCAGTGCTGGTGAGCGCTTTACACCCAATAAGACGTGACAACACATTCTGTGAGTAAGGCAGCAACTCCTCTCGTTTCCCATGCTTGAAAATCAGTCCCATGGCTCGTAGGACTCCCAGTTTGTGGAATACACCATTTAGGTCTCCTTGTACAACAGTTTCCAGAACCTGTTAATACATTATTGCTTCATAAATAAATCCTATTTGCCAGCAATCCAATATGTAATATTGCAAATTCATTACATCAAAAATGAAAATAAAAGAAAAGCTACTTCTGCAACTCACTTCAAAACAAAATTCTATAAATTCTGGGAGATATTTGTTTTTCAAATCAGGTCTTGTAATAAATCGGGACGCCAAGTACGCTGCCATCTCACGTGACTTCTGGCCCGACTTCAAGTGGGTTTTGATAACTGATAGCAGTCTGTTGGCAAAGTTTAAATATAAAATGCAAGTGTGGTTTACTAACAGGAGGTTGATGTGTAGTAGAATATGTATACCTGTACTGAAATTTTCTAAGATTGGTTCTTAAATTTTTCCACGTACTGTACACCAGGTGAACTAATTTGTTAGAATAGTATTGCTATCTTGGTCATTATATCCCACTAAATGACAGTCCACTTCTATGCAATTATGAGGGCCAGTTTACTGTACCTTTACCAGGAAAAACAGAGACAAAAGAAAAAAATTTTGCTTGCTGAAAACCAATTTTCATTTCAAGACAGCCTCAGTGGGTGACCAAGATTGCTGAATCAATTTTCATATAACAGGGGGATGTAAATAAATACGCTAGACACTAGGCTAACTGACCTCCCATAACTTGGCTGATTTTGAGAGATGAAAAATTACTGCAGTATAATATCTATTTTACAATTAGACTCTGAAAGGCCTAGGCATCCTTAACGTGAGGTCCTATTTCCAAGAATTCTTATCTAGGGAGAACATCCCGCAACACTCCCAACAGGTATTTCCTCTATCACTTTCCAATTCCTACACAGTATACAGTACGGCCCTCCATTTTTTAACAAACCCTGTAATGAATCAACCCCTGTGCAGCTCACCTCTCAACAACTAAAGCACCAGACTGCTGTTCACCTCCTGCAGTTGTAGCATCAAAGCCCATCATGTTGAAGGGCATGTAGACTATGATGGAGAGCCACAGCAGGAGCACGTATGTCTCATAGAAATCTGAACTACCCTCTGGGCTCTCCAGCATCTGCAACACTGGCAGTAGGTCTTTCACCTGCCAATCAGAGAGATACATCACAAAAGGTCTTCAATTGGCAATGTAATATTACTAAAGGGTAAAGCAAGAGAGGCTGCTTACTCTAAATTATGTTAATGCCTGTATTGACAGTACAGACCCTTATTATAGAATGGATATCAATTCACTGAAGTCGGTGCAGCGAAGAATGACGAAAATTATTCGGGAATTAGAAACCTTCCATATAAAGATAGGTTAAAGAAACTAAACTTGCATTCCCTAGAAAGACAAAGAATGCGGAGAGACAAGATAGAAGTATTTAAGTGGGTGAAAGGAATCAATAAAGGAGATATAGATAAAGTTCTTATAATATCCGAGCAGGATAGGACTCGTAGCAACGGATTTAAGTTGGATAAGTTTAGGTTTAGGAGGGAGATAGGAACTGGTTTACAAATAGGGTGGTGGACGAGTGGAACAAGCTTAGCAACTTTGTAGCAAGTGCTGGAATGCTGGAAAGTTTTAAAAGGAGGCAAGATAGATTCATGGAGGATAGAGAGTGGTAGTAACTCTCGACAGGAGCTGTCATGCACAGGCCAACCGGCCTATTGCAGACTCCTTATTTTCTTATGCTCTTATGTACAGTAATGTAGTTTCGATGAATGGCTAAACAAAGAGACACTTAAAAATAAAAAAAATAAAAAATCATATACTGTAAAAAGATGAGTTTATATGACAATTACAAAACAATAAGAAAGGTTTTAGTACATGAATGGTACAGTAATTAGAGGCTGCAAGTACAAAGTACAGTACTAAGGGTGTGACAAAAAAAAATATATTCTAAAAATAATCACCTCATGAGGAAGTTTTCTGACTATTGTTTTGTAGCCCCGGACTTTGACGACCAGCCAGAGGTATTTAAAGGCCTGACTGACAACCTCTGATTTGTTGGTTGGGTCACGGGTTATATCCACCAACTGCTTAAGCATTTCTTCAAGGTTAGGATCCAGGAGGTGAGGCTGCTCCTGAAGAGAAGACACCAAAGTTAACACTGGTTGAGTACAAGTGTCTACACTTCCATCACCATACACATAAACCTGGCCATAATTCCAAAACATATGAACTTATTCTGAGATTTAACTGGATTGGATCATAATAAATTAAATACCATTTTATTCACAACTTTCCAATCTGCAGCCAATTGAAAAGTAATATTTTACAGTTTAAATTTCCTATAAACGATGCATAATCCAAACAAACCTAAGCCTTTCACAACACAGATCATAATGAGTCACCTGGATTAGGTGAATGCCAGAAATTTACCTGATAATTATCTAAGATAGTCTTAAAATCCTCGAAAGCCTTCTCAGCAGTGTACTGGTTTTTAACTGCTTTTTCTATGGAACCCATCATCTGGCGCACTTCCTCATGCTCACGAAACATGTCAAGGGTACACGATATACCCACATCATCTTCAGCCCGCCCCATCTCACCGGTTTCTTGCATCTCCATCTCTTCATCAACAGCCATTGCTTCTTTAGATATAATTCTGAAAGTAAATAAGCAAATAATTTCTTTTCAAATACAGTAATCAAATACATTACAGCTTAAACTTTATGAAATAATAATCAATGAAACCCATTTCATCAGTAACAGCATCACACAGCAATAATCAAACCTTTAAATCTCTGAACCATTTGAACAAAAGCCTAATTTCTTGATGCCCGTTTACTTAGGACAATGCACTGTAGGTCAAGTAAGGATACAGCTTCACTTTCCCACAATGAACTGTCTTTGTTTACAAGTGTCACAAAAGTGTGCAACTATACTACAGCAAAACTCAGGTAAACATGCATAATAATGAATTTCAAAATGCAGTCCTTCACTAAACTTACTTCAAGATTGAAAACATGATGACTACCTCTTGAAGTTCAAGTACCAAGTCAAATATATGGTTCCATATAAGTTACCAGGTACAGTGATCCCTCGGTTAACGAACGGTTCGATTAACAAAATTTCGGTTAACAAATTACCTCCCATAAGGATCTTCAATTCGGTAAACGAACAAAACTTTGATTAACGAAATCCTTACGAACATCACGTTTTGTTGTGAGCATCAGCTGATGGGCTAGTCTGCCAATTCAGTAATCTGTTCTATGTTTACCTTCGTTTTCAGTGGAGTAAATATCAAGAAAGTTGTGCTCTTTAATATTTTTGCATTTGTTATATTAAAATTATTAGTCATTTTAACATTTATTTAACATATTGATAATATATGCAGTACAGGGAACTAGATTTTTGTTCATCCATCAGACACTTGACTCAGCCACCAGGCGTCAGTTGGGCTTTGTTGACAGTGGAATGAACATCTATTTTGTTGGCGTCTTGAATATTTTTGCATTTTTACATTGAAATTATTGGTCATTCTAAAATTTAGTTAACATATTGATAATAAATAGCGAAGTGCAGTGTTGATTTAAATAAAATAATCTTGAATTACACCTAGTGAACTTAAAATTTTATTGGTAAAATGACGGCATCAAGCATGGGTCCCCTGAAAGGTGATTTCTCCTCCATCCCCACTTCCTTCTCTTCTCCCTTCTCCTCCACCCCCACTTCTAATTCCCATCATCATCATCAACCAGGAACCTTCTACATACACACCTCAAAGTAAGTGTACTTTACTGCATTTTTTTTTTTTTACTATTTATGTACTTTTCGGTGAGCTGGAACCAATTACCCAATAACCCATAGAAACAATGGATTCGGTTGACGAATTTTTCGGTTAACGAACGACCCTCTGGAACGAATTATGTTCGTTAACCGAGGAACCACTGTATACAGTACTGTACCTATATTACTGTGTTTGTTAATACCGGTACCTAATATAGCTTTAAATTTATTGTCTGAAAAGAATACACAAGCTTACTATCAAAGCTACCACTCAACGGGTGAAGTACTGTAGTTGGTTAGGTTTCGTTAGGTTTAGTTGGGTAGGTTTGAATAGAGAGGAAGGAAGGTCAGTCAGTCAATCTCTGGCTAGAAAGAATTCCATCACATATCATCAATTGGTCAATGTGCAATACTTGTCAGCAGACACACAAATATGATGTCATCATGAAGTGGGCTGGTGGCCATATCTTTATTAACAGGAAAACTGAGGAAAAAACCTTAACACATAGTGTTATTTTCCTCCACCTGATTTGCTTTAGTCTCAAAGTATGAAATAAGTTTTCTTCTGAAGAGATTTTTCCTTAGGTGATTGGATAACCCAGACTCTTGTCCTTAACATTACCCCTTGATTCAAACAATCTATTATTTGGAAGTATTATCTTAAAGGAATAACCTAAAGATTCAAACCCCAGATTATTTCACCTAAAGATGAACCACCGAATGCTACCTGAGGGGTGCTAGGTTGCATAGATTAGATTAACATTAAGGTAAATATTCGGTAGTGACCAAGTATGGAACACTAAACTAATTTGTATACTGTATAAGGAGATAGAGCAAAAAATATATATATTTACTCTATTGTACTTCCACTATTTGTCCGACATTTGATCTGATTGGTTGTGGCTGATGACACTGATCTTGGATGACAGAATTCATTCTCTTACAAACATGGTTCTCAAAGGTTAGGTTACATTAGGTTGGGTTATATTTGCAAGTGATTGAATTCAGTAATTTAGGTTCAGCATCATGAACGGGAACCACGAATTACCCAAAAGTACCCAAAAGTATAGCAAATAAGGGTAAAATCTTAACGAATATCTGTTAAACATACCGTACACAAAACATGTTTAATAATATTTTTAGAGTAATTTTGTAAAAATAATTTGTAAGATGAAATAATAAACAACGAAAAACTTTCAGTATTGGCGAACGCTAAATTCCAAAGAGTTCGTGAACAAGGGAGATAACTCAGATCCATCGTGATGCACTTCGCTAACCTAACCTAACCTAACGAAAAGTAAATCCTACGGGTTTGTTAAATACCCCAAAGTAACAGAAACATCGGTAATTATATCTCCATTTTGGATAGGTGACACTTTGGAATTTAGAGTTTTTCGCTGTTTATTATTTCATTATTTTGACTACATTTCAATGAAAACATTATTAATCAGGTTTTATTGATGTAAAACATATATTCATTAAGATTTTACCCTGATTTAATATACTTTTGGGTACATTTGGGCACTTTTGGGTAATTCGTTGGACCGTCATGAACCTCAATCTTCCAGAATGAATGCTAGACAAATAGCAGAAATAAATAAATGTTTGTAACCAGACAAATAACCAATGCCTTAAAAATAAGATCTACGTTTAAAACAAGTCTCTGTCGCCACCTGGAAACCACACACTGAAACACACTATACTACAGCATTCTACACACACCTGAAAATATTCATCCTACACAATATGGTGCAATGATGCAGTTGTTATCATAAATGAATGAGTCATTGAATGAGGATGAATAATACACTGTACATACAATAAAAACACTTAATAGATGAATGAGTCATCTTCGGTAAACATTGGAATCTCCACACAAGGGGAGTCTACTGACCAATGAGCTGTACTGTACGAGTCGCGTAGCTAAGAATGAGTCACAGTAATAGTAATAGTAAAGTAAGTAAACAAAAGTGAGTACCTACAACGCACTAGTCTGTCAATCACACACTAGTCTGTCAATCAATGTTGTCAGCCGATTCACCACTCGCCCACACCTGCTCACTATCTCCTCCTCACTCGTCCTTATACGACAGTTAATACTAAAATCCTTAGTTTTTTAGTACCTGTTGGGTTACAAGTGACGTTCAACTGTGCTTCTACCTTCAATAGTTACTCCATTATTCCACTATTGCGAGTAGTATGACTGGTGAGTAACGTCAACATTCCTTCCTCAATCCTCACTGCTTGTTTGGGTATTGAAATCCATAACCTAATCCCAGACCCTGAACCCTTGCCTGGAACCCTTTAACTAAACGATAAAATTCTATTAGATAAGACCCTAATAATTCTCATAAGTATTAATAATTCTCACAAACTCACATATACTCACGCGACTTATTCGCAGGAAGGAAATTTACAAGAAAAATAGCTGGACGTAGTAGATGCCGTTTTTACTTAATAAAGTACCAATATCTCCCAATCCGAGGTGAATGTTTTCTGTTATCTCCTGTAAGAATAATCATAACTAATATAGAGTTCATATGAAAGAAAAAAATTTGCTGTAAGGGGGTTGGGATTAGGGTGCGGGTTTGGGTAACAATTTCATAAACACTACCATGACAATAGGTATCCTACTGTGTTCTAGATATTTCAATTTCTCGTATTTCACAAACAGCGACCTCATGCTTCAATATAATAATATTTTGGAGAACTATGTTGAGAAAATTCAGGATAGATCATGTATAAGTTCGACTTGTGTTCATTGATCCCTTTTATAAATTTCAATATTCAGATTCAGATTTATGCGTTTTGAAGGGAAACCAGAACTAATTTCAATATTGTGTTCCACAAGTTTTTTTTTTCAATATACTCATTAACGTTATCACTGTAAAAAAAATAATTGGGTCTTTTCTGTAGTATTTTCAGGAGGAAATAATATTTAAACGTGTATAAGAGGTTTAATTACCACGTCGTGAAGTAACTTGTAATTAACCTTTTTTAAATTACTGCAATAAAATCTTATATCAGTTTTTTTCACAGTTAGCTGTGATCTGTTACGTATGCTAAAGGTTAATAAGGTGAGAATGTGGGGTACGGGTTATTTGGTTCACACTCAGGATGGGATGGAGAAAGGAAACTCACAATGTGCTCTCTGTATACATGTTGTATTGGATGTATAATGCAGCTTGGTGCTGGGAAGTGGCAGCGTGGTTATAAGCGTGATGTAGAGAGAGCTGGTTGGTGAGGGTGCTCAGAGGAGGACAGCTTGTGGGTCGCCATGCTCGCCGGCGGGAGCGAGGGCCGCCAGGCAGCGGCGGAGGAGGTGGTGTAGCTTGTTGCGGCTGTAGCTAGAAGAAGAGGTAGGTCACCACGAGGTCAGGTCTTTTATAGCGGAGGTAGGCGTGGCTTAATAGTTGACCTCCGTCATGTAAGGCAGCGCTGGTTGTCCTAGACCACGAGGCATACACTGGGGAATTCGCGAGGTCGGCTACTCAGCGACAAACAGCGTTTGTAGGGGAGAAATCCACTACAATACTCCCTCCTTCCCTCCAGGCGGTGTAGGAGACTTTTTGTCTGCAGGGTTGCATGGCACATGTGAGGCAGAACGGCCGGTGCATGCCTCATGTGAAACATAACGGCGAGGGCGTGGATGGGCCGGCCGCTAGAGGAGACAACTGTCCAGATACACAATATCTGTGGGAGTAGAGAGGGAGAAAAAGGGTGTGTGGAGGCGATGAATGTTGTGCTTCCCTCACGGCAGGTATAGAGTCGTCAGATGCGCCTGCTGGGGTGTGTGGGCCTGGGTCAGGAGCAGGGGCTGCGTCAGCAGAAGCGGATGAGGGCTCGTGACAGCAGCTGGGTCCACGACAGCAGCAGGGTGTAGGACAGTAGCATGGAGTACCTGAGGGAGAAAAGAGGGGGTGTGTTGGTCCGCACTCAGGCGCATGGGCCGCGTCTGGAGCAGGGGCTGCATCAGGAGGAGCGGCAGGGGGTACTGCTGGGCCGGGGGCGGCGTCTGAGGCAGGACGGGTGTGGTGGGGTCGGTAGGACGTGGTGTTTGGGGCAGGAAGAGGAGCTGGTGTCTGCTTAGATACTTTCAGGAGCCAGTGCTTGGTCAGTACTTGCCAACAGTGCATAACAGAGACGTGACCGACCACCCAAGTGGCGAAGAGGATAAAAATAATTTAAAGTAAAAGTTCCCTTGCAGGACCAACTCACCATGAACAATGAGGGGTGGCAGTAAACAAGCCATGCACCTGCCTTCTAGTGCAAGTGGTATGTAGGCCAATAGATAAGCTGAAATATCTCTAATACTTATGGATATCTATATGTAGATAATTACAGTCCAAATTAATGTAAATATCTTAAATTATCACAAAATCTAATTTCCTTACCTTGTGAATCCGTTTATTTCATACATTAAGGGGTTGGGGTTCAGAGATTCGGTACAGCCGCCCTGCTTATACTTTTGCTTTTTACTTTTATACTCTTCACCACTCATCGGCTCGTTAGCCGCTTGGGCGATCGGTCATGTCTCTGTTACGCACTGTTAGCAAGCAATGGGCATGCACCGGCTTTGCCGCGTAAACCAGTTTGTTCACTGGTGGAAAAAAAACCGGTGGACATTGATCCCTTACCCTCTTCCCGCGTAACTTTCTTATCATCAACTCAAAATTAAAAGAGGCTGAAGGAATTATATGAAAATTATAAGTGCGTGCACCTGCATGACAAGGATAGATGCCAGGTTCTGGATTCACAAAAGGTCGGTATATAAATTTTCCTTGTAAGTGTAACTATAAAAATGCATCTAATTAGTTGACTTGAGATAAAGTAAAAAATACTAAAGTTTAAAAACATCAAAATTACAATAGGGGTTTACCTTTGATTCGCTCACTAAACTGTTCCGGTATATATATATATATATATATATATATATATATATATATATATATATATATATATATATATATATATATTACAATTAGAACCACCAAACCCCATGAAATAATTACAGACACACATCCCTGGAAGTATTGTACTTCTAGGGGCACACATCCCGGGAAATACTTCTAGAGACTCACTCTGAGAAGTACTTCGAGAGACACTGGGAAGTACTTGTAGAGACACCCCGGGAAGTTCATCCTCCACCTTCAAACACTGTGCACCTGAACTTGTTCCTGTCCTCTCTAAACTTGTTAACCTTACTCTTATATTGTTGGTCCCTCTTCGCCACTGCTCAGCATGTTAGCTCCTTGGGTGGTCGGTCGCGTCTGTTGCGCACTCTCTTGGCAAGTTCTGGCTCCAGAATGTGCATTATCTGAATTCTGAACCTGCACCAGTGTTGGTCAAATCTGATCTTGAATGAGCTTATACTCGGTGCCATCGCAACACTCTCTGGTCAACTGTTCCAAAAGTTCACAACTCTCACTCCAAAAAAGTTTGCCCTCACAGTTTTCTGAACCCCACCTCTAGTGGGGTGGACATCTGCAAGTTGCAAGTATGAACATTCAACTGAGTATTATCCTCTGGGATGCTTATATAGATTTCTATTAAGTGAACCTTGCCCTTCTTCAGTACAAGCTAAACAGCTGCAGGCATTCTAGTAACTTTGGGTACCTTAGGTGCCGCAGTGCAGGCTTAAGTGGTAGCCCTCCTTTGGACAGTTTTAGTCAACTGAAAGTATCTAGATAATCTAGCATATTCCAGGGGCCAGTACTCCAAACGGGGAAGCAACTCATTTCTGAAGAGCGCTATGAGGGATGCACCTGGGGCGTACCAACGGTAAGGAGGCGTATCATATGTCCCAACGGGATGAAGAAACTGCACTATTTGAGACTGAATGTGAGAAGGACCTAAGTGTGTATCTTGACAATGAGCTGAAGTTCTCGGGCCATTGCGAGAAGAAGGTAAATCAGGCAATTAAATTATTGGGTCTTATAAGATGGTCGTTCAGATATATAGACGGTCCGTTCCTCGTAACGATCTTCAAGAGTGAAGTGCTTCCCCATCTGGAGTACTGTCACCCCGTCTGGTCCCCGAGATATGCTAGGGACTGTCAGTTGGTTGAAAATGTTCAAAGGAGGGCCACCAGACTGGTGCCTGCACTTCGGCACCTCAGCTACGCCTGAGAGATTGGAGCGCCTGAACTTGCCTAGCTTATACTACAGACGGGCAAGGGGGGACCTAGCTGAGGTGTATAAGCATCTCAGGGGGCACTACTCAGTTGAGTGTCCTTACTTGGAGCTGGCGGACGCTCGCCCCACAAGGGGTCACAGCTCAAGATTGAAGAAGCCGCAAGTCGAAAAAACTGTGAGGGCAAAATTTTTCTGAGTGAGATTTGTGAATTCTTGGAACAATCTACCAGAAAGTGTTGTGACGGCACCGAGTGTGAGCTCTTTCAAGACCAGACTTGACCAACACTGGAGCAGGTTCAGGTACATTCAGGAGCCGGTGCATGTCCAGTACTTGCCAACAGTGCGTAACAGAGACGTGACCGATCGCCCAAGCGACTAACGAGCCGACCAGTGGCGAAGAGGATAAAAGTAAATAAAAAAGTAAAGCATCGCAGGTTTTCTCCGGGCAGTCTGTTTTCGTTTTGTACTGACAGTCTGACACTGAACCTCTGAGCAGCAAACTCATCAGTAATGGTAGCGAGATTAAACAAGTCCACACAAAAGAAAATAATAATTATAAAAAAATAAGATAGATTGTCCCTAACAATCAGGAAGGACTAGCTTTACTATGGGTCACTGTGGGTCAGTTTTATTGTCCTTCTGATAACACACTGGTACTTGTATCTCTCCTTTCCTATAATATTGATAAAAAATAAGTGTTTATTTCTATATTCTCATATAATTTTTGTACAATTAATGGAATAAAATATAGTAATATTAGGTTTGCGAGTATCAGTTAGTTTTAAAGGTTGGCGGGGACCTCAGCTACCTCAGTGGTGCCATCTGTAGCCAAGTGTTGTTGAGGTACGTCAGTAGAGCTGTGAGATCCAGCACCTGCAATTTCCTGATTACTATGTGTTCTTCTCTCTGTCCTCTCCAGCTTTACCTTGAGGTATGTTACTCGTTTGTCCTAGACCCTAAGAAGAGATAGTTGACAGGTAGTTAAGGTGTTAATAGTCTTTAAAACAGGCGGGAGAGGAAGTCCTGTCCTCGAGGTGTTGTTTTTGTTGTCAGTTGTAAGAGGTGGGCACGGAGTTAGTAAATATTTATCTAGTTCATAGCCTTATTTTCAATGTTACCAATAATTTAATACCATATATTTGTCTTTATTGAGGGATTTTTTATGTTTATATGAGTGACATTAATTATAGGTGTCTAGGAAGAGTATTATCGTGTTTTTATGGTGGTTTGTTTTCAAATAGTATTATCACTAGTTGTTGATGCACCACTAACTATCTCATGTAGTTGGGGGAGTTTGTTTCTATATATTTTCCTATAGTTGTATTTACATATGGTCTTGAGAGAGATTTAATACAGTAAAAATTACGGGTATGTTTGGTGTAGTGTGAAATTTGTTTTTCTCATAATTTTTTTATTTTTATTAGGTAAGGGATATTTTACAGTAACCAGCTAAGTTCCTAGTAATGCTATTTTACCGTGTGTTTCGCTCTGATGGGATAATAGTCCATTACCGGCGAAGAACGCGAGAATTATATTTGAGTGTGATTTGGCATTTATTTCGCTGAGAGTTGATCATTGTTTAGCTATAAACATATCTAACCATATTTATGTTGTGCGTGGAAACTACTAACAAAAATAGAGGTGAAGATTCATTTTAGGTCAAACATGGAATTTCATATATATCTTTACAATGTTAATATTCGTCCATTGGCGGTCCGCAGGTTCTTGCCATGTTTACCTGAGGCTATGCTCATCACTTAGTCACTTGTCTCCTTCTATCCTTCTCTTCCTTTTAGGTAAGGTAGGTTGGTTCCTTTGGTATGAGAATAGGTCTTTTACTCAAATCTGACCTCCATGTTTGTGCATGTTAGTGGTTTCTGTTAAAAATGAAAATGCTAATTTTTTTGCAAAAACTGCTAATTTGCACAAGAAGTAAAGGTCAGATTTGAGTAAAATACACCAAAAAACCTATTCTCGTAACAAAACCTGAGGACAGCCAATGGACTAATAATTAACGAAAGCAAAAAAATTATTCTATTATGTTTCCGGCCTCAAATTTATATTTCCGAGTATTTTAACCGATAAGACCTCCCAGCAATTACCAACAATATTGGTTGTTCAAAGTGGGCAGTAGAGGGAAAATGTGGGGTAAGATTCTAAAAAGAACACCAAACAAGCCCCTGAAAACCTTAGCTAACCTTACTGAACTTGCAAAAATGTTAAAAATATACGTAGTAATGTTTGAGAACACTACTACTGTACCACCAGAAGGAGTTGTTCAATTTTGTTAATTTTTCCACAGATGTTCTTATTATTATAAAAGGCGATATTTACTAGAAACTAATAGAACCTGACCTAACCAACCAAAGAAACCTACCTAACCTTACCTAAGTTCCTAGCTGGGGGACAGACCCTCTCCCCCCATCATATTAAACAGAATGTACTTTGCCAGTCAGAGTGCACTGACGGTTAATTGGTGTTAATAGGAACTTAGCCAGTCACAGCAAAATATCCACTACGTTTTTATTGTGCCTAATGGGTCACTTCCTGCTGTGTGGTGATAAGGTAATCTCTGTACCTAACACAGTCCTCCTAACATGTTGAGTTAGTATTGACAAATATTTTTTAATAAATTTGGTAAAAGTTTATTTATCGGTAAATAATAAATTTGAAATTTTGTTATGGAAGAAAAGATGCTTTGGTAATTATTGACGAATTTCCTGTCGCCAATTTCACTGTTTTGTAGTGGACACTGTTGTTGTTTGGGCAGATGTGTTAAAATGGACCTACAGGTATTTCCTAATGAAACCTAACCTAACCTTGCTTGAAAAGAAACACAAGTGGCTGAAGCGTTGTTCGAAGACCCTCCAACCTAACAGAGGAAACCAACTTAACCTTCCCTAATTTCCTTGACAGGTGGCACTGCCCCCCCGGCAAATTAAACATAAATAACTTACTATGGTATGCTGTAATTTTATGTTTTTTGTGGACATAAGAAAAGCTGTTTGGACCACGGCATGTAAACAAATGAGCGGAGGACTAAATCAAGGTTGGATTGGGCCACCTTACCGTTATATCGCTGCAGGTGACGAAGCAAAGTCACAAGTGTAAGCCTAGGGGCCTAATTATCTACCAATCAAAGCATTTGCCCCCAAAATTAATGCCATATCCAAACTCAGCGATGACAATATAGTAAGAAAAGATCCATAAAAAACATAAACTGCGACGGAAAAATCTTCAATATTAACCAAGGGTGTAAAATGATGAGCACCTTTGTTGACATTTGGCGAGACTGGGAACTTCCTGAAATAATTGATACTGCTAAATAATATCATTTATCATTCATAAAATTAACCAAACTAAACTGTCTAACTTAACCTAAATACTGTGCTATAATAATGTTTAGGTGAAGCACAAGTTTAGGTATGTTAGGTTCGGTAGGTTAATTTCATTCATTTTATAAACTATAGCTAAATGTAATAGCTTCTGATACTTTCTGAATGTTCCCAGACAATGAATATCAACAATGGTGCTCGTGATTTTACAACCGTTAAATTAGAAGATTACCAATGTTTATACTGTACATGTACTCTTGGACACTGATCTTAATGTCCCCTAAGACCAGTATCTTTACAACAATTTTTCTTCAGATTACATCTTGTTTTATACCTACCTCAGTAAGACACAAAACAAGGTGTAGGAATTTAAACTTTCCTAATTTGAAAACTTGAGAGACAGTAGATAAACTAAATTTGGATGTAATAAGCAAATTTTATTTCTACAAAAAAGTTGTCAGAAAATATACTCCTGTACTGTATTAGTGGAGTGCACATTGTGGACTACAGTATTACCTTGGAAAAATGGGATATGTATGAACTAATTATTTATTACCATCACAGAACACATGGTTCCTCTAATTGCCATATATAATTATCTAAAATAGGAGAGAGATTCGGTAAGTTAATTAAGGTACGGTAACTATCTTTTTTTTTTTTTTTTTTTTTTTTTTGGCTTTGGAGGACTCGGTAAAAGACCACTGTACAGGTGGGGTCCGATGAATTTTGAATTGAACAATCCGCACACGGGGCTACCAGGCCTTTATCAAAAGCCTTCCTTGGTGGTGTAATTTTGTTTCGCACAAGAAATGTAACGATATTTTTTTTTACCGGGTGTAATGTGGCTACTTGAGTCTCTTTTCCATGACAAATAATTCTGAGATTCACAATTTGATGGGGGAGAGTGACTTTTATTTGCAGGTTATATTTTAGTCTCGTGTCATTTGTTAAAAGTTGGCGGGTTTTGAAAAAAAAAGAAGATATACAGTCTTGTCCTAATGAAGCATATTTCTTTTGTAATTAACCAGTTAAACCTAACATACTAACAAAACAAACAATATTGTAGCCTCAGTAAATTTAAACTACCTAACATAGCTAAGAATACTCTACCTTTAGTAAACCTAACCTACCAAACATAACTAACAATACTCTAGCCTCAGTAAATCTAATCCACTTAATTAACAATTGAGGCATTGCTAGTATCAATGACAACGTCAACATTGTACTGTATACAAAAATCTGTTTTCTCTAGTAACATCTATCTCCAGAACTGTATAAGAGAATGAACAATATCCCAGTATCTGGAAAATTAGGTGTATTTGAAGGGGGTTGTTTGTTGAGTGAGTACTGGAGAAGGAAGGGAACTATGGCCCACATGTTGTGCTGATTGGTTCAGCCACCCCCTTAGGTCTTCACTGACATGATATGCACCCAACTAACACCATGACCATCATCCCTTACCCAATATACACCCCTTCAAATACATCTAATTTTCCCAAATTAGCTTACTGTAACCATCAAATATGCCAGCCTTTTTTCACCCCAAATTGCCTTGATATCATAATTTAGGTTTGTGTTATTCTTTTCATCTGCTGTCAGATAAGCCTCAGACCCAATTATAAACAAGTTAAAATTTTATATGTCAAAAGGCTGACTTCAGAACTATAGATTGTATTGCAACACACTTTTAAATTTGTATCCATATCCATGCATATAAAATATGTATAGTATTCCCTGGATATACAGTAATGTGCCTTTTGACATTGATTGCAACACTTACTGAAAATATAGAACCATATTAAGTATTTAAGTAATTCATCATATCCACCTCTTCATGAGGCAACAGCCCTGAGCAAAAACTTTTATGCATAAATGAAAAATTAAGGAAATTGATTTGTACTGGCTACATCATTTCCTTCACATTGTACAGTACTGTACATTACTTCATCCTTAAACAGTGGCCATCATTGATGGAAGTTAGTTGTAGGGATGGTGGCCATTCTCATGTGTGAGAAAGATGGGGGCAGTGTTTCACAGAAAATGGGCTACTCGTTGCAAACTTGTAGGAGGGGGATATTGGAGAATATTCTAGGACCAAATTAGGCATTCTAATAGAGTTTTTGTGTAGAAATATAATATGATTTACATTTAGCATAGTGTTAGCCATTCCAAGTTTGTACTTTATATTTAGGGATTACTGTACCATTGTTGTTCATCATAACCATGCTGCAATTGCTGCATTGTTTCAGCTTGGGTTTGTTGTATTGTTTGGTTAAGATAAGATTAGGGTAGAATAGATAGTTAGATACTGTATGGCTAAATTGTTCCAACAGTCATTTTGAGTATGCATTGGTACAGGAAATTCCTTTGTGCTTTGCATTTGTAAGCAAAATGTCACTTATTCTTGAGATATTTATTCCTGGGTCCAAATATTATGACACACACACCAGTAAAAAATAATATACAAGTGTTTTAGGGATATGAGTTTCCTGTAGTGCTGGAATCTTATCTTTGTTATAAAATATGATTCTTATCTAGTCAGCCATTAAAATATTTGTGCATCAGACTATATATTCTTCAGGATATAGATAATAAGAGTTGGAGTTAGTTGGGTGGGGCAGTTGGGACATATGTGTCCTTCCCACACCATCACATTTAGAAAGTGTCTGTTGAACCATATGCTTTAAGAATATCCCTCCTCCACACCTCCCACCCACACCTTTCAGTGACATATTCCTATGCCCATGTAAATGAATAGATAGATTTGGTCCTCTTTTATAGCTACTGACTATTCATTTACTGATAGAATTTTATTACATTGCAGTTGGCATGATGCCAGGCAGTGAGGAACGGTGGCGGGATGGGTCGGGTACAACTGCTGGAGCCCTTGGTCACTTGTTGGAACGTATGACTAATGACTTCACACCTCAACATGATTCCCAGCATTACCAGCCAGGATTTGTACCATCAGCTACTCCTCCATGGACAACATCTAGCCAGACACCACTCACAAGTTTGGGGTCTCCAATGCCTCCTCTGCAAACCTCACACACTAGCCTTGGGTCACAAATTCCCCCACTGCAATCAAATCACACAAGTCTTGGGTCACAAGTTCCCTCAATGCAATCTGCACACAGCAACATGGGGCCCCAGATGAGTCCCTTACAGCCTCCCACAACTAGTGCTCCAGGGGGGCTACCTCCAGGACCACAGCTAACTGGGTCAGCTTCAAGGAGTTATTCAGTAAGTCAGGATTTATTTTCTGAACTTGATGGAGGACGCAGTCCACTCTTAAGATCGTCCTCAGATTTGGGCCTTCGTCTGAGTCATTATCATGCTCAAGGAAGTCCATACAATGATGGTAGACTGGATGGATTCATGGATTCAAGCATGGACTCTCTTGATGGTATGCTGGTGGGAAGTCCTGACTCTGCTTTTTTCTTGGAAGTGCAAAGGGGACCAGCTGTGTCATCGGGAACCCCTCCACTTCAGGGAGATCCACAGGGTCTTACATCTTCTGCAGTTCCTCACCCAGAATTCAGTTTCTATTCCCATGAAAATGACAGAAGAATGGAAGGTGAAAGTGTCAGCAATTTTTCTGCAAAGTTTTCCAATTTTACTGCTTCCTTGGGAAGCTGGTTTAGTCCTCTCGATCCTTTTCGAAGCAACCTCACAGCTGCACAGGCTAAAACTCCATGTGTGACTCAGCCATCATCAGTTGGTACAGGTCTAGAAAGCTCACGAACAAGTGAGACTTTGGTGTCATCCCAGTGTAATGCAAATGTCAGAAATGTGCAGATAGCTTCCTCTCTACCTACAAAGGCAAATAAACCTTCATATTCAGATGTCCTGAGTAAGAATCCAGTACAGGAGGGTAAACTGAATACTGGTGGACCAGCTGTTAACAGTCGGAGTAGTAGTAGCAACAGCAACAGTAGCAGCAGTAACGTAACGAGTCATCCTCCACAGTCACCCTCTCCAGGCCCTACAACATCCCGTCCGGAACAGAAGACTCGCAGTCAACCTGGTAGTAATGGAAAGACTAAACCCCGCAACTCTTGCAGTATCAGCAGCAATGCTAGTAATTGTAGCAACAGTGGCAGTATTGGTCACAGCAGCAAACTAACTAGTAAAGGAGACAATCACATCTCCTCGTCTCGTGTTGGTTTGGATGAGTTTGACTTGAATGTAGGAAGCTTGAGCAATGGAAGTATTAGTGCATATGAGCATTATGACTGGGGTGAAGGTACATCCATCATTCTTGGGAATGGACCATCAATTTTCAAGACATCAGCTAATAGCCCAACACACCAACCCAAGAAATTATCTGTCAGAGGTGATGTAAAAAAGAACAACTCTGAGAAGATCAGCAACAGCCTCCACTGTGAGGGAGAGGAAATGAAAGGCAGTGATCAGCTGAACAACAAAGTGACATCAACACAGCAGAAGCAACCACCTAGGTAAGCACCTTCCAATTTCTTTTCATATGATATTAATTAGAACTCATATTTTGCACCCATTGTGATAAAAAAGCCAGACGGGTCTGCTTTTCAAACTGGGTGCTTATAAACATATTTGTCTAAATCTTGCATTGATTCAGATATTCTATTGAAGCCAAATAAATACTTTTTAAGTATCATCAACATGCAAAGTGCAGAACACTAAATACGAATCTCTGCAGAAGTTCTATGCTGTCTGTAGTACCATGATTTATGTCACTGATTGTTGGTTGCTGCAGGATTTAGGGTTTTTTCACCTAGTTCCAGATGCTCTCACTACGTTTGGGTGGCATTGTTGGTGCTTAACCAACCTGCCATGTGGGGTCGCCAGCTGATGGTTCTTTAAACGTCTCTTAAAATATCACACCAAAATTTCTGAATATTACATTTGTTCATAAAAGTTTTATACATATGGTACTGTATGTGGAGAAAGTTTGTTTCAAAATAAAAGGTTTCATTAAATAGGTCTGGGGTTATCAGAGGACTAATTTACTAATTTTTCTAAACTGCAATCTAAAAAAAAATTTGGATTGTTGTGTTCACCGTACAATATATTTTTCTCATTTCATTGGTTTGTATAAATTAATCAACTCTCATCTTATAATTTGGTTCTGGATATTCCAGATGGGTTCTAAATAATCTACTTTTATCTCTGTAACACATCCAGTCTCATTTCCATTGTTATTTCATACTATCTTCTTATTCCTTAATTTGCCAACCTCCTCCCCAACCCTACTGAGCATGGCAGTGGAGTGGATACAGCGCTCGTCTCCTGTTCCATGGGTCGGTGGTTCGACTCCTGGACACTCCCAGTTCACCCAGCTGTAAATGATTATTTAAGTTTACAACTTGGTGAAATGAATGCGGTCGAGTGCAGTACCGGCCATGCTGCCTTCTTGTGTACCAAAGGCTTAGTATACAGTGTGCTGTATCCACACTGTACCTAACGGACAGTCATGTTAATGGGACCCTCTTTCACTTTAAGCTCAACTCTAGAACCTGTTGTCTGGAAACATAATGCCACTAGTTATGTGCTGTAATTTATCTTACCTATCCATATCCATTGCTGTGCCTTCAGATAAGAAATTTGTTTCTTTGTTGATTTAATTCAAAACTTGCAACATTAGCTTTGTGTTCATATGTATGTTATTTACCCTCAAAATGCAAGGACTTACCTGTACAGTACAGTTTTTATTACTTTTGGGTTCCAGGGGATGGGACCAATTGACACCCCTTAAGTGAACCCAGAGTGTAGTGCTGGAAGTTTAAATTTGTTTTGTTACTTCTGAATGTAATATTTTTTAGTTGCATTTTTTATGATAATGATTAAATTAATACTTGTACAGGGGGTCCTCAAACGTCGGGGATGTGTTCAGAAAAATGGAATTATAATGAAACATTTAATAACGAGGAATTTTTCCCCATAAGAACTAATGTAATTAAGGATATATTTGTTCCAACATGTACAGTAATACCTCTTGAAATCTCAGCAAATTAACTAACAATGGGGTCATTATAACATATGTACTGCATAATAGTACAGTATTTGATATGGAGATATGTTACCTTTGAGTGATACATGATGGTTTGATCTGGCTACTTGTTAAACTTTGATAACTGATTAATGGATAAATACACTACAATATTATTTATGAAGTGCTGATAAATACATTACAATATTATTTCTTAAGTGTAGAAGACAGTTGTTGTAGTAAGCACTAACCATCTTGAGCAGTGACAGCAGTGAATCCTGAGAGAAGTAGAGCACTGGCAACACTGCTCAGAGTGAAACCGCCAGTGACAGTCAGCTGGTTGGCTCTGTAAACAAGCACCGGGAATTTAATACAACACAATTAATCATCTGGAGATGGGTGTTGGATATTTTCAGGAAAATTTATTATTTTACTATAAAATTGTAATTTATTAACCCTTCACCAAATGAACATAGATTATATGAGAATTGTGATGAAATTGCTTGCTGTCATGTTAATGGGGTTACTGGTGGAGTTGTTCAGCCACCTACCCAGGGCCACCCTACCTTCCACCTCCCAAATGATTGACTTCCCACTTTTAATTTGTCTTTTTTATTGTTTATTTTCTTTATTTCAAAATTTGCATTTGAACATTGAAATTATGTTTCCATAACTTTTATGGTTTCTTTTGTAACAATGGCATGTCTGTAGCCTTCTCACAGCTAACAAATGCAAGTGTATTAAGGTAATTTCTAGACTTGATATTCTCCCACTCACAATATGCCCTACACTACTTTTTTCTTATATCTTTATATTACTGTACAGTATAGTACAGCATTTTCTTTATTCAAAAGGCACACTAGCATATTGTAATGACTTTCATTCAAATTCTGTGGTTACGTAACACACAACATTGGAATTAGCGTTCAGTCGTGCGAGAGCTGACGGACATATTTTGGTCTGGGAGAAAGTTTACACTGGTAGGGCACTTTTTATAATTATTATGCTTATACTTTTTTTTACTTTTTATTGTGTGCTTTTAACACTGTTATGCATCATATTCGGTACACACAGAATTAATATAAAATATTGGATGATGCAGATGGCGTATATGTGAAACAATTGATGTACTGTGTAATGAAAATGTTTTGTATGTTTTTGACCTAGCTAGATGTGAAATGACATATATTGGTACATCGTATAGGGAGGACCCTTTGTACTAAAACTAGTACTGTACCAGCATCACCATTACAGGAGGAGTTTTTAAGACCTCTGTGATAAATATTTATGAAAATTTTTGTTTCCCACTATTTCAATTCATATATACTTTAGTAACCCTCAATTTACACAATAATTTTTGCACAGTTTTGCTTGTTACATTGTCTGTTTATGGGGCTAGAATGTTTGATTCTCAGCCAAATGCTACTCCTCAGAAGTTTGAGCCTTAAGGAGTCTACTGTGTGGACTAAATAAGAGCATTTATAACAAAGTCTGTACTAAAATGCATAGTACAGTAGCTACAGTGCAATGAATGAACATAGTAAACACAGATTAAGTCTGCTTGCCATTTGGTTGGTCGGCCAAACAATTAAACCAACAACAACTGTGTGTGGCATAAAAACTGAAGTTAGGTGTTTTATGTGATTGCCAAAACTTATTCGGTGTTTTATCTACACAACCACGACAGTAGATCAAACCAAATATTACTGAAACTTACAGTATTGAGATTAGCATAGCAAAATTATTTTAACTGTAAATGTATCTTAAGTGCATGAGGTCACTAGGTGACCAACTGTTGAGTTTGTGACCAATTCATGGTGTTGCTAGGGGTCAGGAGTCTTTATCATTAAATTTATATTTAATACTTTATCTTGATAAAATCACACGGGAAAAGGGAAACAACGGAGCACCTTAGCTTTCGTCACAGGGTAACTTCTCTTTAATGTGTTTCCTAATTGTTTTATATTAGAAAGTTTATCTCACATAGGCAAGCTGTGCATTCTTTTTCTTATGAAGGGTGCGTTGCTGATGGAGGTAAATTTCAACAGTTGGTTTGTCATGTCTCTCTCCATTAATTTTCACAAAATCTTTATTAGATGGTATGCCTAACTTGCTAGTGCATAAATGTAAAATATATCTTTATATTAAATTTTTTTAAATATAGTGCAGGTTAAACATTACAATTAAATTTTGAGTACAAAGAATAATATCTTTTGAAGAGAATTTGAGTAAAGAGAACAATTCATCTTCATCTTTAGTGGGTTATGTCAATACTGGCCAGCTGATGATAGGATTTACCTTCCCTGTGGTCAGTCATGTGCAACTAAAGGAAGCCTGGAACCTAACCCACTTATCCATAAACCCAAGGTATTTTTTTTAAAGTATTGTACAGTACTGTATACTGATTTACTTTGTGCAGTGTTTTCTAGGAACATAGTCAAATTTATTTTTATATGTTTATATGTCATTCCCTTTACCTTAATGAATAAAAAGAATGCATTGTGCACCACCTACAGTATACAGGCATTTGAATCGTTATAACTTTATACTGAATGCAGGCATACTTCTTAGAATACCGTTGTATTAATACGTATGATCATTGTTCTGGAGGCAATTTTTATCTTAAAACAAAGTTAAAAATCTATAAAATAGTTCTGAAGGTCCCTGCGACACCACACATCTTGTAACTATTTCGTAATTTCTCTGAGCCATTGTTTGTAAATACTGTGATGTGCATTGATTACTCATCAGCTATTCAGTGCCCAGCTGGCAGTTTTGAACTTCTCCCACAGATGTTTTTACTCCACCATGCTACTAACTTTCTGAATAAATTTTTAACCATAAAGTATGGAAATAATCTTGCAGGTGATATTGCTGGTAATGTGGCCAAGCACTCTTGTCAAAGCATCAGTGTGGTCGTAAAAATGTTGGTCATAAGATGCGTGTAGGTGGGTGAGCGTCATGTTCATGTTGGCAGGAACTTTTGTTTGGCAGTGTCAATCATTAGAAATTTTCTCAAGAATGTAGACAAGATAAGTGCTGCTGCCAATACACAAGTTCATTAAAACCACTCACAACAGCTCTTTCAAGCAGCAATTAATGTCCATTGTTATTTAAAATATTATTATAAAATGTTTTAATACACTTATCATGTGTACAGTAGCATTATTAGTGCTATTACCAATACCCAATAAAGCCCTTGTAAATAGCTCATAGGTACGAAATAGCACTGCTGCAAATGTTTCTCTATATGAACCATGTTATGTTGTCCTCTTATAGAGCTGTTTCTTAAGCGCTCTACTGTATTTTCCAGGAATACATCTTGAGAGCAATAAGAGGTATGCCTGTATTACATATAATTATGGTAAGTTTGTAGAGCACAGCGATAATGATTTAAACCAACGTGTACTGACCTGAGTTTGCCCAGGAAAGGTCTGGCACACATTTCAAGCCATATGATCACTAAGTGATGCAAAAATGGATTTTTGGTTAATTTCATCTGTGGGTAATGCACCTGTGCGTCACTGGAACATGAGTGTATTCTGGGTGATGCACCTGTGTGTCATTGGTTTGTGAGAGTTAAGTTGCATGCACTAAACCATACCTAGCCTAACTTAACTAAAATCCTTACATGTAGTCGGTGTGCATTTGAAGTGTTTGCATTAATGATGCTTATGCATAAGTTGCTTGTACTCCACTATCCACTCTACTCATGTACATGTTATTCACAAGCATGTACAGTAGTAGTTTACACTGCACATCTACTGATAAATTGTGCCTTACATTTGTACCTTCATACTCTCAGGAAGTGGCAATTTACAACTTTCATTATCCAGATAACTTGACTTACATACTACCCACCATAATGAAAGTGCATGTACTGATCTCATATTTAGAATCAGTACTACACCATTTTATAGAATCTCATCGTCTCTAGACCCTTTTCATCTTTCTATACTGTGTGTCCAAATTATGGATTTTTATTTATTTTGTGCACCCCATACTCATCCTGTGAGTGGTAGCACAAAAGGATTACAGAGTAGAGTTCACAAGGGGTCTGTATAACTAGCCTCAGTGGTCTGGATATTATGGCATTGAATGTTACATGTCCAAGTACGTATGTGTGTGGGGAGTACTTCTACTTGTTGTCTTAGTTCTTTCCTGTTGTTTACTGCAGTTGTCTATCTCACACTTATGCCATGTCCTCCCAGTTTAAGGTTTCTTTATCACTTGATCATTCACACTCAAGTAAAGGATTGAAATTATGAAGGTTAGAAGTGCTATAAAACATTGATGATGATATTTAATTTATGTATTTTTTTAATGTAGAAAACAGTAAAAAGAGTTTAATGATAACATACTCTAATTAGGTTTACCTGAAAATTAGACACCCCCAAATATTTTACCTGAAGATTAACCACCTTAACACTAACCTAACTTAATGTAATCCAACCTGCACTAACTTCACCATAATAAATATTTAATTATTTTCCTGTCTGGGCTCTCGTGAAATGTATGGTTCCATTATGTACATAATAAAGTGTAATATACGTTCAGATAAGATCAATTCCAAACAGCACTGGGTAATGAGGTAGGTGGATTCAAGTGAAGTTGGATGGTCTCTGATAACCTCAGCCATAGTGAGATAGCTGCAGGCAGATAAGCACACCTTGGAGGGCCTTGATGATTGGGTGTACCATAATGTGTTGCGGCAGCATATTTTGTCCATGTGTTCTCGGGTGGAAGATAGGTGTAACTTTTCAGTCTACACTCAAGTTGAGGGACTTTATGTAGCATTAGGAGTCCAGTGAAGAATTGTGTACAGTATTATGTTATTGGTAGTTGATGTTTTTTTTTCATCAATTTATTGTACTCAAGAAAACTGAGTAACACATGATTACATTAAGTATACACCTGAACTAACTTCAGTTTTGCTTGTTAGCTACAAGTTTCTCAGTGTCAAGAACTGGTTCTTAAACTGGCTGATGGAGATATATACTGTACGTAGTTGGACTGTAATAGTTCTTTTGGTTTTAAGAAAATTATATTGATCTCCATGTTTTAATTTCTATTAAAATTATCAGTGTGATGTTTATTCCTTGTTAAATTTAGATATGTTGTGCACAAAGTGATTGGATTGTGTTTTTCTCTATGACTGGCCACATGTGCTGAAGTATAGAGTGTACTGTACTAGAACTGCCCAGAAGTCTTCAGGAACAGTATCGACTTACTCAGTTTGAAAACAACTTAAATGTAATTACTGTACTGTGTCTGGGACTGTTACCCTTCGAGTGTATTAGATATGGCTAAAAAATATTCCTTTGTTTTTTTTTAGATGTTTTGGAGAGAAAGAGCTTCCACATGAAAAAAAGTTGTAAAGAAATGCTAGTTTGTGTTTTGATATAGGGAGATAGAGTTCTTACGAGTGAACAGGTCCATAAGTAGTGTGAAAATAGAACTCTATAGTTATTCATTGTACACAAACACACACACCACTTTTTCAGACCTTTAATGGAAATTAATTTTGATATACTATACAGTAATTTCAGTTGACAGTATCAGGGAATTCTGTCAAGAATGGCATGGCTGACTTGGTTGCTAATCAGTATTGTAAAAGAATTATAATAATTTTAGTGCTTTACCAGTTGAAGATGTGCTAATAATATTGTTTGAAACATTTCAGTAACTTCTGTTGGTCTTATTTATTTCTCAGAAAGACTTCTTACATCAACAACATCCTGAATGCAACCAGTTCACCCACAGTACCTACTGCATCAGCGACATCTTCTGGGTGTTCCTCTGCGAATCCCCAGGCAACAGCCAACCACACTTCAACCATTCCCATCACGAATAATGCCACTGCTTCCAGTACCCTCAACTTCACTGTCACCAACAATAATAATGACAGCGAACGTGGTGATGGGAACAAGATCAAGAGTACACAGATGCCCAAGGAAGATAAAAAGACCCATGGTAGGTTGGCTTTGGTTTTGTCTCTGGTACATTTAATCCTATTGCATTTCTAACTGTATGGGTTGTAATAGGCACATGGCACCTGATAACTTGCTGACCACCTTAATATTGTCAGAGGTACAAAGCCACACTCCATACCAAGACACCAACCTTACAGTGGTCCCTTGGTTAACGAACTCAATCCGTTCCAGCAGGTTGTTCGTTAACCGAAAAGTTCGTTAACCGAAACCATTGTTTCAGTGGGTTTTTGGGTAATTGGTTCCAGTTCACCGAAAATTGCCTAAATTCAACAAAAATGGTAGAAAAGTTCACTTACTTTGAGATGTGTATGTAGAAGGCTCCTGGATGATGATGATGATGATGATGGGAATTAGAATGGGGGTGGAGGAGAAGGAAGAAGAGAAGGCATTGGGGTGGAAGAGAAGTCACCCCATGGCACCATTTCACCCATAAAATTTTAGTTCTCTTGGTGTATGTCAATATTATTTTCTTTAAATCAACATTGCACTGCATTATATATTGTCAGTATGTAAAATATATTTCAAAATGACCAATAATTTGCTTGGAAACACAGAAAAAAAGCGTTTAGTTGAAGAGAGTCTCAAGCAAGATGTTACCTCCAGTGAAAACAGAGAGAGACTAACGCCTGTTTGCTGTGTTAAGAGGCTGGATGCCGCGCATTAAACTAGTCACTTTACCTTCAATTATGTTCAATAATTGTTAAAATGACTAAAAAATTGAATATTAAACTTTTAAAATTGTTGAATAGTATAAACTTCTTGATATTTACTAAAATAGTAAGGAATTTAAGCCCTAGAACCGATTAATGTATTGGCGGACTGATACTAAAGCTGGTTGCCCGGCCAGTGCAAGCGAAAACATGTTGAGGTCGGTTCGTAAGAAATTCGTTAACCGAATTTTTGTTCGTTAACCGAATTAAAGATTCTTATGGAAGGCAGTTCGTTAACCGAAATTTCGTTAATCGAGGCGTTCGTTAACCGAGGGATCACTGTATATACAAGATATATATATATATATATATATATATATATATATATATATATATATATATATATATATATATATATATATATATATATATATATATATATATATATATATATATATATATATATATATATATATATATATATATAATGATCAGCAGTGATAAATTAAGACTGGGTTTGATAATTTGAGAAGAATTATAGGAATTCAGAGAATTGAAAAGAGAAGGAATGAAGATTTAAGAATGTTTAGGGTGAAAAAGGCTTTTGAAAGTTGACTGGATGATAGAACATCAATATAGGATGGACAAGTGAGTGAGTGATTAAGAATATTTATAACAGCATGGTTGAATGCAAGAGAAAGAAATGGAGAAAGTATTTTTTTATTATTAATAGTTATTAATTTTATTACTATTATTTTATTGATTAATTTTTGTATTTATTATTATTATTATTGTTGTTGTTATTATTATATCTCCCCCCCACCCCCCAGGCCCTGATGTGGGTCGGTGACCTGTGCCTGGGTGGGCTAATCCACGTATTAAAAAAAAAAAAAAACTAGTGACCTCTGGCAATGAGACCCCTAACAACCAGAGGGTGTGTTGCTTACAGCTCCCGATAGGTGAATCTGCCTGATGTGTTGGGAAAAGTACCGTATTGAGAATCGTTAGGTCCATGGCACATGAAGACTATGCCTCACTCAATACACACACACTGAGAACACTTTATTACTCTACTGTATTCATAGAGACTACATGTATTCATTCCTTAGGAGTAATAAAATGCACCATGAGGCTAGGGATTCTCACTTGCTTTTTCCAATGGTACAGTTGATTCATTGTGATATACTACCTGTATGGTATATTGAATTGGTGTAAGTAATTTGTAGCAGAAAAGGTGTTGAAAGGTATTTATAAGTGACATGCCTACGACCCTGGAGGAATCTTTAAATTGGACTTTTAAATGTTTACACTATTTCCCACATATTCTGGGGTTATTTGGGAGTGATTGCTGACCTGGAGACATAACATACATATTCATCATGTAACCATTGAAGAGTTAAAAAAGTGATTTCCGTTTCTTCCATCTTCTCTGTTGATGATCTTTATGATACCTGAGCCTGGGAGATCTGGTGACATTATGAGGATCAACCTATTGCCATTATCTTGGCAGGCTTCATCTGCTTATTCTCTCTTTCTCTTTTATTTTTAATCTCTCCTTTCTCTCTCTCTCTCTCTCTCTCTCTCTCCTTTCTCTCTCTCTCTCTCTCCTTTCTCTCTCTCTCTTCTTTCTCTCTCTCTCCTTTCTTTCTCTCTCTCCCTTCTTTCTCTCTCTTTCCCTTCTCTCTCTCTTTCCCTTCTCTCTCTCTCCTTTCTCTCTCTTTCCCTTCTCTATCTCTCTCTCTCCCTTCTCTCTCTCTTTCCCTTCTCTCTCTCTCTCTCCCTTCTCTCTCTCTCATTTTTTCCTTCCACTCACTCCATTCCCCCTCCCCATTTCCATCCTCTCTAGTCTCTTACCTTGAATCCAGGCAGCTTATAAATGAGGGTAAGAGGAACCTTTTATAGTAAGCGTGTGAGCACCACAGAGAAGAGTGGGTCTGGAATACCTCCATATGAAAAGGAATCAATCCCTGTGCCTAAGCTGAATTTTTTACTGTACTCTATGTACCAAAAGATATACATTGGTGATAAAGAAAGAAGAAAAAAAAGTGACTGTGTCCTAAGTAGTCTATAGTATTGCATTTAAAGAGGCATCATTTTTTTCCCTGTTGTCCAGTCAGGGATTTGGATATCTTTGATATTGTTGTCTCCCAGCCTCGTGTTAATCATAGAAGGTGTTGTTATCTCCCAGCCTCGTGTTAATCATAGAAGGTGTTGTTGTCTCCCAGCCTTGTGTTAATCATAGAAGGTGTTGTTGTCTCCCAGCCTTGTGTTAATCATAGGAGGTGTTGTTGTCTCCCAGCCTTGTGTTAAACATAGGAGGTGTTGTTGTCTCCCAGCCTTGTGTTAATCATAGGAGGTGTTGTTGTCTCCCCAGCCTCGTGTTAATCATAGAAGGTGTTGTTGTCTCCCAGCCTAGTGTTAATCCTTAGAAGGTGTTGTTGTCTCCCAGCCTCGTGTTAATCATAGGAGGTGTTGTTGTCTCCCAGCCTTGTGTTAAACATAGGAGGTGTTGTTGTCTCCCAGCCTTGTGTTAAACATAGAAGGTGTTGTTGTCTCCCAGCCTTGTGTTAAACATAGAAGGTGTTGTTGTCTCCCAGCCTTGTGTTAATCATAGGAGGTGTTGTTGTCTCCCAGCCTCGTGTTAAACATAGAAGGTGTTGTTGTCTCCCAGCCTTGTGTTAAACATAGAAGGTGTTGTTGTCTCCCAGCCTCGTGTTAAACATAGAAGGTGTTGTTGTCTCCCAGCCTTGTGTTAAACATAGAAGGTGTTGTTGTCTCCCAGCCTCGTGTTAATCATAGGAGGTGTTGTTGTCTCCCAGCCTTGTGTTAATCATAGGAGGTGTTGTTATCTCCCAGCCTTGTGTTAATCATAGGGTGTTGTTGTCCCAACCTCGTGTTAATCATAGGAGGTGTTGTCTCCCAGCCTTGTGTTAATCCATAGAAGGTGTTTTTGTCTCCCAGCCTTGTGTTAAACATAGGAGAGGTGTTGTTATCTCCCCAGCCTTGTGTTAATCATAGGAGGGGTGTTGTTGTCTCCCAGCCTTGTGTTAATCATAGGAGGTGTTGTTGTCTCCCAACCTCGTGTTGTTAATCATAGGAGGTGTTGTTGTCTCCCAGCCTTGTGTTAATCTTAGAAGGTGTTGTCTCCCCAGCCGTGTTAATCATAGAAAGGTGTTGTTGTCTCAACCTCGTGTTAATCATAGAAGGTGTTGTTGTCTCCCAGCCTTGTGTTAATCATAGAAGGTGTTGTTGTCTCCCAGCCTGGAAATGTTAATCATAGGAAGTGTTTGTTGTCTCCCAGCCTCGTGTTAATCATAGAAGGAGGTGTTGTTGTCTCCCCAGCCTTGTGTTAATCATAGGAGGTGTTGTTGTCTCTCCCCAGCCTGGAAGTGTTAATCATAGGAGGTGTTGTTGTCTCCCAGCCTCGTGTTAATCATAGAAGGTGTTGTTATCTCCCAGCCTCGTGTTAATCATAGAAGGTGTTGTTGTCTCCCAGCCTTGTGTTAATCATAGAAGGTGTTGTTGTCTCCCAGCCTTGTGTTAATCATAGGAGGTGTTGTTGTCTCCCAGCCTTGTGTTAAACATAGGAGGTGTTGTTGTCTCCCAGCCTTGTGTTAATCATAGGAGGTGTTGTTGTCTCCCAACCTGTGTTAAACATAGAAGGTGTTGTTGTCTCCCAGCCTCGTGTTAAACATAGGAGGTGTTGTTGTCTCCCGTTGCCTTGTGTTAATCATAGAAGGTGTTGTTGTCTCCCAGCCTGCGTGTTAAACATAGAAGGTGTTGTTGTCTCCCAGCCTCGTGTTAAACATAGGAGGTGTTGTTGTCTCCCCAGCCTTGTGTTAACATAGGAGGTGTTGTTGTCTCCCAGCCTTGTGTTAATCATAGAAGGTGTTGTCTGCCTCGTGTTCCCAGCCTTGTGTTAATCATAGAAGGTGTTGTTGTCTCCCAGCCTTGTGTTAACATAGGAGGTGTTGTTGTCTCCCAGCCTCGTGTTAACATAGAGGTGTTGTTGTCTCCCCAGCCTTAAACATAGAAGGTGTTGTTGTCTCCCAGCCTCGTGTTAAACATAGGAGGTGTTGTTGTCTCCCAGCCTTGTGTTAAACATAGGAGGTGTTGTTGTCTCCCAGCCTTGTGTTAATCATAGAAGGTGTTGTTATCTCCCAGCCTCGTGTTAAACATAGAAGGTGTTGTTGTCTCCCAGCCTCGTGTTAAACATAGGAGGTGTTGTTGTCTCCCAGCCTTGTGTTAAACATAGGAGGTGTTGTTGTCTCCCAGCCTTGTGTTAAACATAGAAGGTGTTGTTGTCTCCCAGCCTTGTGTTAAACATAGAAGGTGTTGTTGTCTCCCAGCCTCGTGTTAATCATAGGAGGTGTTGTTATCTCCCAGCCTTGTGTTGAACAATATCTGTTAAACTTATGTTTCACAAACCCCGAGAAATGAAACTTACAGTATAGTACAGTATTTTGATGGTCAATTATGCTCTTGTTTTGTTGCTAAGGTCTTAAAAATTTTCCCACATTTAAATTTTTTTGTTATCTACATATTCATAATTAGAATTCTAATGCTCTAACAGAATAATGTTTGAAAGACTTAGACTCTGTGGAACATAAGTTTAACAGATGTTGGTGAAGTTGTCAACAGGAAAGTCTGAACTTCCTGGAATATGTACTGTAGCTGTTCATTATGATGCAGCTGTCACCTTCATCTGTGTCTGGCATAGCAATTTTACTGTTGTTGTTGTTAACCACCTGGGTGTTTATCTGGGTTAGAGAGAGGGGGATATGGGTGGGTGGGAGGGACAGGGTGTGTGGGTGGGTGAGGGTGGTGTGTGTTGGGTGGGTATAGGGGGTGTGTGTTTGGGAGAATTTTGTGTGTCGGTGGGGGATGGGGTGTACAGTCTGCGCGGAATGTTAGTGCGTGTGCTGAAAAAATATTGATATTTACAATTATGTTATATAAATAAAGTCAAGTAACACTTACCACTTCAATTAATACTTTGTAGTGTTTCCTCTGCGCTTCAGACAGTCTTTTAGCCTTCGAGGAACACTGTCAGCTAGGTTTTGCAAGAGGTCAGGTGGCAAGTTAGCCCAGGTATCCTTGATGGCTGCCTCTAGCTTCGGGATTGATGTGTCAGCGTCGCGCAGACGACGCTTAACAATGGACCACAAATTTTCTATTGGGTTAAGATCTGGGCTAGTGCCAGGCCAGTCATTAAAGAAAGGTACCTCACAGTCTTTGAGCCACTGTATGACACTTTTAGCAGTGTGGCATGGGGCACCGTCCTGCATGAAAAGGCTTGCCTTAGCTTTATCAAATGATTCAGGTAAGAAATCACTGAGCAGTTCAAGATAGTTGTACTGATTCATCATCTGGTTCTTAGGGAGGATTACTAGTTCACCAACACCATAATACGTAAAGGAAGCCCAAACCATAAGCGAGGCAGGGTGCTTAACAGTCTTTACAGTGTACTGTGGGAGGTGTGCGTCTGAGTGGGGGGGGGGGCGGTACACCGTCCCTCCATTACTCCCAGTCACAGAAAACGTAGCCTCATCCGACCATAATACACTCCTCCATGTCTCTAAATCCCACACTTCATATTTCTTGCAAAATTTCACTCTATTTTCCTTCTGTCTCTTTGTCAACAGAGGTTTATGGCGGGCATGAAAGCTCTTAAATCCCAGGTCATTGTGCAGGGCTTGTTGAACACAACGTAACGAGACATGACTCAAAAGACGGGGGTTTCTCGCTTTCACTTCACGTGCTGTGAGTGAGGGATTGGACCGAACTTGTCGAGAAATAACCTTAAGTGTCCGTGGGGACAATAATTTAGGCCTACCAGACTTAGGTAATGGAGCTGGTAACTCGTCCTCTCCAAGGTCACGGAAACATTTGACAAGATTTTAAACAACTCGTAATGCCACACCAGACTGAGCCGATATTTCTCTCAGTACATGGTTCGCTTTGTACAATGCAATCACTGCTGCAATATCGTCTCTTGTAGTAACCCTCCTGGACATCTCTGATGGCCACTATGTCGGGTTAATGCACCTTAAACTAGACAAAACATGGCCACATGGCACGGGAACCCGCATAATAAATCTCCCCCTCACAGCTGCCAGAGGCGCACTGACTACAAGCCGTGACGTGTTCTCAGTTGCCAAATGTCAGCACTTGCCAACAAACCAAGCGTTTTGACATCTCGCATCCCAGGACAGGCTTCACAACATATGATCTTATTTTTGAGAGAACTTAGTTCGTCGGCCCTATCGCGACTTAACATTCCGCGCAGACTGTATGTGTCTGGGGATGGGGTAGGATAGATGTGTGAGTGGGAAAGAGTGGATGTGTGTGTGTGTGTGTGTGTGTATGTGTGTGTGGAAAACATTTTTACAGTGTATTTATGTGCCTAAGAATCAGCGAAGGCAACTTCAAGATGCATACAAATTCAGATGCTTTGAAAATGTTCCCAGCCCAGTTGAATTTTTATACATGTTAGAGTTCTCATTATCATTGAAGTTGAGGGATGCCAAATTAGCATAATACTAATTTATAGACCCATAAACACTTAAAAATTTTCATTACAAGGGTTTTTGGTAATATTTAACTACTTTTTTGTGTACTTCATATACAGTACTTATTTTTTACTAATATTTCTTGAAGATAACTTGATTTTTACCTCAAGAAAACCACAAATCAAGAGTTTCATTTACATTATTATTTTATTTTATTTTTTCTCGTAAATAATGGATTTGTATCTGCTCAGTACACCTACCATCATTTTTATAAATGGTGGTGTTGTCATTCAAATGCGTATAAGCAACTAAATGCTTCCAGTGACCTCTCTCTATGAACGCTTCTAGCAACTGCTACATTGTTCAGGTATCCTTTGTTTAGCATTAATTCACTTAACATAAATTCAGTTTAGTGACAAAATAAATATGCCACCCTTTCTCACTTAACATTATGGCAAAATTCGGTTTCGCGATAGCTTGACTCACTGGGAACGGGAAAAACCAGGGAGGAATGGGCCTGAGAGATGGCTATGCATGTTGTTATTGTTATGAAACTACTGTATAAAAGTTTTGGAAAAATCATTACAATACTCTTATGTTGCTTAGAAATAAAGAAAATATAATATAAAACTATAAAAGAAAAATGAAGAGCATGGGTGTGTATGTGTGTGAAGTGAAATGTATGTGTTGAGGTTTCATTACTTAGAAATGTCACTTCATTATTTCTGCTTGAGGTTTGAGGACATGGCTCTATTTAATCATGCCATTTTTGCTTGCTCCATTCGAATGTCTATTTCATCTTGCCAGGTGTGAAGATTTGGTCTTGCATCTGTGAGGTTTGATGTTAGGGGTCTGGTGTTCAGTAATATCTCATAAGCTATAATACTACTTGGGTATTGAACACCTCTTATAATAAGCCCCTACAGTGGGTATTAAACCTGTAGCTGTCAATTTTATTAAACTAATTTTCTTAAGATAATTAAATCTTAAGTTTTGCCCATTTGGATGATTTTTTTTCTATTAAGGTGAGTTTTGTCAATAGTTATATAAACTACAGAATTTTGTAATAAACCAATTTTTTCCTCCTTTAACTGAAGATATAGTTGGCAACACCAGCAGTGGAGGTCGACCGGGTGGACGAAACAAGACAACAGCAAATGGTAGGGGTGATCGAACTGATCGAAACAGAGAAAATCAGTCCAAGCGGCCTGTCAGAAAGCGGAAGGAAACCCCGTTTATTAACCACTCGGGTAAAGTTTAATAAATACATTACAGTAATCAGGGTTTGTAATACTGTACAGTGTTTGAAAAATAGATGAAGATGTCTTAAAATTTTCTTCATTTGTACAGGTATATTTTTATAATTTCCGAAATAGTTTACAGTATATTGTATTGTAATCATATATAGTTGGCATATATAGTATTTTCCTTAAAGGATAAGGAAGTATTTATATTTAAAACAATGAATTTGAGATTTTTTTATTTATTTAATTATTACTGTTACATATTTTTATTTCATGTATTTATTTTTTATTTTGGTAACATTATTGATATTGTTTGCAGAACTTGTAGCACAGGGCTGGGCAGTAGCAGTACATTGGGTGGGCTTGGTGGTTCAAGCAGTGGTGTGGCTGGGAACTTTGGCTGCTGACGTGGTAGTCATGAGTTCTCGCCTGTTTCTCCATCTCATGACAGTGATATGGGCCAGATTCCTGGAATACTGGCATACTGTCAAGATCAGTGTGCGACATTACTGGGCCAGATTAACCTCCACTTTCTGGAAGAATGACAAGGAAGAGAAAAAGATACCTGGTAAAGTTGAAGTTGCTTTTCTCATTTCATTCCAAGTATGATTATATTTTTAGTTTTCAGTTTCAGCATCATAATTCAGAGATGAAAAGAATTGCCACTAAACATTAATATATATACAGTAAAAGAATTTGTATTAATTTTTTGGGATACTTAAGAATATCGGAAATTTCTTTATTCAGGTCGAGAAAAGAAAATACCGAGGGGACTGGAGTGCAACATATCATTGCCCACTACGGGCGATGAAGCTATGAAACGTCTCTTGGCATGTAAAGGAAAAGATCCATACAGCATTTTAGGTGTCACTCAGGAGTGTACGGACGAAGACATCAAGAAGTATTATAAACGGCAAGCTTTTCTCGTACACCCAGACAAAAATAAGCAACCTGGAGCGGAAGAAGCCTTTAAGATTTTAGCTCATGCTTTCGAAATAATAGGGGAGCCTGTAAGTTTGCTGATGATTTACAAATTTACAAATGGAATATGCTGCAAACTGTGTGCCATAACTTACAGAGTATACTCATACCTGTGTAAACAACAACTTGTATCACTTTTTCAGGAGCGAAGGCGTGAATATGATGCTCGCCTGGCAGAAGAGGTGCAGTTAGAAGGTGCTTGGGGGGAATTGGCATCTCTTTTAACAAGACTTCAAGAGAAATTGGATGAAGCGGCCAACACCATACGTTGTACTAATTGCAACAAGAGGCACCGTCGTGTCAAACTTCCTCGGCCAATATATGCTGCAAGACATTGTGCTGAGTGCCAGATACACCATGCAGCTAGAGAGGTGAGAAAGTGGTAAACTTTGTAGGCTAAACAGATTAGTAATCTCCCCATTAGCTGGAATAATTGGTGCAGAGCAGCAACGGGTTTAAGAAGAATTTTCAGGGCACTGATGAATGTTTCTGTGTTGGACTGACAGTGTTGTATTTATTTATGCAAACACAACTGTAAATGTACAATATATTGTAAATAAATAAAATGTACTACTGTATACTGTACTCTTATACTGTACACTCACCAGCAGATGCTGTCATCTTGATCTTGTATAGGCAGGCCAATTGGTGATGTGATTATACAGGATGGCCTGCTTTTGACCTGTACCTTCTACAGTACTATAGCAGCTTTGTGCCATATATTTTCTATATTTTTCGGCATTGTACACATGCTGAATAATGTACACCTCACCCTCTACACGCAAAACTACAGTAGGCATACACTGTCCTCTGCTATGCACTGTACTGTATACTATATGGTATTCTCACACTTAATGAATGTGCAGTACAGTACAGTATACTGTACATAACTGTTATCACTTTTTACATCTTAATACTGCTTTAACTGTATTCTTGGGTGATTGTACCCTGGTACAGTAATGTGTAGTACTGCATAACACAGATTGTATGCAAAAACAGAAGTGAGCGAACAAACTTTTACAATGGCAGCAGACTATGAATTAAGCGCATCATGATGCTGGGGTTTGATGAGATAAGCTAGACAGCCTCAGCTTATGGCCCCCTAAATTTTGCTGGGGGGCCATGGCCCCCAGTTTGGGAACCACTGAGCTAGAGGATGCATCAGCCAATCAGGCATGCCATGCAGTCACATGACAGTAGTACAGGTAGTTCTGCTATAACGCGATAATTGTGTTCTTGTAAAATATCGTGTTATAGAAAATCGCGTAATAGAAATAACAGGGCTTATGGAGAAAATAGGGTTAGGTGCAGATTACTCGAAATCGAAAAAATTTAGTTGTTAGCCAAACACAAAGGATAGCACAGTCTAAATAAATGTTATTCATATCTAATAATGAAATCATACAGTAAATTTAACATTTTACCTTGAAAAAATATGAATGTAACTTGATGGGGGAGAAGGGTGATTTTGAGGTTGATAACATCGAGCTTCTCTTCAAGGGTTATATCCTTTCTTTTACGATAATCATCGGGAATTCTATCATCAGAACGCTTTTTGGAGATATTCTTCTTTACCATATTCACAGTTAATACCACAAAATTGGAGAAATAGTAAGCAAAAGTCGCGTTATAGCAAACAAGCGTTCGCGTTATACAAATATTGTTCCGAATTCATAAATCGCGTTATCAAAACACGCGTTATAGCAGAACTCACTGTAGCCGGTTGCAGTGCACGGGCCTACTGCCTAAGATCCCCATGCAGTTAGCCCACCTGTGCGTCCAGCACGCATACAAGCATTGGTGCATGATGCAATATCGGAAATTCGTTCGAATGCCAGGAACGGAGAGATTTTTCTCGAAAATTCTCGTATTATTATTTATTATTATTATTATTATTATTTTTTTTTTTTTTTTGCCCCCTAGGTAATGGAAAGTTTTGGGGATCAAAGATTCTGGCTAACAGGGATATTACTTGCAGTGATTTCCCTGTTATCCAGAATAATTGTGCAGAGCTCATTCAGGAATGGGAGATTATAGTGTATTGAGATGAATTTCTCGTCCATGGAAAAAATCTTATACCCTGTACTGTACTGTACTGTATTTCGGATTTTTTCCAGGTACTGGAGTAACTTTTCCGAGAGTCTAGACTACACTTCTCGCATGGACAGACACTATTGCATATCCCCGAAATGTATTTGGGTGCTGAGGAAAGTTTTCTGAGAGCCTAAACAACTTATCTCGTACAGACAGATACAGAGCTGTATTTATTTATGTAAAAACCACTACTATTGTACCGTACTGTACAGTACATTGTGATCACTGTTTGTCTTAAAACTGCAGTAACACTATTCTTGGTTAATATTTTCCTGCACAACAAAAGTTGTATGCAAAAACAGCAGTGAGCAAGGGAACAACCTTGTATAATGGCAGCAGAATATGCACTAAGCATGCGAGCCTATGGCCTAAGTTACCCAAGTAGCTAACCTTCCCACACACCCGGCACATGGGGACGCTTTGGAGCATGATGCAATCTCTCAGAACTCCCGGAAAAAAAAATCCCACGCCAGAACGGAGAGGTTTTCTGGGAATTTTTCTGGAAAATGGGTATTATTTTATCCTCGTAAATTAGTTCCTATGCCCAGAATGGAGAGATTTTTTTCCAGGGACAGGAGATTCCAGCTGACGGGGAGATTATTATACTTCATGTTTGTTTTTTTAATAATTTATGATCTTGTTTTTTAGTATTAAGTCTTCATATTTTCCATTCTGGGATTGTCTAACGATCTCATAACATTTGGAATATTTTCCAATCGTAAACCTTTGATAACTCGGCACCTATGGGGCTTTGGCCTTGCCGAATTATCGTCAAGGCACACCCCCTCCTTACAATAATGCAACAATAAAACATTATCAGCCCATATACGTGTAATTGTAATTACTAGTTTTCAAAAGTAACACTTACCAGAACTGCAGGCAAAGAATGAAGCATTGTAGTAGGCGACAGAGGCATGGTAGGTGAAACAGAGGCATGGTAGGTGACGCAGGAGAATGGTAGGTGGTGGAGGTAATGGAGGGGGAATGCTACGTAAACAGTGCAACACTTATGTATATTACTGTACTTTAATTTGGTCACATACAAAATAAAATTGCTTATAGCTAAACTGTTTATGCTATCAAAAATCTAAAAACAACATAATGTACATAGACACTTCTACTAACCAATGAAATAATAAAACAAAGAAAAAATATTAAAATAATGGCAAAATCTAAAGAGATTGAAATTTTTTGAATTTGTTTAGATATTCCATATTTTCCATTTTTTTTACTGTAGTGTAAATTTTTTTTTTTTTTTTTTCTAGCGCTTATTGTCCTTACTTGGCTCAAATATAAGTTGGTTGTATTGGAAACTATAATGCACATCATCAAAACTTTTGATAAATTTTTTCACTTTTTTCTTGTTTCATGTGAAATAGCTAAAAACTCTATCCGAAGACAAAATAGATACATTGTAGGTATTCCGTGCCACTAGGTCACAACTAGCACATGTGTTGGAGGGGGACTTGTTATAAATAAGGTGGTGTGCGAGTATTAATGACCTGCAGGCAATAAACTGAAATCTCGTGACCAATGTTTTATTTTCCATTTTTTACACAGGGTGACATCTGGGCAGAAAGTACTTTTTTAGGTCTTCGGTGGAAGTACTATGCCTGTATGGAAGGTGCTGTGTATGACATTAGTGATTGGGCCGCATGTCAGAGTGAAAATCTGAAGCATCTGCAGGCTAACACCCACAGTGTTCAGTATCGCATTGTTTCTGGGAAAAAGAGCCCGCCATCTAAAAACAACACCCCAGAATTTCCAAGGTATGTCTTTATTGTACAGTCATTCCATAGTATTGTATTGCATAAACTATACAAAGTGTTTTCTTATAATTTTTTTACATCTCATGAGTTTGATTAATTTATTTAAAGCCTTTCATAGTTTATGATTACATTTCATAGCAGCTAAATGAACAAGCATGCTCTCTTGTAATCACTTACTCAAAAGAAGTGCTTGTAGCAGAAAACCAGACAGGTGTTAGATAATACCAGTACATATATGTAGTCGGGATAAGTGTGACTAAAACTATGTCATGTAGAAGTAACTTAGATGTCTTGGATTTGTGTGTAACAAGGTACAAAGAAATGAGATAGGAACAGTTAAGGTTGGTAAAATCAGATGAAGTGGTAGTGTTGGTTGTTGTGTGATGGATTATAAGGGGTAAGTTCCAGAATATTATGGATTAAGTCTTCAAGACTAAAAGTAAGATACAAGAGTGAATTGTAATGGTGTGCATTGCACATACATGAAGGAGTGAGAAAAGGGAAGAATGAGAGAGGTTTTTAGGAAGTACTTAATAACATTGAAAGTTTCAGTGTGAGAGATAGAGTATTGGTGATAAAAGATTAAATGTGAAAGTTGATGATAGGGAACTGGAGGAGATTGTAGGGAAATTTGGAATAGAGTGGCTGATAGTAATGTGTGCTAAGATAAGTTGATAATGGAGAATACATAAGTCAAAAAGAAAGTACATATACTTGAAAGTAGGAAAACATGGAAGACAGAGGGTTGTTAAATTGTATGTTGGACAGAAGTTTTAATTGAGAGTTAAAATAAAATGGATAAAGAGCTGTACATGGAGTGCCTGACCATCCTTTGGTCATGAGAGTGTAACAAGTGTTAGAAGGTGTAGGACAGAAGGGAACTAATTTTTGGTGAAAGTGGGATTGCTCAAAGAATATGTTATGTAGTCATGGTTGTTTTAACATTTACATGGATGGGATAGTAAGAAAGGTTAAAGCAAAAGTGATAGAGAGGGACAGACAGTAAGGGTAATTGATAAAGAAGAGGAATGCAAATGAGAGGTGAGTCAGGTGCTGTTTACAGATGATATAGAATCAGTTTTCCCCAACCTTTTCAATGCTGGGTCACAGTTCCCAGCACCTCCAAGATCATTTGGTCACATTTCAGGTTTGTCATCTAGATGACTTGGGTTTGATTGGCATTTCAAGTGAAAATTTGTATGTGCAAATAAATAGCTTGAATAGACTATGGAGAACATGAGCTATTTTAGATATCTAGAAGTGGATGTAGCATTGATTGATTTACTATCACAGACTAACTGAGGGAAAGACAGTAATACTGTAACTTGTAAAAGAAGTCTCAAAAGAAGCAAAGGTTGGGGGATATAAAGGGCCATAATTGAACATGGGCTGGGTGCAAGAAGAAATAAGTTGGAAGCAATGGGTAAAATGTACTTAAAACTAAATATACAGGAGGTCCCCAACTTACGAACGCCCGCCGATACGAACAGGGTTAGACTTGAAATTTACAGTACTGTACTGTATTTACCTGATGACGTATTTTTTTACTTTCATTTACTGTATTTTGTCATTCTATTTCTTCTTTTGTCAGTACTGTATTTCATTTACCTGTTATCTTATTTTTTACTTTCATTTACTGTATTTTGTCATTCTATTTCTTCTTTTGTCTTAAATTAAGTGATTTTAGATGTATATCAGGACTTAGGCTATGATATAGTGGGATTTTAAACATTGTTTTGTGAGTATGGTATGCATATAGCATGTGTTCAGACTTACGTACAAATCCAACTTACAAACGTCCTCAGGAACGGAACTCGTTCGTAACCCGGGGACCCCCTGTATAAGGTAATTAGGATGTAAGGAATGAGCAACGTGGTTATAAAAATGAAATTTTGTCAAAGTGGAAGGAATGCCAAACAGAACTGATCTAGGTTCACTTGTGATAGAATGGATATATTGAGGGAATGGGAAAAGTACAATTGGTAATGTTTGTATAATTTAGAAGTAAATACTCTAGTATGAAGGGGGAAGACCAAGAAGGAGATGGAAGGATGGGATGAGAGAGGCACTTGCTGTGAGGGAAAGATGGATATCCAGGAAAAGGTGTACTGTATAGTATGTGCATTAATGACCAGAATGGTAGTGAGAACTTTTGGAGGACATTCTGGTGCTAAGTTGTATGACGTGACAGGGATAAACTCAAGAGATGTTATTGGCAGGGAACACTTAATAGAATACGTGCATTGCAGCAGTAAGTGACTGAATTACATCATATGCAAGGAGAGTGTGTATTGTTGATTCCAGCCTCTCTAAATCATAATAGGAAAGGCTTCAAAAGTGAGAGAAAAGCTAAACTAATGAATATTACTGGAAACAATTGGCATTTGAAAAATTGAGGCTGTATTTAGGCATCACAGAAAAAGCCAGTTATGATACAGATTTCTGAGTTTTTATCTACACATACTTAATTACTAAGTTGTTTTGGTTTGAACATATTATCATGCAATTTGTTTTATCTCTACTTAATTTTTTTTTTTCAATTTCAGTGATCCAGATCTAGAGGAATTCTTTAACAATTTGTGTAAGGAAAAGTTTGGAAAGAATTATGCTTCAGGGAGTAGTCAGCCTGGTGGCCAACAAATGTCTGATATGCGCAAGAGGAAGAACAAGAAGAAGAAATGATTATGGGGCTATGGGGGTGGGGGGGTTGAGGGGGGGTGCTGGGTTAGAGAACATTATCATACATTCAGTTTTAAGAAAAAAATGTTGTTAATGGAAAGCTTTTTTGGAGTTTATTTTTTATCTTAAAAGTACTGCTAAAAAGTAATTAAGTCACTCTTGAGGAGCCTTGCATGATGTTGTTAGTGCAGCTGTGACTGGGTGTTGGTAGGTGGGAAAATGTTACTAGCCTATTTAAAAAAAAAAAAAAAAATTCTGGCCTTAGTAGAGCAGCTAAATTCAATCTAGAAATTGAGTTAACCAAACAGTAAAATGATTTTTATTGAGAAAAACCAAACAAACTATTCATGAAATGAAATGTATCAGTGGGTTATTGAGTAGTGCTCAATTGTATACCGTGAAAGGTGGTAGAATGTCAAGCCATCGGCAAACTATATTTTTGCTGAAGAAAAACCAATAGGTGTATAGGCTTTAAAAGTCTGCTGATTATGTGATTTAAGAACTATTCATAAAAAATTCCAAATTGCTTGCTTTAACAATGTATCTGGACTGCCCCTCTTATAAGGTTTGGCAATTACTGCTCTGCTAAGTCTAGTTGCAGCATTACACTCACTACACAGTACTATTTTGCAGGCAATCTTAATGTTGTTATTCCCTCAAAAATTCATCACATTTCAAAAAAAATAAAAATAAATATTTTTTTTTTTTCAAGCCAGATTGCTTAGAAGTTCCATTGATATTTTTTATTTAACACTTCTCGTTTTAAATCACTGGAAAGTTGCCTTTTTAAAATTTTCTTCCTTATAAGAAATAATGTGAATACAGTATGGAACATAATAAAGATATACAAATTCCTAACTGTATGTGCTGAGTGTATATTATATATACAAGTTATTTTATGTTGGGTATTTGTAGCTGTGATTATCAGTATTGAAGATATTGTGCAGTTTCAAGGTGAAGTTCATAAAAGGAAGTTTTTGCAATTTTTTTATTAATAGGACCATTGACCCAGGTAAGGAAGTAAGAACTTGGATATTTAAACAAATCCAGTGATAGTAAAAATAAAGATTATATAGTGGAAAATTTTTACAAATTTAATGCTACAATTCACTGGTAAAATATAATCAAATAAGTATATTCTAGATATATTATTTGTGTATTATTTTCAAAGATTATTTACTCAAAATGTGAAACCATCATATCCATTTTAGTAAAAACCAGTTATTATTGTAAGTATTTTGTGCATCAACTTCCTCGGTTGAAATATAACTGTTTGAACCCAAAGGCTTCAAACTACAGTTACAAATGCATCGTAAGATGGGGAGGCCTTTAGCTATGTGATTTAAATGCATATTTTTTCCTAATGGCTGAGTACCATTTCATTTTAATTGACCATGCACAGTTTACTTTCTTCAGTTTTTTTCTCAATGTTAGAACTACAGTATGTAGTGACATTCTTGGCTCACTTGTGAAGGGTACACATTGCAGCATAGAACTCTCTATTATATTCTGCTGAATCTTATTTTCTGTTAATATAGAAACTGTAACAAATCTGTTTTTGACTTGACTACCTTTCATGGCCTAATATGTGCACCTGGTGAAGAAGCAAAATTTTGTTTGGAGATGTGAGGCAGTGTAGATATGGTGATGTTCTCTGTATCAGTAAATATTTTTTACTGTATATCAATTATACATTACATTGCATAAAAGGGAATGTCATACTCTATGGGTGCACATGTTTTACTTTTTCTTATTTGGGGATGAGTTCTAGGTCCTACTTCTAAACATTTAAGCTGTGTACTGTACTTTAGTCCTTGCATAAGAGATATACAGAATCTTAAATGGAAAACCTGCACAATGCAAAACTTAACACTGCAGATGAGGTAGTTACACTGCGTGTAGATTATCGCAAAAAATACATTTTATGGATTTTTTATAAAATATACTTTACTATTTATGTCAAGTGACATGGGCATCCATATACTGTACCAGTGTCTATTGAAAACCTTATAGTATGTACTAAACATGAGAAGATAATTGTCATGCATATTCCAGAACATATCACACGCCCTGTTTAAAATGGAGCTCTCTCTCTCAACCCTGGGATATACGTTCAAGGTTAAAATATAGTCACAGATATAAGCATGTGATCTTGTCCAAATTGACAACCAAACATTCATATCAAGACATTTACCTGTACAACATTGTTGTATTATACACTAAGAAGACACTTTCTTTGAACACAGACATCCTAATACTAGTTAAAGTTTGCTGATTTGTTTTTGCAAACAAGCATATATAAGGTCATTGTTACACTATACAGTACTTTGGAAATTATGTAATGTAAACAATTTTAAAGTAATAATCCTGTGTTAAAGATTTTTTTTTTTTTAGAAACTTTAGGAACATGAAACAAAATTAACTGAATAGCAGATTCCTTTGGCATCAACATAGGAACTGTACAGTACAACTAGCAGCAAACAAGTCCAATAGATATGGATAGAATTAATTATTCTATAATAAGAATAATACAAAGAGGAAGATTTCATGGTGAGAGGATGAATACTGTTCTGTACATTTACATTGCATAAATATATACAACTCAGATGTACTGATGAGGAATTTGTGAACACCAAAAACTTGCATAGACTCCGGTGATAATACAAATACGTACTGTACGTACATATGCAGGTTGTATATCAATTATCTGACAAGTTCAGAACCAGAAATGAGAAAGATTCCAAAATTTTGGAAATTCTAAACCGAGAATATACAGTACAGTACATTAAATATGTAGAAATCAGGACACATGTGTACAGTCTAGTGAGGTAGCAGCAGCTGCCACCATGTTACAAGATGTAACAAAATGACTGAAAACCATTAAGTCAGAAAATTTTTAATGTTTAACATTTTCTGTTTTTCAATTCCTTCATTTAAATAAAATTTACTGTAAAACTTCAATTTCTGCTGGTTATGGGTCCCAAATCATAGTAAGTGGTCATTCCAATTTCTTGGCTGTTCAAAGTCTCACAATGGATAACTGGTGAAAAAAAAAGAGTTAAAATGGAGACACCAGATACAATAATTGATACACTTACCTATAACCAATAAAAATTGTATGTATGCCCTAGTTATGTGCATCATATATATCAAAACACAATGGGGGCATAACACAAGACTATTTCTATAATAAATATGATATGTTTACATGCATATAGGAACATTACCACCCACACACACATGTATATTCGGGTTCCCACCTGTATATATACAGTAGGGGGCAGGGAAAAACACTTTTATTTGAGTTGCAGGCTGCACTTTTCAGGCATCGTTTGTATGGCTGTAACAAACACCTGTGCAAAATTTCATGCCATTTCATGCATACTTACCCTGCCGCATCGCGAACGACTTTTTGTCAACTTTTAGTGTATACCAAAAATTAGGTGTCATTTAATGTTTTCCAGGATAATGATAAATTTTACATGGGTGACATCGATTTAATTCACATGTTATTTTACAGGTACACCGTATAGAAAATCATTACAAGTTCATATTGAAATTCCTTTTTGTGCGGAACCTTGGCATCATTTTCCTAGACAATAATCTTTGCCTAATATATCCATCTCTCGATTCGTATCCCGTCACTTCAGTGCAAGCTTCAGTCATCACTTTTATGCCTCTCTCGACCGCCTGAGTGCTGTTTGGCCACTTGGGCACCACTAATGGTGTCTCAAGAATGTCATTAACCTGTAGATTTGACAGAGAAGCAATGTAAGGAGGCTCAGTCTTGAGTTCATTCCTCCAGTTAATCATGGAATGATAGTTTTTTGCTTGCCACTTTAGTTTCGGAGTCACCACCTTTCTCATGTTGACTACAGGAGGCACATCCTCATTCCCATCTCCATCTTTACCCTCCTCATCAGTATAGTTTAACAAATTCTCGTCAACAGCAGCATCAGAATCTTCCTCCTCCTCTTCAGATCTGCCAGTGCATTCTTCCTTTTGCTGATTCTCCTCTCTAATTTTTCTTATCATTGAGACAGCTTTTTCTCTAACAGTCATGTCCTCATCTGCACACATACCAAGAAGAAGTTGATCTGTGTGGGCGAAGTATGCATTTCTCTGGACAGCCTTCTTCACTATCGTCTCCTCCTCACTATTCAGGTGTTTCATATATAGCAGGGACTGGAATACGTTCCTTGAGCCGTGTGTTACGTAAGGGTGTATCTTGATGTAAAACCACATTGGAGCACTGAACTTTATTATTGTAATGACAATTCTTTTCAACTCATGGCTGGGTCTTGATGTTGCTACATACAGCCTGAGGATTCTACTCCATAAGGTGTTCCACCTTGACACACAGGGAGGACCTGGCTCAATAGCAGCCAAGTCATCTTCAACAACACCTGTGATAACTCCTTTACAAATCCTATACAGGTATTTCTGATCCCAGGACAGATCTTTCTCCACTTCATCATTAAACACAGGGAAATCAGGGAAACTGACTGGCTGGAAGGCGACAACTGGAAGCTCAGACAAAGACTCCTTGATCTGCTTTCCAATGGGACCACGCCAATGCTCAGGACCACTTGGTTTACCATCATAGTGATAAAAAACTGCGCGGAAAGGCAGCTCATTTCCGTGAAGCTGACATATGAAATAATGGAGCGGGTGACCAAGTAACATTTCAAGATGATGAATGACTCCATTTTCTGATCCTACATTTACATTGGTTCCATCACAACCAACACACACAATGGGCTGCTGGGTTAGATTTTTCTCCACCAGAAACTCGTGAATAGTTTTGGCAATCTGCTTTCCGTGTCCAGTCTTGGGAGTCACATGTGTGAGATATTCATTGCCAGGCTCAACCATGATGACATAATGATCTTTCACCATCATCCTCGAACTCCATTTCTCGGTCTTCTCATTCTTTATCATCACACGAGTGGCGGTCTTCTTACCATCAAAATAGAGTGACGTCAAATTATCTAAACTAGCCATCTCAATTTCTTGCCTCTTAAATCGGTATTTTTGTCTCGCATCCCGCAGCTTATGTGGTCCAATAACCTGACTCTTGTCATCCTTTGTGATAATGCCATAGTCAGTTAAGGTGGCAGTAGCAATGGCAGCTCCAGCATAATCACTAATCAAGTATCGGTCACAAGCGGCAGCCAGTGTAGGGAGTCTTGTCCGGTTCTGTAAACTGGTGTCTGTCAGAGCCCTTGGATCAGGGACAAAATTAGCATCAGTATTGACGAGAGGAATATCTCTTGAATCATCTGAATTATCCTCAACATAAGGAATATCTCCAGCTACCAGATATCTATGTTTTTGCTCAAGCTGTCTCCTAACTCTGTCCGCATCATGCTTCTCTCTTGCCGTCACTCTGTCCCACATCTTCGTCACTTTCATGTCAACCCCTGCAATCTTCATCTTCCTATCACCTCGCTGGTCAAGGAGAAACTGCACCTCACGTTTGGGAACTTTTATAACACAATTACATGCCAGGTGATATCCGTCACACTCCTTAACTATGCACCTCACATCCTGACAGGAGGCAAGGGGACAATAACAGCTACAGATATCAAACAACTCTTTCATTTCTACCTGAAATGCAGCTTTTTTGTCTCAGAATGACTGCTTATGGGTGACTGAGGAAGCACGTGGTGATCCTGCGGTGTGAACTGCTTAACGGTAACTATTTGAATAATTTCAAGTGCGCCAACTTACCCAGGTCTCCCCTACATTACAGTACAGTAACACAACATTGAGAAATGAAATGAGAAAAGGCTGATAATCAATATAGACATAGCACCATACTCATCTGCAACAAGACAACTTAAATGAAATAAGAGATATGAAAAAAAAGTTGATAAACACTGAACAGAACATTGCACCGCCACAGCGGCTGTTTGGCTAGTACTGTAGGTAAATTTAAAAATTTCAGTAGAAAATGCGGCAGACTAAACCTCGACATATCAGCTTCAAATTTGGCATGGAGTCTTAGATATGTATAAGGAACAATGCCTGAAGAGTGCAGCTTTGAGCAAAATTTCACTGCCCCCTAATATACAGTATGTATAACCCCTTTTTTTATACTAAGGCAATCGTTGTGCAACTTCAGAGTTCAATAGGCCACTCCTCATCAAGTCCAATATTTTTACTTTTTCTTCAAGAGCTCTCACAGTATGTGCTTTCTTCTTTTTCTCACTCACAACCACGAGCATTACCACAAATTTTCATCTCAAGTCCGTGATTGTGGTAAAATTTACCAGCAAAGAAAAACTTCATGAGAGCAAACACCTAGGAGATGTTCATGGAACCAGTGCGAGAGAGAAAAGGACGCCTCTGCAATAATCTAACCTATGGTACCATACACAAACCTTAAATGTACAAAGGAACCCAAATATTAAAGCTTTGATATCATATGAACACTTTAAACAGTATATAGTACTGTATGTACAAACACTCGAACCATCCCCTGGGCAACGTGACACAATTCAGCTGGGCAGTCAACCAGCTAACTCAAGAGACGTGTGTAGCAACTGTTGCGCTGCACTGCACAGTATGTATGCTGTGACGTCACATTTGGGGGATTCAGCAACAATTACAGCTCACTGACTCAATATATACGTTTATTTCCCACACATACACACCCATGCTCTTCATTTCTCCTATTTTATAGTTTTATATTAGATTTTCTTCATTTGTAAGCAACATCAGATTATTCTAATGATATGTTTTTTCCTCAAATGAGCTCGGATAAGTGATAAACATGCTGAGCTTGCGAGAGATACTGGGTGGGTTGGCTTGCACAAGAGCAAGACCCAAGCAGACGTGCATAAGTGGGGTCGCGTACTATGGATAAGCATACAGTACTCTGAGGTTTTACTGTACTGTGCTCATGTATAAACCTATCTCATGTGTAATCCGATCCCTAATTTTGGGGTAAAAATGCCTGTTTTCATATACAGCTCCTCCCTGACTTTCGACTTACGACCTGCCTCAGTCGTACCAAAATTTTGTCAAATTACGTTTTTCGAGTCCCAACGTCAGTACAGACAAAATTTTCGTTTGTAATTCACTTTAAAATGGCTGACAAGCTTAAAAGTGAGAGTTTTGTGGTGTTGAGAAGAAAAAGAGACACCCATTTTAGATTTTCTATATTATTTAAGCATTTTCGACTTACGACCTGGATTTGGGTGCCTTAACCCCGTCGTAAGTCAGGGAGGAGCTGTATCTTGTGTATACTTTGAACTCTAGCTTTTAAGAAATACTAGGTATAATCCTTGACATATTTTGTATCAACTTTGAAACTGAATTCCTGCCAGTTACCAACTCCTATGAGAAATAAGATAAAATAATATACTGTACATCAATTCCCCATACCGGGTAAATGACCTCGTTAGGTTCCTGAAAACCACGACTTTTAAGTGAAACGTTAAGTGAAAATGATTTTACTATAGACACAATGATATAAATAGGGCTTATATTTCTAGGGTACATTTCTGGTCAAAATTTTCTCAACTTGCCACAAATGTTTCACTTGATGTTGATCCTTGATCCACATGTTCAGCATTCTTTCCATATTTTCCATAATGCCACTTCTGTTTTGAGTTAACTTTGTAGCAGATAATGAAGTACCACTTTTAACACAGTTGTAAGCTGCAAACCGACAGCTCTTGCTATGTCTACAGCTCACTATCCTTCTTCAAATCTCTTTACCACCTCTAATTTAACTTCCAATGTAACACTTTTCCTCTTCTTTCTGTGACCGCAACTAGTAGTGGTGCATAATGAACATTTAGCACTCATTGTTCTAGGGATCAAATTTCTAATTGGATTTTGAGTGAATGTTGGAATAGCATCAACCAACCACCGAACAATAACAAACAAATACAGTTTGATGCCCACACTGGTAACTTACACAACCAGCTGTTATCACAAACAAGCGCTGAATGCCTTCGTACTGATTTTTTTTAAATTGTACATTTATCATTTTCATACATGCAGTATTTTTTTTTTTCAACGACATTATAACGAAATGCCGTTGACTGAAACGGCGTTAGTAGGGGAATTGGGGTACAGTACGGTATACCAGTATATGTGCGGAATAAATAAAATTTCCACTAAATAGAATAAAACAAAAAATACTGTATTGCCATATGGGTGCTAAACAACAAAATATTTGTTAATCATTTCACTACACATAGCAGATGGGTCAGAACTGCTGAGATCCCCCCCCCCCCATCTCCTGTTTATTCCCTGTGATGAGTCTAAATTGGCAACAATGTCACCAGTGATGTTAACAGATGTAAGTGAAAAGAAATTTATCTGTAAATCTTCATTTGGATCAGGTATTTGTATATTTAAAGTGGTACATAAAGTGAATGAGGTTTTGCTCTTTATGTAGCAACATAAAGAAAGAATCTTAGGGTTATGGCAAGCAAGCCCAGGATAATGGCGCTTATTGGTAAGGTTAGCCTACTGCGAGCATATACTGGGTCGTTGTCATTCACCATTAATGACCCACAGAAATGCATGAATTTTAACCCCTCAAAAATATTACGTGTATATAGATGGACCTACTTTTGCATATAATTTGATCATAAAAACTCGACCTGTGCTATTCAAGTATGTAACAATATATATTGTTTAGATTGATTTACCTGTATATAGTTTCTCATTATATATATATATATATATATATATATATATATATATATATATATATATATATATATATATATATATATATATATATATATATATATATATATATATATATATATATATATATACATATACAGTGGGGTATGCTATAACGAACGGATCCTACTACGAATATTCCTATAACGAACGGTTTTACCTATAAAATTGAGAATGCTATAACGAACGAAACTCCTACAACGAACATAATTTAAATTTTTTTTTTTCTAATTTATTGTTTTATTATTACAAATATTAATGATATTCTTTATTTCAGGGGTTTAGATGCATATTTATGCACTTTTTTACAATTTTATATTATATTTTTCAGTGTTAAGTGGTTGTATTTGGGGGCCTGGAACGGATTAATCCTATAACAAACGAATGCTATAACGAACAAGGTTCTAGAACCAATTAGATTCGTTATAGCATACCCTTATATATATATATATATATATATATATATATATATATATATATATATATATATATAAATAATCATAAACTATTATACACAGGTAAATCAATGTAAACAACAAACACCCATGAATGCGGGTATTGAACCCGGACTACGATGAATGGCAGGCAGACATCTAATCCACTGAACCACGATGGGCTAAACGCTACCCCACTTTAACTACTCTCTTGTAGCTCGGATTCTCTGCCCACTCACTGTGAGAGGAAGGGTTAGGGCTGTCCGGCCACACTCGGGTTTTAGACAGCTTTTTAATCGAGTTCCAACATAACGTTTTAAATCTATCAGAAGCTGTATTATAAGCAGGCTTTATCTGTATGATAAGATTCACTTTGTATTCTGCAAATGCAAATTAATGGTAAGAGCAAGTATGTGTGATGCTTAACTTTGCCCTTTCCTATTCTTTTCCACATTTTCTTACAGCATTCTCCCAATTATTTCCTCCTTTCTTATTAAGTTTCTCTTCTTGATTTATCTCACATGAAAGTGGGTCAGAAGTAAAGAGAACTGAAAAAACAAATGATTATTCTCACAACAAGAAAATGAGTCTCACTACCACTGTACATTATCTTTGGTCATGAAAAAAATATATTTTATTATTCTAATGTGACTTAGAAATAAAGGAAATATAATAGACATCTGCAAAAATGAAGAGCACGAGTGTTAACAGTATTCTGTGTGGGAGGTGAACATATGTATATGTGTCACCCTCTCCCCAATGTGACAACACAACATACACGGTGTAACAGCCACACATTTCTCAAGTCAACCAGCTGGCTGAACTCTCCTCTCTTAGCGTCACTCATGGTTATTATTCAAGGGCAAAAGGAGCTATTTTCTGTATGTAATATACTGTATGTGTTATTGTATTTTATGTGCTATATATTATTTTGATTATTTATTATAGCAAATTTTCTTCATTTTTGGCATACTGTATATAGAATACAGAATAACAAAGGATTGGAACCTATTCCCTTTTACTCGTTAAAATTACCTAATAACATATCCACTTCATTGCCAGAGCTATACTATACACATCCACTTTACCTCACACTGCACAAAGTCATCCATGCCTTATGCATATGTACGTCGGCAAGAAGGAACCGTAAAAATTTCCTGCATTTTAAAAGCTTTTAGTCTAGAATCTTAACCTACATCTATTAACACTGTAAATAAAACAAACAAACTGAACTTAAAGTATATCATAAGTATGATAATTTTACTTGAATTAGTTTATTATGAGCATAAATAAGTCAATCTGTGTTATTGTAATATGCCAGCTGTTGTTTTGAACAGTTGAGCCTCCCTACTGATATGGATGTCCAAATACTGGATTCCATCTGAGCAACGATGTCGCTCTGGCTTAATGTCCTGAACTCGGGGTTTTTTACTGTAAAATCTTACATTTTTTCCCTGAATAGTTCTTGACATACATTTGTTTTTCTTTTGGTAGCAGTGACTTAGACAAAATATTTCATCACTTGATAACTATTTGGATTTTGCAGTCTTATACCCTGGAAGATCAACATTGGGTTTGATGTTGGCCAATTGTAGATACTTACCTAATATTAAGTACCATTGTTGCACAAACTTAAAGGGTATGTTGAATTCTTTACAAGTTTCCAGGAAGGCTGGGTAGAGGTGAGGCAACTTAGAGTGATCCACTGTAGGCAGGAGATGGTGCAGACTATGGTTACCAAAACTTACTGACACCAGAAACAGACTACTATTCACTTCCACCCTGGAAAATAAATTATATACAATATTTATAGAGCAATACTAAGAGAATTTTCATATGCTATGTGTATGCAATATTTCTATTTGTGATTTCAACCTTTTCCTCTTATTTTCTACACCTAAAATTTTTACTTTGTCTTGAGATGGTTGTAGCCATTGATTACCCCCACAGAAAAGTGAAAGAGGAGTAAAGAAAATAGATACAGCTTATTGTTTTATGGCCATTTCCCATGCTTGCGTGTGTTAGCCGTGAATATTTGATGGCAACCGTTGGATAAAACCAGAGTTACATGTACCTACCCAAAATTACAAGTTGAAAAATACTTTATACCTTATGATAAAGAGTTCTTATATTTTTTTGGCGCTTTGTATATAGGATTGTGTTGTGCATGTAACGGAGTATAAAAAAGAAGAAAGTTACATGTACAGGTATCCCTTGTTTAACGAATGAGTTAGGTTCCTGAAAAACAAATAAAATGATTTTCTGTATCCTAAATAAAAGAACATATGAGTAAAATAGGGTTCGGTTCCCCAATGACAAGAAAACCCCAATATCATACCCCCAAAACATAAAATCGATTCACAAACAACAAAAAAACCTGCCTAGCTTATAAATAGTACAGGTACACAACTACTGTACAGTAATTTACTACCAATCACATTAAAACATTAATAAAATACTGTATATCTTTGGTACATTAACCTTGTGGAAGGGCAGTCAGGACTCACCACAAGGGGGTGAGAAGGGGTGGGCTGCATAAGGGCCTTACTCGGTGAGATGAGAACAGCTGTCCACTTCATCACTGCTCTCTGCCAAGGATACCACAGTCACACCAGGGGGTGGAAGGAGTGGAAGAAAATCTGCTGGTAGAGGTTGTGGGACTGAAAGCCGAAGATGCAGGATGCAGTTCAAAGACAATGATGGGTTTGAAGAAGGATATGCTGGGATGTCTTGCCTTGCCCCTCAGCTGATATTGTATCTCAAGTGTAGACACAGATGTCTCTCTCTACACTAAAGGCAACTGTACCACTCCTTCTCATGCTAGGTTCTTTGCCACTGACAAACACTGAGTGAGCCAGCTCTCAGGTAGCTCCACTGGCTGGTCTTCCTCTTCTTTATGAAACCCCTGTTGCTGAAGCTGCATGAACTCTTCGTTGGTAAGGTGCTGGCTGTGTAACTGGAGTAGATCCTGGTCGTCCCCCCCCATCCACCCCCTCAAACCCAGCCTCCTAAGCAAGGTCAATGATATCCTGCTGCACTTGTCTGATATCACCGAATCCCGGAAAATCGTGCATGCACTCAGGCCAAATCTTGAGCCACACACCATTCACTGTTTGCTGTGACACCTCCTTTCATGACTTTTTGATGTGATCGATGGTTTTCTTGAAGTTTAAGGCCGTCTTAAATTTCTTGATGCTGGTCTGGTTGTCTTCAGTCTGGTGCACAAGTTCCTGCATTGTTCTCCATAGGTAGTAGGCCTTGAAGGTGGAAATAATGCCTTGATCCATGGGTTGGAGCAGTGAAGTGGTGCTAGGTGACAGAAAAATCACCTCTATGATGTCTGCCCATTCTTCCATGCTGGGTGGGTATGCAGGAGCATTGTCAATGACCAAGAGGAATTTGTTGGTCAAGTTGTTCTTGGCACAGTGCTCCTTGAACATGTTAAGAGATAATTGATGACATACTTTTGCATCAGTGCTGTTGTCACCTATGTCTTCTGGTTGGACCGCCAAATAACAGAAAGATACTCCTTATAGAATCCCTTAAGAGCCCTGGGGTTCTCTTTGTGGGAAATGAGCAAGGGCTTCAGCTTAAGGATACTTTCAGCATTACCACCAAGCAAGAGGGTGAGCCTGTCTTTAGCTGCCTTAAAACTGGGTGCAGTCTTCTCGTCCTGAGCAATGAAGATACATGACAGGATCCTCTTCCAAAACAGCTAGTCTTGTCTATGTTGATGAGTTGCTTTGGCGAGTGACCACCTTCCTGAATTTTCGACTTTAGAAGGCTTGCACAGCATCGGCGTTAGCACTTACAGCTTCCTCGGTCAGCTTCAAGTTGTGAAGATTTGCCCGATGCTCGAGCCTCTCAAACCACCCAGAATTGCCCTTTAAAGTCACTCACAAAGGTTACCTGGTCAGGTCCGAGGTCCTTCCTGCATTCTTCCCACAAAAACAAAGCCTTCTCCTTGATGATGATGGTGAACAGGGGGGGGCATGTGAAGTCTGATCTTCTATCCACAGATAGAAAAGATGCCCCATGTTGTCCATGACATAGTCATGACTCTGGGTTAGCCTGTACACTCCTACATGCGAGTGAAATTTTCAGCTGCTTGTTTGATCTCTTCAGCATGCTTGTAAATGGTAGCGACAGTAGAAACATCCAAACAGAGATTTTTCTTAATCATTGCAGGACCCTCGCCACATTCATGTTGTTTTATTACTTCCAGCTTGATCTCAAGAGTATCAGCCTTTCATATCTTCTTTGGCTTAGAATGGTTAGCCAAAGAATCAGCAGAAAGCTTGGATGTCATGACGAAATGAATAACGAAAGGATGGTACGAAAACATACGGATAAAGAAGAGCGCTTCCCAAACAATGAAAGGCAGAAGGAAAGACGTGGGCTTGTGGGAGATATGGTAGGGAGGGAGGGTTGGCTATGACCAGTGAGCGAGAATACATCGTTGTGCATCTCTCCAAGATGGCCGCCCCAGCTGACTTCCAGGGGTGTAAGATTTGAATTTTTGTTGGGACCCAATTTTGTATAAGCGGAAAAAGCTTTTTTTAATTGAAGAAGAGGTGTTAATTTAGGAAATTCATACAGGTATAAGCGAATTTTCGTATACTGAATGTACATTAAGCGAGGGATACCTGTATCTACACAAAATTATGAGTTTAAAAATAACCCTAACATATCAAACAGCACACAGCTGGGGAACAGTTTGAAATTCCCATCTCGACCAGAAAATTACTTGGCATTCATTTCAAATACTGTAGTTCATTCCATAACACAGCCATTTTATGGAGCATTCTGGATATCGGGACATTGGATAAAGTCTCATACCAATTTTACGATATGAAAGGAACAAATACGTACTACAATATAGCATATCATATACTGTAATGTACTAGTTTTAAATCTTTAACTTCAATAAGTACACTGAAATATAAACAAGGAAACTGAATCAATCTACCACATTTAAAGTGATATTATTTTTTTTTTGCAAAATTTTGATAATTGCCTTTATTGTTATTATTCACCAAAACTCAACTCCCATTATTATTTTGTTTTTCTAATGTGATTACAATAAGTGTGGGGAGCCTTTTTCAACCATGGAATATTAAAACTGACCAACAGGTCACATGCACAAATAACTTCCATTTTATTTTCCAGATTTCATACCAACTTTTAGTCTACATACAATAAGAAACTTGGGGAACTGAATGAATTATAAAGAAAACACAAGCCTGCTGGCAGACTTGATAGAAATCTATTTCTTTATCACCATCATTGACAAATTTACTGTATGTATTAAATTTTAGTAAAACCATTAAGTATCTAGCAGGGGAGGAGTTTGTGACATGCCCTCCATCCATTT